ATGTTGATGAAGGCCCAGATTGAGGGTTTTGCTACCTTCCATGACCAGCTCGTGATGAGTGTGACAACTGGGCCGGCAGCCTTAGAAGCATTAGTGTTTCGCTTTCAAGGTAGGAGAAGGTTAAAGTACCTTGAGCATCTGGATAAAGGAGATATTCAGATAGAGATAAACCACGTTGCTGCAGACTAGAGCCCCGCAGTACAATAGGCCAATGGGTAGTATTGCCCGACAGTACATCCGAGTGTCCATGAGTATATTCCTCCGGCCATCAAGCAGTCTCGTCGTCCGCGCAAGGACTTGGGTGACAATGGTCGCAAATACCAAATGCCAGCATGTTAGGATAATAGCTACGGAATCAGCACTGAGCAGAGACACAATGGATTACTAAAGACTCACGATAATCTGAAAAATGTTAGCTAAGGAGAGCCAGGTAGTGAAAGCAGCAAGAGAGTGGCAACATACGAAAGTCTGTGGAATTGATGATCCATTTATTCAGCAGAATAGTGGCATTGGACCAGAATATCCATGACAGGACATCAAGGACCAGATGCCAATTCGACTTATGGTCACCATAAAATTCATGAACTGCCATGGAAGCGATAGCGCTCCATGGATATTGTACAGGATGATTGTCGACTACTGTGTGCGCAATAGAGTTCATGTCTCTTCTCGCTATGGTCGCACTTATATACACCTGTACCGACCAGCCTTAGGCCGACTACTACGTTGCTAAACTAGAGTCACATCCGGTAACAGAAGACAATGGCATAGAGAGCAGAGTGGAGTGATGGACCTCGTTAGTGAGTGCCAAATGCGGAAGTCCCCAGAGATGGAGTGCAACCCTACGAAGTGGATGACAGCAATGTATGAAACAGGGTATTGTCGTATAATCAACGATAAATGCAGGCAAAAGGGTCTTGATGGTTGGCCTCAAATAGCGTTATCAAGTTATTACTGCCAACGTGAACTTACTTAAAGAGGGTAATGAATAGAAACAGAAATATGTACACGTTGAGATTGCAGCAAATACAACATGCACTATAGCATATGTAGTAAGAACACAAGGCTAGACTACCAAGAATGAGTACAGTAGGTAATGAAGTAACTTGGCCAGGCATCGACATCCATAATCCGTTTACATTCGTCTGCATCGAACAGGGGATTGTCGTGAGCTGCCAGACAGACCGAGTCTCTATCGTCCGCCCAGCTGTAGGGATAAATCTGCTGCCGCGGAAGCAGTATCAGCGCGTCCCTTAGCTTTTCATTGTGCACATATTCATCCCCGCAGAAAATCGACCAGGAAGGCTGCCGCTGCTGCACCCGATCGCAAACATGCTGTCTCAAAGATTCGTTCTTGAAATTCTCGTAATAATGCTTGATCATGAGACTGAGCACACCGGGCCCGGTCAGTCCTTCTACAGACCCGTCGCCGGTTCCCTCGGGATGCTCCATCAAGAAGATGATGTTCATGAGCCAGAACGGGTGGCCCGGTGGAGATGCCATCCAGCCATTCGGCACCGCTGCCGAGGCCATGAGGTCGTCGCTGTGAGACATTCGTCCCATGAACGCGCGCTGCACTAGGGAAGATTCGGAGGGAGGCGAAGAAGACAGAGTCTTGTGATGTGACGCCACCGAAGTTCCGTGACCTATGAAGAGCTGTTCAACCGGGATGAGAGCCTCAGTATCTACATCGGCATACATTCTGTAGCATCAGGATACCGTCAGCGTCAATAGTACTGAATGAATGAATGAATGGAAAAGAACGTACCCGCCAAAGAGATACATGTAAAAGTTGCGGACGAGATCGGCCCGCAGGATCTCTTTCGGCAGTCCTGAGTAAATATCCCAAAACCACGGAAAGTATGTCTGAACCAGCAGGTTGTTTGTCTCATCATCCCACAGGACCCATTCCCAGTCTGGATTCTGTTCTCGCATGGTATGCACCCATGATTGTGCCTGCTCGGACATGTTGCTCCCTGCCGGAAACCAAGTTTGATGGATGATCTTGGGAATCGTGACTGGGTCCTTCGAGATTGGGCGTGAAAGCAGACTGCTAGCTGACACCTCGCGAGCCATCGATGGTTTGGAGAAGTGGGAAGTCAGCCTGCTGGAGGATTCCATGGGAACCACTGTCGTATGGAAGTGGAATAAAAGGAGCATCAGGATCGCGGCTCCAAAGGCGCACTGATAGCGCCGGCGCGAGCATTGTGCCCTCAGCCAACGAAGTACCGACGAGGACGATGGAGAGTCGGAGTGCATGATGGAATGTGTTCCTCTATAGGGCTAGAAGCGTTGGCGATGGACGACTGAAACTTCTCCAGGGCTTTTGGAGGATATTACATATCTTGACTTATGCGTTGGCGGTGATTTTGAGAGGGTTACATATTGTACTCTGTTAAGAGTTCGGTTAGGCTGTTTCTTGGAATAATTACAGGAGAAAAACCATGGCTGCAAGAGTGTCTGGAGGCATATACCACCTACTAAAGCCGGAGAATCGTTTCTAGACGTGGCTCGCCGACGGGCATCATCTCCCCGAATGCAACAGAAGGTCTCGCTTCGGTTCTCGTATTATAATACCCAAGTGCCTTAAAGACAGTGTCTGAACTCTAAAGTCCACGGCCCCATTCCACACTGACATTCCTATGAATTATTCGAATAGCTAGCTGGAGATGCCAAGATCCTAATGCGGATCCTTTGGAGCAAACAACAACTGCGTTGTTCTGCATGCGGCAACTGGGCCGGGCATTGGAATGCGGAGTTTTCACATCAGCAAGCCAGCAAAGAACGAGAATGAGGGATAGGCAGGTCTAAATTTAGTAGTAAGTACATAATAGAGCATCCCTCTTAATTACTGCTCTTTGTTTTCTCATACGCCGCTGACTTTTATAAGGATAACCATTCAAGAACTGTATATAGCATCATTCATGTGCCGGTATCACTTTACTTGTCACACTTTACTTGTCATAAGAATAACCCACGCAAGGAAAGTATAAGGGCAGGGAACAAATAATACACCGTGAATGACAGTATGCCAGTCTGTAACCCCTGCATACGCACATCTGGCCTAGTCCCCAACATCAAACATAATGAATGCAACTCAATTGACTGTTCCTATTCATTATTGATTGATAATACCGTGCCACTGCCCAATGGTCATTCAGGCCAAAAATAATATATAGAGAGATACGGCCCCCTCTCCTTCGAGTACGTAAAGGACAGCCACGCTTGATAACGCGTCGCCTCTTCCAGATTCTTACCTGGACTGCAATTCAATTAGCAGCTGCCAGAAGGTAACCGCGATGTGGAACGGAAAGCGATGTGTCAACTCACTAGTATGCCTGCAAATTCTCCATAAAAATCTCTGCTTGTTCGGGCATGTCATGACGCTGGAAGAAGCCAGTCATTGTATGCGCTATCTTTGTTTCTGGAATCCCTGTGAGTGGCATATAGAGCTTGGGCGTGGGAAGTAGCTGGCCAGCCTTCATCTCATAATTCAGCATAATGGGCAAGAGTCCTTTCTCCAGCATGGCCGAAGGCTCGAGCGGACCTTGGATAATACCGAGGTCTGACCAGAGTTCACGGATGATCTCCAACCCAATTGTGGTGTCCTCATCTGTCAGTCGCCCGCCCAGCGTCCAGTGTTCTTCCGCTCTGGCGAGGGTGACGAGAGGGTCGGCGATGTAGACCTTGAATCGAGTATGCGCCGGGTCAACAAGGTCGCAAGAAAGGAAAGCAGCGTCGATTTTGCTTTGCTGGAAATGGGATTCGATCGTTTTACACGCGCTTTCCAGTTGACCTTCTTGGTCGACTGCCCTTATTGCTCCAAAACATGCGTCGGTGCCAGACTGCCCCGTGGCTGCGCATTTGATCCCCGGAAAGAAGTATTCTTTGGCGATGATGCCATTCTTGGTCAGGTCCAACGCAACCACATACTGGGTCTTCACCTGAAAGTTTGTGAGGTATTTTGTGAGTTGCTCCTCGCTTAACCTCCGCTCGTCTTTGGCCGTCAGCGTCAGATGCTCGCTGAGTAAATGATGCAGTTCTATGTTGACGCTTTTGACAAGCAATTGTAGCTGGGAGAAGAACGCGTTTACCGAGGTGCGGTTGAACCGATCATGGCCGACACTCGCCTGGTAGCGGACGGGCTCAAAGGCAATCCGCGCCGTCGAGCCCGATCTCTGGAAGTTCTGACTCAGCTCGACTGTCATGTTACCACCCAGGGTGCACCGGTATACGTCTCGCCCCGGTGTCGGGAACGGACCGAGCACTGGGACGATGAGCTGGGCCAAGAGACACAGGTACTCATATTGCTGATGGATGCTGTACTTCCCGTCGACGAGGATCTTTGCGAGCATGGGTGCGACATGATGCCAGTGCTGGTATTGATCTATATCCGGGAAGAGAAGTGCCTTGCTGAGTGTATGATAAGCTATATCTTTAGGGATCGGAGCCTGCGACTGTCCAGATTGACCCGTTTGCTCGTCGAGGGTGGGTGTGTCCGAAGCAGATATGCCAGCAGGAGAAGCGGTCATTTCGCCGTCCATTTGCGACTCGAGATAGGGAAAGTATACTCGGACACGAATGCTCCGCAGTCTCTCAGGGGTTACATTTGATATATTTTGCAATATGAGGGGCTCTAGATGGGAAATGTGAAGGAAGGAAGGAAAGAAAAGAAAAGAAAAGAAAGGCAGACCCAGCTTTTTGTGAACGAGGGACATACGTCCTCTCAGCTCGATTGCCATGAGCGGGGATATGCGTGGCGCTTCGTGACGGAGCCATATCTACCAGTTGTATCTCTTGGAAATGTGTAACACTCGTAGACGAGCTGACGTAGTGGTAGCCACGATCGCCCTCATGCCAAGTAAGAACTTATTTCAAACAGGATGCGAAGGCAGTGTGGATCAATCGTGCAGGTGGGGCATGGCAGTCACTGTTCCCTTATGGGAAATGATAGATCATCTTTCGGAATATTCCACACCAGCTTCGTGTTCGTCGACATGATTGTGTCGAGGTTCTAGATGCATTCCCAGCGATCGGCAACTACATGATTGGAATATGCCGGAACCCAGTGGAGGGGCTTGCAGTGGTCTGTGTGATAGCGCTGCAGCTAAGTGGTTCATCTCGCTACACAAATACTCCCCATTGGGCCAGACCTTGTTGGTTATTAGCATTCGAACCAGGTGTTTGTCTGATACTGGAACACAGATCGATAGATCATTGATCGTCCGAGTAATGTAGGTAAGCCACTCAGTTACATATGCATAATCAGCCGACACTCATCGAACTTTGGTCTTCAGCTCAGCCTTGCTTTGCCCGATGTGTGAAACAGAACTTCTATACGACACATTAGCATGGTTAAGAGATATTTAGACCACCCATTCGTGCTACTTGATTCTGCGATGTGAACCTTATTTCCTTGGTTTTCATTGATTCTCCACCGACTATAAAATAAGTAATTCATGTGTTCTGCCCAAAGCATGCCCCCCAATGAAAGAAGAGCTGAACAAGTGACGACGGAACAATTGAATGGTTTCTGGCAAAGTCTGTGGACCGCTGTGAGCACTGTAACTATTCTTTAGGAGCAAGATCATCACGTTGGAATGTGCCTTCCAATAAATTAGTAACCAGCAGCAGGTTATTTTACTGCAATACACTCTTCTACTCTGGTTCACTGTTCCACTACATCCCATGGGGAGCACTGCGTTCAACTCGCAGATAGCGCCTCGCATCTGCAGCCCCAGATCGACAAGGGAGACTGCTTCCTACGCCATCTGAACGGTCGACATAGTCGAAAATGTCCGATCGGACGGGACGCTCACATATGACGAATTGGAGAGTGTCACTATATATATATATATATATGTATATGTAGCCTCGAGTAATGTCTCGTTCAAAGGAGAATGTTGAGTGGACCCCGGGATTCTGGTTCCAGTCTGTTTTGCCAAGTCCATATGCGCAATTGTGGCAGAGCTCCCCGTTCTGAAGACCGGTACTGTCATTGTGCCGGTAGTTCCTACCCAGCTATTAGCCTGCGTGGAAGATATCGTACATCAAACAGTAGACCGGCCGTTGCCACGTCCCGGAGGCAGGAGTCGCGGCTAGAATCTCAAGTACTGTAGATCCTGCTCATCTCGCAAGACAGTATCTCTACGTCACAGGACCACAAAACCAACAGGACACACAGCAGAACGAACGCGTCCACCGGACACAAACCGGACACACCGGCATATATATGTCTTGTCTACGTCTGCTAGCACCCGAAATCGAAAAGGGTTGTGTTGTTCCTCGCCGAGCACTTGGGAGCATGTGGTATCACTCCTAGTTGCAAATTCGACTGGCAGCAATGCACTGCAATTTCCCTTCGCACTGCTTCGATGTGTCTCCGATTGAAATGCATGGCGAATTATTGTAGGAGCAACCATCTGCCATTCTCTCGAGACTGGGAAGGTTCTACTTGAGGACGTAGTTTTGACGCAAACCGTGTATCAACTCATATCCGTGTGTATGAAAAGCCATCAAACGAATATATAGAGCTTAATCGACCTATATAATATCTCTGATCGTAAGAACCAGCCAAGGACAGCTAAGTAGGGTAACACCAGTTGGACATGTGCTATATATGCGACCCCGAAGCATATTTGTGGATTTCGATTTCCCATGTTTTCTAACATTGCATACACTTTCTCTTCTATTTCACAGATTGGCTCCTAACCTCAGATAGTCATGTCAAGGAACCGGAATCAATGATCAATGGTCTCGTCTGGTGTTGGATGAGCCTTTCCAGGGCTTACCACACGTAGTAGCAGATCTTACGGGACAAACAGAAGTGTACGCCATTATCACGTATAGATCTGTGTCGGTGAAGACGAACCCAAATGGTCGCCTTGCTAGGCAAACTAACGTGCCTGTCTGGAAATTGGGATCTCCTCAGAGTGGTAGAATATAAACGGCACCTATTGGGCATGGATAAACTGAAACAACTAAACAAGGTGTGTCGGTGGCTGCCTGATACAGGGAATGAAGTGGCCTGTTGCTCCCCTGTCTAGGGGCCCAGAATCCAGGTGATGATAGCAACAGAGGAAAATCCAGAGGGAAACACCTGTTCGCAATCGATGATCTCCTTAAAGGATCCACTTCAGGCTGGATGGTGTTTCAGATCCCGATCAACCGTCCTAAGCGAAGTATCTATATGTACCGACTTGGCAATCACATGGATCGTCCCTAGTGCGGACTACGACAGCCGAGCCTACAGTTCCACATTCGACAATCAACAGCATGTTTCAGTCATAAGGCTAGCCATACACCGGCCCCAATTTTGCTCGCCTCCCCACATCTAATACTACTCTACAGCTACTAATTTTAGACTACCAAACAGGGGAGTGTCTATATTACCATATTAAGTATAGGTCCCTCCACCAAGCATGTCGAAATGGGACTTTTAGGAAGTCCCAAACATGGTCAGAAAGCTAACAAACTTTACGGGCAGACCCTTGTAGATTCTCACTAGGCAACCCCGGGCAAAGATTCTCTATCACAAAGGACATGAACGGCAAAAATAAGTTCCTTGAGGTATACAGTGTGTTGCTAGGTTTGCTACTGATCAAGGAGGCCTCGCGACTTCTTACATTCTAACACAGGGACACGAACAACAACTATCCACATCCTTTTAAGCACAGATAGAGGTCACCCAAGGCTCAAGATACATTGAATGCAGGAAGCCTTGTCATAGATCTCCGGCAAACTGTGGTTCCCCTGCATTTTACCTAATGGACCCTTACCCGAGTCTCACTCTAAAACACAGTCGAAGAACCTGGCCGGTTTGATCTGACAATTTCATTGGACTCTTGTCGTTCATGAAACCAGGAGTTGTACTCATGATGGCCTAGTCTGATTTTTCCGTCGATCAAACCTTCGCTGCCCTCGCTTAACGAGAGAGAAGTCTACCAAAGCCATCTATATGTGGTTCATGGATAAGCCTAAGGAAATCGGAGCTGACCGCATCACATGGGTTTGTTTCATGTTTTACTAACAACGGCTTTCTCGCACAGCATTGTAGATTGGTAGACCTCTAATGCCCCATGGGCATGAGAGAAAGGGGATGGACTGGTATGAATGAGAGTATATAAGGGCGTCTGGCATCCTGCTCTTTCCAGGATCAAGTCAAGCAATCCAGCATTCATACTTTCGTCAAGAAGCCTCCACTGCTCCCTCTGTCCATTTCACTTTGACAACATGTTGCTTAAAGATATCCTCACTGTGACAGCACTGCTTGTGAGCCAGGTTAGTGGTCATGGGCTGGTCACCCGCATCAAAGGCGCCAATGGCGTCGACATGCCTGGCTTAACGAGTGAGCTCATCCTTCTCCCTTGCCCTAGCTCGCAATGGATGGTTCATATTAATGACCTTTAGTCATTGATGGAGTACCACGGGACTGTCCATCTGCGGCATGTGGCGGGCAAAAAGACACGGCAATCATCCGAGACCAGGAAATGGGAGGTATCAAGGCTTCGCCCTTGGGCCGTACCATGGGCTCTGGTCCGGTGGATGCGGCCACGGTCATTAACAAGTTCATGGGCACGGCGACGGAGAAGCGGGGTCGCGCTTCCCCCTCAGAGAGGCGTACGAGATTTCTTTCCAATTTCAGCATCAGTGAGGCTAATATCTTTTCAGGTCGACAGCTTATCAACGATGCGGCGAGTGTCATTACTAATGCTGGTGGAACTATTCTTAATGGTAAGTATTCACTGTATGGACCAAAGATGAGCAGCACTGACATTGCATAGGCGTCCAGGATATCGCAGACAAAACCCCGCTGGGTGGGACTATCAAGAGTAAGGAACTCCATTATATTCAGGAAGACCAAGGCTGATATGGCAAACAGGCGCCCAATCCGCGGTGGATGATGCCCTCAGTATCGTACCAGGTCTTAAGTCCGGCGCAATGACAGCCCAGGGCACCAAGGAGAATGGTATTCAGCTATACTCTGGCAAAGGTTCCAGCACGGGTCTGCCTACTGCTTCTGCAGATGGGGTTGTCACTGTCATTTATCACCAGGTAGACCGATACTCCCAGAAGTGAACGGTCCGATATTAACTTGCATACTTTAGGTAAACCAAGACGGCGCTGGACCCCTCACAGCCGACATTGATCCCTCCAGCGGGGTACCAATGCAAAGGCGTTCGTGTCGGCCAAAGTGATTCAGAACATCCCCGGTGTGGCCGGGTTCTCGACATCCAGCACTATGGACTACGAGGTCAAAGTCCAGGTGCCTAAAGGAATGAAGTGCACTGGAACAGTCGGTGCGGCCAAGAATGTCTGCATTGTACGTGTTCGGAACACTGCCATCTCCGGACCATTTGGCGGTTCCGCTGCATTTACGATGTGAGGAGTGGTAACTGTAAATGATTAGCCATGTACTTCGTGTAGCGTCTGTGGTGGTGAGTCTTTAGCTAAGCAAGGTACGGTTGTATGTTTAATAGTAATAGATCCTTAATCAAATAGTCTGAGATTCTTACAGCCAAGCAACTGCTATGCATACCACCAGGAGATGATATTCTACCGCTGCCTGCACACCTATTCTGGTGGATAGGCCTTCCTAAAACTCTGCTCTGAGCTTGTCCACTGGAGGCAAAATACCCGCCTCCTCAAGAACCCTGAAGGTATGCTCCAGCTCTTCCCAAGTATCAGCATGACCATCCCATCCCAACCGCCGCGCCTTACTCATTGTTGCAATACAGCTCCAGTCCCCTCCCAGTACAAAACTGAGGAAATCCCACGTGGCCTTGTCCCATCCACCTTGATCAAGATTGTACTTGTCCCGTAGTTTAGCCCATGCCTCATTCACATTGGGCCATTTCTCCGGATCAACCTGCAGGAACAAGGCGGGAGCGTTGTCAGCTGAGACGCCAATTTTATCCGCGTGTGTAGCAAGCAGATGCTGGTTCGGCATCCGCACGGTCATTGCCTCATATTTACCAAACCCTTGGGTGTCCGGGGTCCCTCTCGTGGTTCAGAGAATAACAATCCGAGCATGAGACTCAATTCGTATTTATGAGACAAGGGCTTTTAGCCTATCGACTGGCATTGCTCTTTGGGCTGCTATATGTACACAACAATAGGCTCTTTTGATAATGTTAAACCATCCTCGCTCATACAAGCAGCATTAACCATGAGAGTAGATGATTTCTCACGATGACGCAGCCCGACCATTTCCCTCACAATGGTAGACATTGCCGCCAACAAAACCATTGCAGCGTCCAGCCACAGTCTTGGTTGAAGGAAATCTGCACGGCCAAAGAGCCCCAATCCAGTGCTGGACAACTTCGATAACCCCAGGCAGTACCTCTCCCACCACCTCTGAGATGTGTCCCAATGCACTCGCTCTGATCCATATGATGTATGCACATGCCCAAACACATGTAGTAACGGACGAACCTTCCACAATTCTTGAAGCAAAAAAGGGCAACCCTCCGGCGAGTCGTGGTACCAGTCCAAGTGGAACTTTGGCGGAGTGTGTGTCACCAGGATATCAGTAGATGCAGGAATGTTGCCAGACCACGGATTGTGATCGACTGGGTATTGGAATGCATTCTCAGGGCCGCCACAAACAGGGACTTGCGGCGCCCCATAAATATTTATCTGTCGTGGAACACCAGAGGAAGCGCCAGGGAAGGTTAGAGACACTGAAGCTTGCTGGAGATAATGTATATCGCCCCAGTCGAAGGCTGTGCCAGGTCTCTGTGGCGGAGGAACCCTTTCGCGTGGGCCACTCTCTACTGAAGATGTTGTCACAGCGTCGTCGGCTAACCGGGAACGAATATCGAAAAACCGATCACTATTACCGCATATCACGACCTTGTGGGGATGCGGTAGTGACTTTAGCCAGTCGATGGCTTCCTGGATCTCGGCTGCGCTTCCGTCAAGGGACAGGTCTCCAGCATGGATCAGAAGATCGCCATACGGGATGTCGCAACGCTGGGAGTGAGTATCGGAGACGCAGACCACTCGGATGCGTGGTCGCCGTTCATTTTTCACTGAAGCTAGTATCCAGATCAGGTAGTTTAATAAGGTATAGACTACCCCGACGATCGTTGTAAGAGGGGATGATATGAGTTGATGAGGATGGCCCCCATGTCCTATCTGAAGAAGGAGAGTCTTTAAGCCGAACAAGTCTTTTCCAAACATTGCGAAAGTATGCTACAGCTTGTATATGTACAGGGTGTAATAGACATGAGTGCGAGCACTAGTAATACCCCGTCCTCGCTAGGCAGCCTCTGGATGACGTGGGCAGCATTCGGGTCACGGACAGAAGGCCGAAACGCGCTTTGATCCACTCAGTTATATGACAAAATTGGCTAATGAATGAGGCTTATTGATCTGTCGATAATATGCGCTATATTCCAGTCCAATAGCCGAAATGCCCGGTCCCTCGAGGATCTACCTCTCTCGAAGCAAGCTCGATATCAGGTAAATGTACACAGTTCACAAGGTACTGGGTCATGCTTTCGCAGTATGGCAAAATTCAGCATCTCAATACCATTGCAGCTAGATTCTGGAAAGTATACTAGTTCTTACTGTAATGACAACTCGAGACTTGCACATAGTCGCTGCCGGTGACCTTGAACAGCCTCACGACAGCTGATTAGTAAGGCTGCAGCTCGTTAGCGGTTTAACCGCTGAGCCCCTGGATCCGACCCTGACCCGCCCCTAACCCAGTGCGATTTCTCAATCTAGGAACCGAACCAAACCGCTGCGAGTTCGGTGACGTTGGATTCGATTTTAGCGGTTCGGTTATGCAACTCTACTAGGTGAGCATAAGGCATATAGTGACTATAAACTATCTAGCTATGCCACTGGCGTGCATATTACTACCTTGTCTAAAGAGGACAATCTTCTATTAAGATTAACGTAAAAGAACCATCTTCTATAGAGTAAGATTACAAAGTATTTCCTAGGGAGGATAAAGGCTTCTCATTAGGTTTGGTTTAGCATAAAGCTTAGGAGTTTAAGTTAGTCTGATATGTTTTCTAAGGCGGAAAATAGTTTATATTCTAGTTTGCATGAACCAAAATATAGCAGAAGTCATTCAGGTTATTAGTAGTAATACAGACAGTCTCAGGCATGATGTAGAGTAGAACGCTATTTGCTCGCTTGAGTCTTATTAATCCATAAGTAATGGAAAGCAATCACAAGTCTTGCAGACATACGCCTACGTGTTCTCATTGCCGTCTTGGATAAAGTCTGCAGTGAGGGTTACGACGCACGATGCTGAGGACATCCAGAATAAAAAGTCTTGTCAACAAAGTCAGATTATTGCAGTCTGTACAACACCAAGTGATGAGTGGGGTTGGAGTGTTAGCAATAGCGACCAGTTAAGATAAGAAATATATTTGCTGAGCCAAAAATATCATAAATCCTCGCCAGTCACAAAAACAAGGGGAGCTTCCTCAAGGTGCGTTGGGGGGTAGCCTGGCGCTTCGCAATCAGAACATCTCCTGCTTACGCCAGGTCTCAGCTCGGCTCTGATTTCAGCTCAGTGTGAATACCACTTAAGATGTCAGTTTCTAAAGCTCCGTCCTTGTACTCTGCAACGTGACTGACCCGCGCACCAAACCTTGGGTAGACTGTTTTTGATATGGGCGACCTATCTCGGTCTCCCAAGTGTGGTCCAGGCGCTTTTGGATTCGGGCAGTGGTGCCACCGTCCAAGACGACGAGGTTGGCGCAACGCTGTGGTTGGCAACCCTCATGGGCCATGAGCAGGTTGTCCGGAGACGTTTGGATTGCTGCAGTGTCAGTATCACCCCCCAAAGCAAAGAGTACTCCATAGCATTGCGCTTCGCAACCAACGCGGGCCGAGACGATATCGTGGAGATGTTAGAGGCTGTACATGCCGATCCCAAGGCTTTACTAGATTATACTGTTATACGGTCATCCATTACAAGCCCAGCTAGTGTTCGGATTATCAACCAATTGTTCCTCGACCTCATGCGCGACAGAGGGCGGAAAAACCTTACCCGGAGATGCCAGCTTATCCGCCGAGAAAGAAGTTGGTTTGATTGGGCGGGATAAGCTAACGCAAATTCAGGAAGCACGAAGACCGACCAGAGCATGATGAAAAGTTTCGTGTTGGACGTCTTCTCTGGAAGCAGCTCAGACTTTCCAATTATTACTAGGAAGCAAGGAACCGGGTGTCGAGAACATAAATCAAGACCGGCTCAGCAAGAATTGCCTTTTTAGCCCAGCAAAATAATTTAGCAGTGGAAAGGTCCCCGTCCAGCCAGATAAGATATCTCCATCCGAATAAAGTCAGTCAAACAAAGGGGCCGCTAACTTTTCCATTGTTGCTGGATTTCGGATGCAGCCACCATCACATTCGCTGCATTGTCACGTCTACGTGGCCACCTGAAGCAGCAGGGGTTGTGCGGAGAAGCTTGACAGAAGTAGCGTTGGGATCCTTTGCCAATATTTGTGGTTGACCGCAGTGCACAGCCAACATATTAACCGCACGAAGTCCTACATAGGTATTATTCGGTAAGCGACTTGGTCTCTTCGAGTGACCAGTTATTTAGTGCTTACGGGTGCCCATTAGTTACCTTGGGAGGTTCTTCAATCCGCGGTCTTCCGCGACACAGCACAAGTCTTCCTTTTAGACAGCCGGAATTAGTGTTGCAAGGGACGGTAATCACAGCGCCAGACGCAACGTTTCAACAGACACAGCCTCGATAAAGAGTTTCAAACACGACTAGGCAGTGTAAGAGATTCTAATCGGTTGACAATTCCTGAACGAACGGACGGAATCCTTGCATACCATTTTGTTCCCTTCTGCTTCGAAATTGATATCATCACTACCACGGAGCGAATTTGGAAACATCAATGAACGATTCGAGGGATATTAAGTTGCAGACGGCGCTTCAAAAAGCTTGTGATACCGGCAATACGTATATGGCCAAAGTGCTCCTTCAGCAAGGAGCAAGCGCCAACATCAGAGACTCCAGTGGAAAAGCACCGCTGCATGTAGCCAGCTTTCGGGGAATTAAAAACCTTGTGGAAGTGCTCCTTCAAAGTGGAGCAAATGTTGATCTAAGGGACAATGATGGACAGACGCCACTGCACATTACTAACAACCTTGGGGATAATATAGAAGTAGCTGAACTACTTCTTCGAAATGGGGCCGATGTCGACATGAGGGATAATGATGGAAAGACAGCATTGCACAAAGCTAGCGCCAAAGCAATGGAAGGAATGGCAAAGCTACTCCTTCGATACCAGGCGCATGTCAACCTCAGAGACAATTTCGGGTGCGCACCATTGCATTTAGCTGTTCATGAAATGAAGGCTGAAGTATTGAAAATGCTCCTTGAACATGGAGCGGATGTCAACATGAAGGATCCTAACGGGAAAGCCGCACTGCACTTGCTCGGCCCCGCTGCGCGGCCTGATGTGGTGGAGCTACTCCTTCAACATGGGGCAGATATCAATTTGAAGGATGCTGATGGAAATACGGCGTTGCACTTGGCCTGCTTCTATGGATGCAAGGATGTGGCAGAGCTGCTGCTCCAACATGAGGCCGATATACATATAAGAGACTCCAACGGAATGACAGCACTGCAATTGGCCAATCTTAGGGGATCAAAGGAAACAGCGGACCTGTTTCTTCGACACGGAGCGACGGCTGAACCTATTAAGGATGTAAGCCAGTCACACTACGCTAAGTCTAGAGTAGGAATAGACGCAGAGGAGTTGGCTACTGGACGCCCGCTAGAAGGAAACAGCCAGGTTGAAGGGCCAGAAATCTGCGACAAAGGGTCAATGTCTGCAAATCTCACATATAATGCTCGGGATGGGGTCCGTTGTGACAACGGCGACGGCTTCATCTTGGCCACGTACGACAATCATGACATATTCTTCGATGGCAAATTGGAGTCAATACGTTCGTCTAGACACGACGACGAGGACGTGCATTTGATTCAGTTAAAGCTCAACTTCATGAAGTCCATCTCCACGAACCACCGCATACGTTATGCAAAAGCAGACGTAAGGCTGCGTGAGGGCCCGTCCGGAGATTCACCCCATATTCGCACTATTATGCCACAGGCAGATCGCGTTGAAGTTTCCGAACAGGAGATCACATCGGGCCAAAAGCTCACAGTCGGCGCTTCAGGAAGTGGTGGTCCTTCTAGTGTCAATATCAGCATGGAAGGCTCCAAGGGGAAAAAGTCAACTTTTAAAGGTGTCCGGATCATCCATGGAGTTGTCAAGGACAGGATGCACGCTTCCTGGCGCCTTTACGAAGAGCCAGGGAGTAAAAGTGGACTACCAGAAATAGTTCGACTTCTAATGGTTGTCCAGTGCCACGGGGAGTTTGACATGCGGTTGTCAATGTCCATCAAGGCCTGCCATTTCTTTACGTTTGGCATTCCGCGCATGTTGACGGCTGGACAAGGACCGGCCTATCTGGTGCCGAATTTGAGTGTTATTTCTGCCTTTGAGCAGTCGACAAAATTACGACAGATGCTGGATGTTGCAAATCATGCGGCTTCGCTGGTAGAAGAAGCAAACAAGCTGGAAACGGCGTTTGCTCAGGCAATTATGGATCACAAAAAACGAGCTCTGATTATGGAGGCAGGAGCAAAAGAAAGTTATCTGCAGGAATGGGCGGACATTGTTGATGCGTCCAGATCCAGTGATTTCAGAATTCTGCGAGAGAAGCTGCTACGAATGGGAGACGTAGAGCGCGGCCAGCATATGCACCCCGCACAGGAGCCTGAGCCGGTTGAAAGGTTCACACAGATACAGCAGCCTAGGCGTGGGAAGTCTCCACAACCAGAGCCGGACCCGGTGGACGTGCAGACGCAGACGCGGCGGATGCAGGACATATTTACAGAGGACTTGGGAAAGACGATCCTCCCATCTATGCCCACCTCAAAAAATGTGGTGGCGTCGTTCTCTGCTGTGGGCCCAGGTTATACAATATCACGATTGGCTTAATGCGAGAAGCATTGCTCTAGTTTACGTAGCAAAGATGAATATCAAAGAAGAAAATTGCTCATTAACCCAGAATGGAATTGTCTGACGAGGCATGTCAGTCTATCAACACTGCAGTAGGCCAAAGTCAGAGCCTGCACGCGTACAGTGGCTGGGTGATAAGACCCATTCATCTTTGACGGCTTCAATGGCTCCTAGGGCTTGGGGAAGCAGGCAGGAAGAAAATACGCATAGTAGGGGAACACCGCGTTGAATTCATCTTAGACAGAGGAAAGGGCGGCGGGTTCAAAGAGAGAAAAGTTAGTATATGCAGGAAGGAGCGGGTTCGCCGACAGTTCTGCCAGAGTTGCAGCTAAACCACCTTCGTCGGCCGATGGGGAGCCAGTTAACAGCATAACTTTCTCGCAGGACAGAAAGTGTGTCGCATCCGCCTCGGACAAAACGGTCAGACTTTGGGATGCTGTCAAGCGAAGGGAGCTCAAGACGTTTCAAATCTACTCGGGACCGGTTAACGGACCCCAATTCTCTCCTTACAGCAAAGTATTGGCATCTGCATCAACCGATATGATCGAATTGGGGATGTCTAAAATAGCGTGCGATTTTTGAGTCCCTCTACAACGCTCACTGCCTATCAATCATGAGGAAGCATGTCTCTGTGTTGAAATCGCTAAGGCTAGTACCGTTCATGGATCACTAGTAACTTGTATGGCTGATTGAAAATCAATGAAGGTCTTGTTCTTCTAAATGAATGACTATCTAGCTCCTATTTATGCCTTTTGATAGGGGTCAGATTTGAAGGTATTCAAATGTTTAAATGCTATTAAATATTCTGCCAAGGGTGGTAGTGCGGAGTCAATTCTTGTACCTTCTGAACTAAGCAAGTAGTAATATAATTCAATAGGAAGTCGTCCAGGTTGCAAATGAACTAGGGCCGCATACGCCTGAATCACACCCGTCTTGGTGACAATATCGCTTGAGGACCTGAAGTGTCAAGTGCATGTCCTACCTATTGCCATTACCTCCTATTCATCCAGTATGCTCAATATACTAGTACATATACATATACATATTCAACTATTTGCGTACTTCTCCTGCATTACTCCATAAAGGATAGCACGGCTTACTGAAGATCGTCAGGATTGTGGCTCAACTGATAATTACATCTATGAGGGATAAGGAAAGGGAAAACCTGATCAATGGCCATGGCGGCCCTCAATCAAATCCTTCGCAGCAACCTTTCTGCATTCCTCCAATACCCTCAATTGCTGGGCAACCTCGCCCAGTCTGCTGATGACTTCCTTGTTCCCCCGCGTAAAACCAAATATGACGTAGGGAATTCCAACGTCGCGGCAGAACTCCTTCACATACGGCTGCGCCCGGCGCAAGTTATGCCTCGGGAGGCGAGGGAAGAGATGGTGCACGACTTGGAAGTTGAGCCCGCCATGCACAAAGTCCAACCACGGCGGGCAATCGACGTCCATGGTCGTCCGCACCATCTTCTGAGCGAATGACTCATCGACGCCCAGATCGGCGCTGGACATAGCGAAGTGACTGAGTGTGAGTTGTACGTGCAACGTGGCGGTGACCATATGCGAGATGAGCACAAACATGATGCGGGACGACCACGTCGGGATCAAGAGGTATACCGTCCGGTAGCCATACCAGTACCAGAAGAATACCTGACCGGCCATTTCAAGGTAGCGATGCCACCATGCTGCGCCTTTCCGGGGGCCTGTGCCGGATCAAGGAGGTATGACCATGCTAGACGGTACAGGTTGAAACGGCCGAATAACAGTATGGGATAGTAGAGGTAATGCTGGTACTTGATGAAAAACCGTGCTGCAGCGTCGAGCTCCATATCACGGTCGTAGTAGCTCGAGCGCAGGGAACTAAAGAATCGAGAGGAGATGGCGAAAAACGGCATGTGCTGGATGTCCGGATCGTGCTCGGGGGAGTTGGTTACTATGTGATGCACGTTGTGATTCCGCTTCCACCAACCGATTGATAGACCACCGAGGAAATCGGCAATGAAAATCCCGATGCAGCTGTCCGTGTGGAATCCATGGGTTATGCTTAGGTGACCGGCGTCGTGGACGGTGAATGCAAGCAGGTGCCAGAGTAATCCAAGGAAAAGGCCCGAAAAAGCGTAATAGGAATAGCGAAGACATGTCAAAAAGAGAACGAAGAGAATCAAGTATCGAATAAATTCGACAGCATAAGAGCTATACGGACACTCGTAGAGTCCTTCGGATTGCAACTTTTCGTCGAGCTGGCGGTACTTTGAGGCGACCTCGTCTTGGGACCTCTTATCCAGACGAGGATATTTTGAGAGGTCAGATGATATGGCGTGGGCGATTGACGCTTCCGCAGATCCGAAATTCCCCAGCTCCGGCTCTGATGGGGATAACGATGAAGCTCTGGAAATGGGTGTATCATTTCTTGCGCGCCTCAGACGAACTTGGTCTCCTGTCTCTTCGGAATCGAAGACTGTTGATGGTGGTGTCGATTGTCCAGATGAGCTGACATCTTCTTCGGCAGATACCGCTTCGTCGTCGACATCCTTCGAGACCAGCGTTCTGAACGTTCCTCCCTGTATCGGAGGCAAGAAATTTTCCCATTTTCCGTGTGTTCTTCCTATCACATAATTTTGCATATGCGCCTGTGCTTCCTTTGAGTGCAATGCGGTGATTTCGTCCGTTGCATCCCGACCAACCATGTGCAATATGGATTTATTGCCGCCTGGATGATATGGTAGCCACGCGTCGACCTTGAGTACCTGGTCACCCAATATTATGATCTTATGGCCATCTGCTATCAATCCTTCGAGTTCTCTCCGCGTCCACACTCGATTTTTGCGTGGCATGGCCGGCGCCATAGGCCAATGGTAGCTGCAGCGGAGGAGCTACAGAATGATTCCAATCCCGGACAGATGATGACGATGGATGCTTAGCGTTTAGACTCAAAGAAATGAAGCACTAGCATGTAGAGTGTTATGTAGGGTGGTATGATTCCCTCAGCACTAGGAAATTTGGTGTAATGGTGTCAGCCTAACAGAGTCACGTGCAGGACATAATCCTCTAATCACCCGACGACAGACGAAAGAAATAAGACCTGGCGACCTCATTATGGGAATTAAGCGCGGAAGGAGAATGCAGGATGGCCGGTAATTAACCAGTGGCTGGATGAGCGACAGTAGTAATGAGAGACGGCTAAAGTGATTGGAGATATTTAGCGGGGAAAATCAAGGAGACACGACGAGAGAACGGGAGCTGAGCAAGGAACAGGGAATGTGTTTGAGAGACGGAGAGTGCAATAGTGTGGATGACCAGAAACTCCAACATCTATCTAGCTCTGTACTGTACAGAAACAGAGGAGTCCGCGGCTCCCGTCGGCCACCAATCTCCCGGCTCGGACCACTCGCTCGCCTTCTTGGATCATCCCCATACACGCCTATCTTCATACATTTATTATAAACTCCCAGCTCCGGGGCTTTGGGACTCCTACAGCGCTCCTTTCCCCGGGCTTCCAACCCTTATTTCTTTTTCTGCCTCCTCGGTGGGTTTCCTGGTATACGCGCGGCCTTGCGACAGCTTTTGTCGCTCGACCAAACATGGCGCCAAGGAAGGATTTCAAGGCTAAGGCCATGGCACAGCCAGTTCCCGAAAAACGGGGGTATGAGTTTGGTGGCCCGTATGTCGTCTGAAGTATCGCGTGCTTGCAACCCAGAATTGACTTTCAACAGTCTCGGCGCGTTTGTATTCATTTTCGGCCTCTCAACTCTTATCTACATCCTCACCTTCCTGTGTAACGATGTATCCGGCTGTCCTGCTCCGTCGCTGCTGAATCCCGCGACGTTGTCCTTAGACAAGTTAAAGGAGGAGGTCGGTTGGCCACAAGGAGGTCTCAAGGCGTTCTTTGACATTCGGGTGACCCTGTGGGTGCTGAGTTATTACCTACTCAGTCTGATTTTGTACGTGTTTCTACCAGGTGAGGTGGTCGAGGGCACGGAATTGGCCTGCAAGGGAAGGCTTCGCTACAAGTTCAATGGTATGAAACCTGAAACTGTTTTCTATATGGTATTGACTGGCAGTATTATAGCCTTTCCTTCCGCCATTTTGATCCTCAGTGGTCTAGCCCTGGGCACATACGCGTACGGTTCTGACTTCATCGTATGGACCTATCTCTGGGATAACTACGTGCAGGTCATCACAGCAAACTTAATGATTTGCACAGCCCTCGCTGTCTTTGTTTATGTGAAAAGCTTCTCCGTCCCTGCACCTGGTCAACCCAACCCCGAGCTGAGAGAACTGGCACCGGGTGGTCACACTGGAAATGCCCTGTATGACTTCTTCATTGGCCGGGAGCTTAATTCTCGGGTGCAGTTGCCCATCCCCTTTGTTGATGAGGCCTCACGAACAATCGATATCAATGTATGGTGCGAAATGAGGCCGGGTCTGCTTGGGTGGATTATTTTGAACTTGTCCAACATTGCCCGCCAATACAGGACGTACGGCTACATTACCAACTCCATCGTACTCTCTACCCTATTCCAAACCTTCTATGTTCTGGATGGGCTGTATATGGAGCCAGCCGTGCTAACCACGATGGATGTGATTATGGATGGATTCGGTTACATGCTCTCTTTTGGACACCTGGTATGGGTACCGTTCGTCTACAATATCCAAACCAGGTACCTTGCGGTTTTCCCCTTGGAATTGAGCTTGAAAGGCATCTTTTCGATCTTGACTGTTACTGGCGCGGGGTACACGATTTTCCGTGGTGCTAACAATCAGAAGAACCGTTTCCGCAGGGATTCAAACGACCCACGCATGAAGCATATCAAGTGCATCCAGACGTCTAGTGGCTCTAAACTAATGATTTCTGGCTGGTGGGGACTGGCGCGCCATATCAATTATTTGGGCGATTGGCTGATGTCATGGTCATATTCATTGCCCACCGGGGTTGCTGGCTACACCATAATTGAAAGCATCAATAGCAGTGGCAACGTGCAGAAGCAGGCCATACAGACTCCCGAAGTACGCGGGTGGGGAATGGTTTTCACCTATTTCTTCTTGCTTTATTTCGGTGTCCTCCTCATTCACCGGGAGGGACGTGATGAAGAAAAGTGCAGGAGGAAATATGGCGCTGACTGGCAGCGCTATACGTCTATTGTTCGCAGCCGCATCGTTCCTGGTATCTACTAGTGTTTTAGGCCAACGATGCTATGCTGCAGCTAATCTGTATATATATCTTGGTACAGACGAGCTGGAGAACCTAGGGTTGTCTTAGGTTTACTATATCATGATCAAGTTTGTTAGAGCAAGTCACCTAGGGACAACTGCATAAGTTACCGGTCTGCATAGTACGTATCCCACACTACATCTCTTCGATTGCCAGGCCGGCATTGGGGCAGGTATGCCAGCTTTACCCTACTTGTGAACACAAAACATTTGCTCTAGTTTCTCACTTAGGAGAGTTTTCCGCAAAATCCTGTTGGGAGTTGAAACTCGCCTTTGTCGGTAGTACTGTGCAGGAGAATGACAGAGTGATTCAAACGCTCCAGCAAACAAGGTTAGATCTTAAATTAAATAGTATACAGAATGGCGATATCTACAGATTTTCGTGCTATTGACCAAACGCGCCCCACATATCCCGCAATGAAAAGAAGCCGAGAAATGAAGCGAAGGCACGTTCTTGTCAATCTACCGACAGTCGACGGTTATACCGAGTGTCAACAGCAGGACTGCGTGACGTGGAAACTCTATGAAAGACATGGGAACTCTGCGGCCATTGGCTCACCCCATGTGTAATCTTCTTCAGCCCATAGTCAAAATTCAGGACGCATTGGACCGCACACCCCAGGGTCAGTACAGTAAGAACCAACGACACACTAGCAAATAGCAGCATCATGCCATTGCTTACATTTGCATGTAGTGAGTCTCTGGCGAGTAGAATAGATGAAACAACGGCAGCGACTGGAAGGGTGTAGATTATTTAGGGGGATTCAGGGGGAAAGAAGAAGTTGGGAGAGAGGATGGTTAGAACAGCGGGGACGGTTCTTATTTACTAGAGGTCATGCTGCGGGTGGTGTTAACAAGACGGCGTATTAGGAGACCATACCCCAAACGGCAAAACTAACCACAAGAGGGAATTCACAGGTCCTCGCTTTACATGCTAAATATCCTATTGGACTTCGGAAAACCGCAGTGTATTGAATGATATTGAACATACAAAAGCGTCCCTTTTCGATGGTCAAGCCTGAATACCGCCCTGGAGCTATGGCCTTGGGTAGACAGATAATGACGCTAAACTGGAGTTGGTCATCCCTCCGAAAGTTGACAGTCAAGATCCGAATGCAAGACAGCCACTTACAGCAGGTCCCTTATATAGAGGCTTACTCGACTACTGCTAGCTCTAGGGAAGAGAAGGTGATCTTCAGAGCAGAAACAAAATAGTTTTCAAAATGGTTTTCGGAACCTTGTACACGTTTCCTGTAAGCGAATTGCCAATTGTTGCGTTTTGTTACCCTATATATATATATATAGGTACTAACAGCCACCTTAGGGCGATCAGTGCCGAACGATAGCCATCAAGGCAGTGGCCAAGGCTAATGGTCTCAATCTTGACATTCGCGAGACCCCCAGGACGTCCGATCATTTGAGTATCAGCAAGCTCGGCAAGGTCCCTGCCTTTCAAGGAGCGGATGGCTTCAAGCTATTCGAATGCATGGCCATTGCTCTCTACAGTTAGTCAACCCATCTTGTTGGCGTGGTCCAGAGCTGACGCCACCTTCATCAGTCACTTCTCAAAATGAACAGACAACCCTTCTCGGAAGAAACAAGAAGGAATACGCGGAGATCATCAAGTGGATGTCTTTCTTCAACACCGAGATCGTAATTCTGATGACTCAACAGTTACTGCCCCAAGTGGGTGTGATTCCCTACGACAAAGACCAGGTGGAGTTGTTCACCAACATGACCCAGAGATCCGTTGATGTGGTCGAGGAGTATTTGCAAGACCGCACATTCCTGGTCGGCGAGCAGCTATCCCTTGCCGATCTGTTTTGCGCTGGAAACATTTCGCTTGGCTTTCAATACTTCTACGGCAAGGCGTGGAGGCAAGAGCACCCCAACGTGTCTCGTTGGTACGAGATGATCTGCCATCAGCCCATTTATGCGGCGGTGACGGAGAAATTACAGCTTCTGGATGAGCCCAAGCTGACCAACAATCCGCCTGAAAAGAAGCCCGAGACCGCGCCCGAGAGCGGTGCTGCCGTTGCTGTTGAGGCTACGCAGGCTTAGGCTCCCTACTCGCATTAATGCAATTCTCCATCCTTTGTGCTTGTTCTGTGGCAGATTCCTTCTTCCGAATATCCTTCCAACCCATTCCAAATGAGGATATCAATCAAACTGCTCCAAGCGCAGCGGCCATGTAGAACACTTGGTCGACACTTTTCGCGTAAGCTCTGAGCACCCAGGCCAATCTTGAGTCTGGACCACATCCCGTAGCCCCGTAGCACCGGCAGCAATGATGGCTTGTGAATCGACATTCGGTGCGTCCTTTAAAATTAATGACTTGGGACCGGCGGAGAAGATCACATCGGCGAATGCAAGAAACAATGCACCGGCTAGTGCTTGGGAAAACATGAGAATTGACATGGCCACTGATACATGAGCTTGTGGCAACGTGTTTTAAACCGCAACGAGTGGCTGATTCCGGATGTCAGTTGGGACCCGAAAAAAAAGCAAAACCGTACCGTTTGAAATTCAGACCCTCGCCCTGCCCCGAGAATGATTTGATATCCAACCCATTTCCCCGTTAGGGTTTAGGGAAATGTACCTTGGTGTTGAAATTGGTGTAGATCCTCCCTGTGAGGGATTGCAAGCAGGCGCTATATGATCAGACCGCGTCAGAGTGTAGATAGAAATGCAAGACAATACCTGGCGATTTGGTACGAGCTACTGTACCATCCCAAATCTTCAAGAGAGTGAAAGTGAGTTGTAATAACCGGGTTAAGGCAGAAAGTCAACTTACATTGACAATGATCGCAGTATCAAGAAGTATCATGAACAAACCTGAGTCACTGCAGATACCACCATCGACAGCTTGAATCCAGTATTATAGTGTCGTTCTTCATTTTAGGCCGGCTCTGGTGCTATGTCCAAGTTCTCCATGGCGGAAAGACAGAACGGAAGTCCTGATTAGGAACAGAAATCATCTCGTAGTCGAAAGAATTCTGCCACCCCCGTGCCTTGGAAAGATCTAGACAACGTGTTCTGCCAACCAGACCCTGATCAGGCAGATGACAAACGACTTCGGACCTCTCGGTGGTCGCGTTTCGGGCAATCTGATGCAAGGACCGACGCGTTGCAGGTCGGTTAAGGTGTATCGATTGCCGCCCAGGAATTCCGAAAAATGGAAGAGGAAGAACCTTATATGTAGAATGGCGCAGAATCCCACAGGTTTAATGTCAAAGTTACATGTGTGTAGGCTTTTTATTGTTTACCATGGACTTCAGGCTCGCACTCTTCATAACTGTCCTTTCCGCACCATTATCTGTCTTCTTGTACAGACAGATCCGTGCGTCGCTCGGGGACATCCAACACACGCCCGAAGAACGGACCTTTACTCCTGCGAGATCTGGACCGGCGGCGCAAGGGGGACAAACATTCCCTAAACCCGTGTACCCGATCGACGCTTTCCCCGGAAGCAGGCAGTTCAAGACTGTGTATGGAACAATCCATGTGTTCGAATGGGGCCCTGAGGATGGGGAAAAGGTGTTACTGGTGCACGGCCTTGGTACACCCTGTATAGCATTGGGTGATATGGCTAAAGAGCTAGTTCGCAAAGGCTACAGAGTCATGATTTACGGTAAGTTGTATCTGTTCTTTACCCTTTGACTGTGACCGACTGAGACACCGACTTAGATCTGTTTGGTCGGGGCTACTCCGATGCGCCGAATGACCTCGTCTTTGATGCGAGACTCTACACCACGCAGGTTTTGCTTGTGCTCTCTTCGTCCCCGCTATCCTGGACTGGTACCTCTGCCTTCCACATGATCGGCTTTTCCCTCGGTGGCTCGATCGCCGTGGCTTTCGCCGCCTACCATGCGACGATGCTCCGCTCCGTAACTCTGGTGTGTCCAGGAGGCCTCATCCGCACGTCGCACATGAAGTCCCTCGACAAAATTCTATACTCCTCTGCTAGGGTTATACCCGAGTGGCTACGCCTCAAACTTTTTCGGGAGAGTTTGGAGCCCAGGAACGGCGCGGCCTGTGCTGATGTTCCCGGGGAAATGGAGGACGAGGACGACGTGGCTTTTGATGATGTGCCTATTGCGCAGGATCGGCCCCAGGTCACCGTCGGAGATGTGATCCGATGGCAGCTAGCAGCCAATGCAGGGTTTGTACGGTCCTACCTGAGTACACTCCGCAGCGCCCTAGTCTATAGACGACATGACCGGACGTGGAGGGTCTTGGCCGACGAGCTTGCCAGAAGACGAGTGACGGACGCCCTACCGGGCTTGCCAGGGGGAAAGGTCTGTCTTATAGTGGCCGAGAAGGACGTTATTGTTGTGGGAGATGAATGTGCCTCGGACGCGGCGGAGATACTTGGGGCGGACGCCGTGGAGACTCACATCGTGAGTGGAGGGCACGAGATTGCCATCTCCAGATCGAGAGACGTGATTTCAATAGCCGTGGGATTCTGGAATAGACAATGACGGAGTACGATCATAGATATAGAAGACTTTTTTTCTTGTGTGTAGAATCTAGTTACTCTCACATCCCTTCTGCGTGCAGGTCAAAAGACAATTCATTTATAGCTCTACTTGTGTAATATCACCGGACTTATATCATTGTAGACTCAAATGCCTCGCGGCCTCCTCGACTATCTTCGTCCGCTCTGCATCTCGAATCTCAAGTTTGCAACCGAACCTCAATGGTCTCGGAGCTGGCACTGGTTCATACTGCAATTTCTCCCGAATTTCGTTACCATTCTCATCCGTCGGCCATCGAATATTCAGCGTCCAACCCAGCTTTGCAAACATGATCACTAAGGTCCTCTCCGCAAAGTCAACTCCTGGGCATGCTCGTCTACCATAGCCGAATGCTGGAAAGCCCTGACAATTTGGGTACGTTGTCAGGGGTTCCTTGTATGTCGGATAACTAGGCTCGAGCCAGCGGGCAGGATTGAAAAGTTTCCCGTCTGGATAGATGTCTTTGTCCATCAGGATAGACCTGGTAGATGTTAATCACAAATTACTGCAAATATCCAGAGGGTGAGTAGGCCAGATGACTTACGCAAATATTGCGTTGAATACAGTGCCCTTCTCAAAGAAATAGCCCTTGTAGATGTCGTCCGATTGCAGGCAATGGCCAATGCCCATTTCTGCAACAATACTTCTGTATCGGACGGTTTCTTTCACAATCGCTCTCACCGTGGGCAAGTTAGGAATGTCCGTATAGCTCGGCATTCGATCCTTGCCGACGACTCTGTCAACCTCCTCTTGGAGCTTCTTCTGCCACTCAGGGAACTCCATCATGAGGAATAAGAAAGTTAGTAGGTTGTTGTGGGGAGAGCGGGTCCCACCGTCAATCATGGCCTGAAAAGTGTGTACGGACTCTTCGTCAGTGACACTGTACTGGTCTCGGTGGAGGAGAAACTGTTTATAGATGCACTCTGTTGCTGAGCCCTCCTTCACAAGCGTCTCAATTTTGCGTCTGAAAGCCCACATTTCGCCCACATACTCTTTCCTGAGCCTCTCCATAGTCCTCAAGCTTGGCAGGAGCCACATAGGCAGCTTCCTGAGAACCGGGAACACATTGCTCGGGAAGCAGTCAGGACGGAAAGAGTTCATGAGTTCGGCCGTGAAGGTTTCATTGTGGTGGATGAAAGGGTCGGATGGACTGCGGACTGAGAAGCCGAGCAACGAGCTCGTCAACACTGAGTAGGAATATCGCAAGAACTCTCCATGAAACGAGTCCGGCGACTGTAGCAATGCGTTCATGGTGAACGTGGCTTCATCGTCCATAAGACTCTGGTATTTATTGATGGAGGTGATGTTGATAGCGCTTTGAATCATGCTTCTTTGGCGACGCCATCCATCTGAAGCTGTCAGTACTCACTCATAGCCCGTGCTCTCGTCGTGACTGGGTCAAGATGCTCACCGTCCTTAGGCCTGAAACCAGGATTCTGTTTCATCGAAATGTATTCCACAGCATGGGGAGCTCCACGATCAGAATATTTGATTCCCCGTTTGACAAACAGCTCTCTTGCGTCCTTATCCTCGGTAAGAATGACTTGCTTGTCGCCCATGGCGCTGAACTGAGTGATGGAGCCATATTGCCCTGCCCACTTCTTAAAGATGCCGATTATCCCATTAATGTCAACGGCAGCCAGAGCTGGCGCGCTTCCGAGGAATGGCCATCCTTTGATTCCTTTAGCCACGGTGGTTCAAGACTTAGATTGATTGACTTGATGTATACCTTTTGGCCCCGGCGGTACCTTGGCGCCCTGTCTACGTTGACGCGTTGCCACTATCCCAGCAATATACTGCAAAATGAAGGCCACCAAGGCTAACCACAACAAGTGGTACAACGAAATTATCATGTTCACGTTTGGTCGTCCCTGCTATGGCTCAACAAGATGTCACAAAGTGTCTCTTCAACATTGACCGTCAACTTCACAAGGTTTACCAGATGTTGGATAAGCAGGCTGGCCACGCCGTGCATGCAAATAGGTAACCGAATGCAGTAAATTTGCTATGCATTGCCCGCAAGGCAGGACGAAATTGTTCATGTCTCCCTACACTCGCGGATCATTAGGCTGGGCCATGACCATTCGGCGTAAGCATCCGATTCGGTACGTTATCCGTGTACGGTAATGATGCCGTTCGGCCAGGCGATCCATATGCACCCCGGTCGCATTTCGGTGCACGATAAGGTCACAGGCCTAAATGTGCTCCAGTCAATAGAACGAGAGCAAAGTAGGTAGCACTAATTCGCCCGATTTTGCTTGCTCATGTACAGGATCGGCACTCTCAGGAATAACGTATGGTTTAACTAGTCTTGTCGACCTTGCATCACCGTTGTATTGCTCATTACACACCAAAGTAGCGACACAAAAGGGATAATATTCAAAATGGATAATTTCATGGAGATGACCAAGAACCTCGGGCACCAGCCCGAGCTGCTACGCCTGAGAGCATTGGATGCCACTTATGAGGATGCCTTGGAGGGTAAACTTGTGGTGGCCCCCCTTGACATGAACGAGCCGGGCAAGAAGATTCTGGACTCTGGTACCGCGGATGGTAAGCTGTTTTACTTTCAACTTTGTTGTTTACTGTCGTTGACACCGTTGAAAAGGCACCTGGCTTCGCAATGTACGGAGCAAACAATCGGTACAGCACGACTACTATGGCAGCGACGTTGAAGGCGAGCTGTTCCCAGAGAATCCAGATGGCATCACCTATTTCGCCCATTCCTTCAAGGACCCATGGCCCCAGCAGTACTTGGGCTTTTTCGACCTGGTCCACATCAGAGGCAGTCTGGCGGGCTCCGCTCCCGAGGGACCTGCTCCTGTGATTAAGAACCTGACTACTCTGTTAAAGCCTGGCGGTTGGGTTCAGCTCATGGAAATGAATGCCTTCAGTCCTCCACCGAATGGTCCTGCCATGACGGACTTTGCCAAGATGGCCTCGGAGATGTTCACAGGCATCGGTGTCGGTGACTTTGCCAACAACAACAAGCCCCTGCTGGAAGAAGCCGGCTTGAAGAACGTCCAGGAGAAGCGCGTCATTGTCAAACTGGGCAAGAAAGCAAAGCCCGAGCTCCACGCGCAGAGTATCCATGGAGTCACTGGACCCATTGTGCCGTTGACTAGCGTGGCCAGGACCGTGAAATCTTCGTTTACCAGTGAGCAGCTTGATACGCTTCCGGCACGTGTCAAGGAAGAGCTGGAGACCGAAGGGGGTCAAGTTGAGATGATTATTGCCTTTGGCCAGAAGGCTTGAGATTTGTCAGTAGTATCTCTCGGATAGTTTTCTGTCCAATGAATAGAATGAATGTGAAATTCTCCTGAGCCATTATGTAACAGCGAACTACTAATTTCGTGCCCCGTCCTTTAATATCAGGTATAGCGCCCTTTCCTAAAGATGTATGTCTTGTCTATGACCGATGATGGACAGGACTTGGACCTTCCAATACTTTGAGATTAAGCTTCCCTAGCTAGAAATTGTCTAAAACATTTAAGTGTTTACTCGACATGATGACCTCTCTGCAACAGAGGTGCCCGAATGACTCCCCTGGAGGCCAACATGTAGGACCCCAGAGCCTCGTCCAAGCCCTTGCGAATCGACGAATCTACCCACTCCTTCAATGGCAGAACTTGCATTGGTCGCCCTTCCAATTCTCCAACATACTTTTGCAAGTCTCCAACAGGGATGACTCGTTCACCACTTTGGTGAAGATAGACAAGACCGCCACCACTCTTTTCGTTGCTTTTGACAACGCTGGCAGCAATCTTGTTTGATACGGTTTCGACACTGATAAAGTCGAAGAACCCACTCCCGGTTAGATCAGGCACAGCCCCTAGCTCCCTCGAGAACTTGAGCAGACTATGGGCAATATCATTGTCGGGAACATCGTCACCGGTGATGCTGCTGGGTCGGTGGATCCAAACTTGGCCTTGGAAGCGTTTTTGAACCTTCTCAAGGAAAACCTCGCTCGCCCATTTGGACGCCACGTACCCGTCCGATCCGTCGATGGGAGGGTGGAACGCGGCGAGCGAGGCCTCGGGCTGCTCATCGGCGCCACTCAGACGCGCGACACCTCCAGTGGAAATATAATGTACCGGGATGCCATGGCTGACAGCCGCCCGTGCCAGTTCAATTGTCGACAAAAAGTTGGCTGCCCGGAGACTGCGATAGTTCTTCATGTGTGAGACTTCAGCGCCGTTGTGAATGATGACATCGATGCTCTTGAATAGATCTGAGAATTCCGACTCGCTCATGCCCATTTTTGGGAGTGAAAGATCACCAGAGTGACGGATGATTTTGGGTGATTCCACACTCAATTGTCGGGACACACCATCCCTGTTGGGACGAATGGCCGCGCAGTGAACGTGTGCGACACTGGGCAATTCGACTAATTGCCGCAGAATGTGGCCTCCCAAAAAGCCTGTGGCACCGGTAAGTAGAACAGAGATCCCCTTTGCATCACTATTCAGTGATCCGTGTCCGTTGACTCCGTTAGTGGCGGGGGTTGGTGTGAATACCGTCTCGTCCAGGGCGGTCTCCTCGTCCCAGTTGATCTGTGCCGACAAAGAAGTACCGTCCAGTCGGGCAGCGAGAAGCTCAAGTGTGCTTGCCTGGAAAAGCTCGGAGACTGAAAGTTCAGCCCGAAGACTTGAGAGATCTCAGCCTTCAGAGCCAGCAGAAGCAGGGAATTACCGCCAACGGTAAAGAAGTCGGAGGTACGGCGGATTGGAATGGATGAAGCTATGTCACCCAAGACATTCTCCCAAATGTCTCGCAATCGGGCCTCTGTTAGTGTGAGCCGCTCGTCCGCGTCTTCGTTAGGAATGCCGGGCAGAGGTAACGACGCCAGCTTCTTAGAGTCAAGCTTGCCACGGTCTGTCACCGGCAGAGTATCCAGAGGGATGATGATTGCTGGGCGCATGTATGCTGGAACAGGGAGTTCTTGGTTGAGCTGACGGAGATATGTCTGCTTGTCCTGAATAGTGCTGGTTCGGGAGAAGACGACGTAGGCAACGAGCTGCTGCTTTGATGAATCGTCTCCCTTCAGCAGAGCAGCCGCATCCGCAAAGACGCCGCGGGATGTTTGGACAAGGGCTCTGGCAACATCCCCCAGACGCACTCGATGACCTCGAATCTTAACCTGATCGTCTCCATCCACACGGCCGGAGAGGACAATGGATCCGTCGGAAAGCATTCGACCCTTATCTCCAGTAAGATAAAGGGAACCCAATCCAAACACGTCTCCCAGAGAGGCCGAAGTCTTGAATTTAGCCTGAGTCAGCTCACAGAGGTTTAGATAGCCACTGGCAACACCAGGCCCAGCAATCGCGACCTCACCAGGCCAACCAAGTGGAACAGGTTTGCAATGCTGATCCACGATATAGGTCCCGTAGTTGGGAATAGCCTTTCCGATCGGGATGCTAGTTTCAGTGGAGTCGATTCTTTCAAAGGACACTTCGCCCAAGGAAGAGCAGATGGACGCTTCAGTCGGACCATACGCGTTAAAAACCTTCAAGTCAGGTCGGTTGAGCGCGCGGAACTGGTCCAAGAGGTGGACAGTGAACACCTCGCCAGCAACCATTGCGATGCGCCATGAGGAGCAGTTGCGAATTTTATCGTACCCATACTTCAACAGAGCTTGCATCTCGGAGACAATGTGGGTGGTGCAAGTAACGGATTCCTGGGCCATTAGAGCGGCAAGTTTTGCAGGATCATCTCTATTGTCAGCCATGATCAAGGTGCCGCCGTTGGCAAGGGCAATAAAGATCTGGTAGACTGCAGCATCGAACCCTTGTCCACTCTGTTGGAGAACCACCTCTCGCCCAAGTGGCACCCTCTCCGAAACACCGAGGATAGGGGTTCGGATGTTGGCGTTAGTTAGCGGGATGCCTTTTGGACTACCGGTGGAACCACTTGTGTAAAGGATCATTGCGAGCCCTCTGGAGCTGAAACGTCCTCGATCTTTCTGATAGTCTTCTGAGGGACGGCATTCAGAGTGACTAGCTTGGTTTTGGCAGAGATTCTGAGAAGCAGCTTGCTACGTTGGGCGGTTGCGCTGTGGTGGATGACAATCCCCGGTTGCGATTCTTGCAGGATATCAGTAAGCACTGCATCGGAGCTCCTTGTATCAAGCGGTACATAGGCTGCGCCAATGCGGAGTATGGCGAGAATCGTGGCAATTGTGTCTACACTGGGCTCAAGCAGGACACCGATGGGACTGGAAGGCACCGCGCCGGCGTTCAGCAGCGATGCGGCAATGGCGTTGGCCCTTTCTGAGAGCTGCAAGTATGTCTTTGCTTTGCCGGTAGTGTCTTTGACAGCCAGAGCGTGGGAGTCCTTGTCTACCCATGTGTTGAAAATCTTTGACAAAGTGCCAGCAGACGGAGCTGCAAGGTCTAAGATCGGCCCGGTACCGAGTTTGATAGCCTCGTCCTCCAGGGCAGCGTTGGAAATCGACACAGAGCCAACCGAACTTTCTGGGTTCTCTGCCAATACTTGAAGCATGTCCGCGTACATGGTGGCAAGTAGTTGAGCACCCTCTTGGTCGTACAAGTAATCTTGTAGATAGAGGGTAATCATGGCAGTTCCGTCGTCCAAGTCATCGACAGTCGCAACGAGATCGAACGGGTTCTGAGCGTCAACATAGTCCAAGAATTTCATCTCCACTCCCTGGAGCGGTGCGGTGCGGCCAGCTCCCATGCGGTAATTGAAGCATACTTGGAAGAGCGGCGTTTCTGTTGTCGATGATGCGACACCGCACGCTCTCAGAATCTCCTCGGTAGGAACACCGGTCTGTGCCAAAGCAGCGTATGCCTTGCTTCGTGTTTCCTTCAACAGTTCCACGAACCTTTGCTCGCTATCGACCTTGAACAACAAGGGGATGGTTTCCAAGAAGAACCCGATAGTGTTCACGAACTTCTGGTCGGACCGGTTGGCGTCTACCACCCCAATGCACATCTTGTCGGTCTCTAAGAGTCGGTGTAGTAGAACCTGGAATGCAGTGAGGTAGAAATGGAAAGGAGTGGTGCGAGAGGTCTGGCTCGCCTGCTTGATCGCGCTGACTACCTTGGCATCGAGATGGATGACAACTTCCTGGACAGCGTACTGCTTCACGGCCTTCCGTGTGCCAACTTTGGCGAAAGGGAAAAGAGGCAAAGGCTCGACAGGCTCTCGGAATTGGTCTTGGAAGAAGCGGAGTCTTTCGGCGTAAGCTCCACAGGAGAGATCTTCTTGTTGCTTAAGAGTGAACGCGGAGTATTGGGCTGGCAAATATTTGCCTGAGTCCGCTAAGCCCGAGTTGTTGTAGAACATGGCCATGTCCTTTTGCAATATTTGCCAGCTGACGCCGTCCATGATGATGTGATGATATCCGCAGATCAGAGTGTAAGAATCTGGACTATGTGACAAGAGGGTAGCGGCAAAGGTGTCGGCTTGCTCGAGATCATAGGGACGATAGCGGATCAAGTCAAATTCGGTCTCGACATCAGACGAGTCACTGACACCGGGAACGACCTTGAGCTGAAACGGTGACTTGTCGAGCACTCCCTGCATAGGCTTGCCATCCTTCTCATCTGTGTAAAAAGAGGTGTGCATGGCCTCATGACGCTGAATTACCTCAGTGATCGACTGCTCCAACTTGGAGACATCCAGCCTCCCGTAGAGGGCGTAAGATATGGTGCAGTTCAGGACTGTATCATCGTCCATGTATTGAGATAGGAAGTAGAGGCGAGATTGACCCAACGACAACGGCTGTATCCTGATCGGAGTTGGGCGAGGGCCTTTCTTTGCGGCACTACCGCCAGCTGGAGTCCTCCGGAGACGCCTGAACTTCACGGCAACGTTTGAGGATTTCTTCGATATCCCATTTGGCAAGCCGTTGTGTTCACTTGTGGCAATCTCTGACCTGGGCGCGGGTATTACGTCGTCCGTTCGCTTTGTATCAGTTGGTGGTTTATCCCAAGGGCGAACCTTGTGAGCCGGTGCTGCTTGGTTTTCGACCTTGGCGGCCGCGATCGAAGTCTTGTCAAAAGACAGAGATGCGACTACCTCATCGCAAACCTGGGCTACCGAAGATCCGCCCAGGATCTTCAATACTGGAAGGTCATATCCAGCTTCGGCCCAGGTCCAGTTCCGAATCTGGACGGCGACGAGGGAATCGATACCGAGGTCAATAATCGGCACGTCGGTGTAAATCGTCTCGCGTGACAGCTGTGTGTTGTCAGCAACCGAAAGTTTGAATAAGGGTGTACTTACCTTGAGTGAGGACGCTAGATATTCCAAGAGGGCATTCTCCATGACCTTTCTCGCTTCCTCTGGTCCACCCGAGCTGAGCAGCATCTCCTTCAAAGATTTCTGAGCGCTACCAACAGAGTCCGCACCCGCTTGCGCAGCATCAGGGTCAGTTATGAGATGGGAAAAGCGCACATTATGGTGCCAGAAGGGAGCCTCTCCTGTGACGGGCTTGTATGTCTCCAACCCTGTAATTAGCTCCGGGGACTCATCGCTCTGGCCGACGAGGATGGCCTCGGCGAGCAGATGATGTAGGTCAGTTTCAGACACGGGCATGTAGTCCATCTGTCTGATCGAGTTCTCCATCGTGCTGACACCTTTGTCATTTTGGGATCTCTGAATAACACCGATGCCGACGACCATGCCGATATCGATAACAGAAGCTGGGAGACCCCGGGCCCTTCGTCGTTCGGCCATAGCGACCATGAACTAAAAGCAATCAGCAGCCTAGAATCACCTGCATATGTGAGAAAAGGTTTAGACTTACATTGTTGGCAGCAACATAGTTAGCCTGTGTTCGCTGGCCCGTCATTACCGAAATGGACGAGAAGAAGAGGAAAAAGTCAAGGTCGTCAGCCGAGAAAACCTCCTCTAGGTAGATGGAGCCTTGTGCTTTAGGCTTCATGGCAGTTTGGAAACTCTCAAAAGGCATGTCAATGAACAACTTGTCGTCCAACACCATGGCGCCATTAGCAATGCCACCAACTGGAGGCATGGAGCTGACAATGCGAGCGCGGAGGTCCAGGAGGTCATGCTTTTTGGTAACGTCAACTGCTTCAATGACAATATTGACTCCTTGTTTCAGCAACTCCTCCCTCCAGAGCTGTCCTTGCTTCTCGGGGTTTCTGTAGAGCATGGTTAGTAAAGTCAGACAACAACAATCGAAAACGACAGATTACGTACCGACTTGTGACGACGATATGCCGAGCTCCACCTTGGACCATCCAGCGACATATTGACTGACCAATATGCCCGGTAAGGCCGACAAGAAGATATGTTTTATTCGGGGAGAATAGGTTGCGAGTGTCAACCGGTCTCTGGCTCAGGGTAATGCTCTGAGCGCCTGTCCAGTCAACGAGAGCAGCATTGGCATGTTCCCTATTTCCCCTAGCGACCAAGGCAGAGGCTTTTACCACACTACTATGGTCAAATGAAACCTTCTCGGATGGGGAATCACCCTGTACGAAGGACAAAGATTCCGCAAGCAATTCATGAGGGTTGATTTCATGAGCTCCAAGGTCATTGAACGCAACGACTGTAGCGTGCGGCGGGAGAGCTTGTCTGAGAGTTGAGAACTCGCGTGTCTCGGTTCCTCGTCCCATGTGGATGAGCATCCTAGCCTTGGGGGGTAGCTTCGCTTGTACCTCCTTTCTAGAGGCATGCGGATCGATCACAATATGGCTACCTGGGATTGACCATGTTGCACTGGTTTTGAAACTAACCGACGAAGTAGCTGGTCGACCTGGCCTCAGCAAGGAAGCAGCAAGATGAGCATCAGGCTCGTAAATCAAGGTAGTGCATCCGGGGGGAACGGACTTGGCGATGACAAGAGATCTGATCTCGTTCAGCAGCTCCATAACAAAAGCACCGTGATCGTGTGGTGTATCCTTGTCGACTGGTATCGTCCATGCGCGTGGCACTTTTACCACCGAGGCATTGGATGGTGATAGACCCAAAACTCGTGCACCTTCCGACGTGCGTCCAATACAGCAGAAAAGATCCTCATTGTCAATATTGGGAATGACAGGCTCCATCGAGCACAGTTCCACCTCAATAGTAACGGGGTCGGTTGCACCATGTGCGAGATCTCTGTGGCAGTGGACTGCTTCCGCTGTATAAGCGACTTGGCCATCACTCTGCGCAGATCTGCTGAGGGAAATAGGCTGCGATTCGACAGGAACTTGTGTCTCGACTTTGCGTCTCAGAGCATTGAGTCGGTCGTTGCGCTTCGTATCTGGAAAAAGTCTCGGAACGAGGTATTTTCCTTTCTCCAGGGAGACTTCTGGCTCAATCGTCCAGAGATGAGTAGTGTCCGCGGGATTGCCATTCTTCATGTTCAAGCCACCGATGAGTTTGAGGAAACTCTCTGCAATGGCTGACTCGACTCCGTCCAGCGTGTCCACATCGAGAAACTGGAGTAGTTTCTGTGGATTCTCAGACTGGAATGACCGACCAATGCCGATGGTGGCATTGTGGTAAGGATTGTCAGCTTTGGCCCGGTGGGTAATCCAGAGGACCGTTTTCGCCGTTGAGAAGAGTACCTGCAGACCCTTAAAGGTTGGGGCTCTGAGATCCTCCAGGACTGGGCGATCAAGATCAGTCAGACTCAGAACAGCTTCAACGGTGCTCGCTTCATCGCTGAGCTCAGCGAGAGTTCGCACGTTGATGATGTCTCCATGCCAAACATTTGACAGCTGTGACTGTATAGCTGTAGCAAGCTTGGCTATATCCGCCGAGAAGCCGCCTACCACGAGGAGGTTTCCACTGAGTGGAGCGGGCGACGGAGACGTCAATGGGCTGCGTAAGAAGGTGATGTGATCATCGAGGGCCTGGGAGACGACGACAGAGAATGTATGCTTGTCGGGCACATTGTCTAGAGCAATCGAGTCGACTCCAGAGAATCCGATCTGTCGGAGTAGGTCGTGGGTCTCCTCTCGCGTAGTGTTGATGAATTTGGTCTGTGCCAATCCTTCCTCGTCAAGCGAAGGGAGTGCGGACATCAACATGAAGGGGAAACGGAGCTGGGCGCCAGTCGCAGCCATCATGAGCATGAAACCTCCAGGACGCAACAGATTTCGGACGGTCTTCAAAGCGGTGACTTGGTTGGTAAAGGCCTTGTGGACAATGACCAAGTCAAAAACGCCGGCGCTGGTCAGATGATTAACCTCGTCAATCCCATTTTCAACACTGGCTGGCGTGAAATCCACTCTTAACTGGTCTGCAGCAAGAGCACTCTTCATCTCCTCGATAGTGTGCTCTGAATCATCGACTACGGTATATCTCTCCAAGCCGCGACCGAGCTCATGGCAAATCGAACGGACTAGCCGTGGTGAAGATGGACCGACTTGAAGGATTCTCAGATTCGCGTGCTGGTGAGAGATTTGCTTAGCTGCGCTCACGAAATGGCTCTGAAGTTGTGAGAAACCCAAGCCCTCGTGGTGCCAACGAGCTATAAGAGCACCCATCGATGAAGGTGTGATCGGGCCAAGGCCCTCACTTGGGGAGTTGAGGAGACTCTCGCCGATAGTACGCACGAGGACAAGATCGATGTGCTCTCCGACTTCTTCCAGCATTGACACCATATCCGATTGCTCCGGTATGCTAGTAACACGAGCTTCTATCTCGCTGATCAGAGAACGTAGCCCGGGACTCTTGTCAGCCCACTGGTCTAGGTGGCCGGCCGCCTTGAGTTTTGACAGGTAGTAGTGAACAGCCTTTTCACAAGTATCAATGACCTTTGTCTCGCTTTCTGTGGCTGCGATACAGTGTTCAGCTGATGCACAGAGTGCTCCAGAAAGAATCTCCTGTCCCCACACGTTCTCTAGGTAAAACCTCCTGTCGTCACTCTCAGAAGCAGGGAGGAATGAGCTCATCACAAAGTCTTCAATCTTGACTTGGAGTTGATTGGTTTCAGAGTTTAAAATGCTCATGTCACCCGTCAGTGTCGGTAGAGCTACCTGATAACCAGGTGCAAAGTCGGTGATGTGCGCGTCCACGGTTACCGAAGTGCCAGGAACTTGGGAAGTGCTCGATGGGGAGAACACCATTCGACCGACTGTAGTGGGCATGAAGGCTGTCCATAATGAGCCGTCCCGAGGGGCCGCGAAAGCCGCGAGGAAGGTCTGGAAGCAGGCATCAAGCCAGGTGGGATGAACGGGAATAGTCCCAGCTAGGTCTCTATCCACGGCCACGGTAGCAGATGCAAAGTTCAGACGTCTCCGCATGGACGTCATGGCCCTGAACGGTCCACTATAGCTTAGCCCGATCTCGTCCATCGACGCGTAGAATCGATCGACACTGGTCGGCAACAGATCTATCTCCGTCTGTTGACGTCCGTTGGGGAACGAGATGGGTGCTTCCGATACAAGGGTGATTCGAATGTGGCCGGTGGCAGCAGTTCTCAATTGCCTGTCATCCATGGCACCAGCGCTGAGGGTAAATTGAGCATGAATTTCGTCCTCGTGCTTGTTGGAATCAAGATCGCTGCGCACAGAAAACAAAGTCTCAGTGCCATCTGATGCCTCGTCGAGGACAATTGGGCGTAATATGGCCACATTGGACAGCTCAATGCTATGTACATTCTTGCCCCGGCAAAGGACCTTGGCAGCCTCCAGAGCCATCACGCAGTAGGTAGCCGCAGGGACGATGATCTGGCCTTGGACACAATGGTCTCGCAACCAGGGCAGCTCCTCCATGATAAAGAAGTTTCGCCATCTGGGCTCATAATCGGTATCGTCGGGGGTTCTGCTACCAAGGAGCGGGTGAGGCGGATCAACCCTGTGGCGGACGTTCTTGTTAAGACGGGACTCGCGATACAAGACCTTCTTATGATCCCATGGATATGTCGGCAGCTCAGGCAAAGCCGGTGCGTTTAGGACCGAAGCATTGCTCGGGTCAAACGCGGACACGTACCCTGCAAAGTCGACAACCCCAGACCCCAATGTCATCCATGAGAACCCAAGAGCGGCACTCAAGGCCGATATGTCGTCGGACTTGCGATCTAAGACGCCAGAGTAAGGAATTTCCGAGCCAAGCTTGTGTCTGATTGTCTCCAGAGTAGGTCCTTTGAGTGAAGGATGCGGGCCAATTTCAAGAGCGAGGTCAAAGTCGCCATTACCTTCGTCCAGGGCACGTTCAACGGCTTGCGAGAACAACACCCTCCCAATCAGATTGTCTTTCCAGTAGGCCGCTTCCATGTCTTTATCTTGCGCAGAGGTGATCATTCTGTTATCTTCGTACACACTGGATGCCCAGGCCGTTCCATTGGATTTGCCAGCCACAAGACCGCAGCGCTCGATGGCAGCCAGATAAGGCGCCGCGCAAGGATACATGTGAGGCGAATGGTAGGCCGTGTCGAGCCGTAGAACACGATTGAACACGCCTTCAGAGTCCAGTAATTCCTTTGCCTCATGAACAGCATCAAGATCTCCCGAAAGTGTGACGCTCTTGGGCGAGTTACTGGCAGCAACGGTGAGGCGATCGGCGAATTGCTCCATCGCGCAAAAGTTGAGACCATCTTCATAGCCAAATCCGACGGCAACCATACCGCCCTTCTTTCCGTCTTTACCAATGGCGAGTTTGGTGTACACCCCGCGATAGTAGGCAATCTTGATGGCATCAACCTCGCTGATTTTGCCAGCGGCATAGGCAGAACCAATCTCGCCGCCAGAGTGACCGACGACCATGCTGAAAGTGATTCCTGCGCTCCAGAGTACCTTGACCAGGCCAACCTGAAGGGCCGCACATACGGGTAGGGAAATCTCAGCTTCGCCCAGCCGGGATGTTTTTGGAGGCTTCATGATCTCTTCTTTCAGAGACCACTCTGGTCCGTCGGGGAGTTGTGCCATTGCCTCTTCCATCATCTCGATGACTTGTCTGAATAGCGCACTCTTCTCCATAAGACCATGACCCATGCCGGCCCATTGAGCTCCTTGACCAGTGAACACACCCAAGATCTTGGGACGTCTGACCTGATCAAACTCCGGAACGGAAGATCGGGTACCAATCTCTGCACCAGGATTTGAACCGACTTTGGCAAGTTGCGTCCGGATCGCTTCGAGAACTCCAGCTTTCGAGGTCCCAGGAATAAAAATCCTGACTGGCAAAGTCGAACGATGAGAGTTGAGCGTCATTGCCAGGCGTAGAAGGGACACCTCGGTCCTCTCCAGATACTCTTGATACCTCTCTAGCATTGCACGGAGGGCTGTTCCAGAGCTAGCTGAAAATACCAGGGGTATGGGAGAGAAGTCACTCTCCGGTGTGGCGATACCGTTTGGGAGCTGTCTCATCTCTTTTGGCTTTCCCCAAGGGCCATTGTCATGAATTTCAGGCACGTAGCTTTCCACAATAGCATGACAATTAGTGCCTCCGGAGCCGAATCCGTTAACACTTGCCCGTAGCGGTGTGTCAGGAGGCACAACGGGCCAGGCCTCGGGTGAAGTAGCTATTGAAAGGTGTTTGAAAGAAGGCTTTACGCTGGGGTTGAGGTTGTGGAAATGTTGGTTCGGGGAATGGTCCTATGTCGCATGGCCAGGACAGCCTTCAGAATTCCTGCGATACCAGCACCTGTGTCACATATGGTCAGTTTCCCAGAGTTAATAAAGCATACCCGGATTATAATATTGCTTACATCCTTCGGTGTGACCAATGACGGTCTTGACTGACCCAACGACCAGTTTGGGTCTATGACTGTGGTCTTCTTCAGGTGGGAAGAACGTGGTGGCAATGGCGTATGCTTCTCTTGGATCTCCAGCTTGTGTACCGGTCCCTGAGACGCGCAAGATGGTTAGTCAATGAAAAGTCTTCTGAATAGCAGAGACTCACCATGCGCTTCAATGTACTGTGGGCGATCCTCCGCCTTTGAAAGGTCGAGCCCAGCGTTTTTATATGCAGTTCTCATCAACGAGACTTGGGCCTCAGCACTAGGTAAGGCAATTCCCTGTGTTCGACCATCAGAGTTGACACATGTCTCTCGCAGGAGTGCGTCGATTCGATCTCCATCTCGCAACGCCTGAGACAAGGTCTTCATGAAGAAGACACAAACACCCTCGCCTCGGGCGTATCCGTCAGCAGCTTGATCCCACATCTGTGACCGACCAGTGGGTGAAAGCAAATGAAGACTGGTAGCGGCAAGGTAGCAATCTGCGTTCAGAATGATATTGGAGCCGCCCACGCAGGAGATTTTACACTCGCCAGCGCGCAAGGCCTGGACACCAAGATGCACGGCCGCCAGACTGGACGAGCATGCCGTGTCAACACTGATCGACGGACCTTTCCAGTCAAAAAAGTAGGATAGACGATTCGACAAGAGAGCGCGAGAGGTTCCGGTAATCATGTATTTGGAGACGTTCTCAATATCCCTCAGCTGCGTATCGGTGTAGTCGGCCGACATGGCGCCCATGTAGGCTGAAGTCGCGCTGCCTCGCATTCCATTCAGCGTAAGTCCTGCATTTTCCATCGCTTCGTACACTGTCTCCAGCAGGAGCCTTTGTTGCGGATCGATCGATTCGGCTTCGCGCGGTGCAATACTGAAGAATCCCGCATCGAAATACCGCGGATCCTCCTCAATAAAGTATGCATTGGTTGCGTTGCTTGCACCATGATGTTCACCGTCGACATTGTAAAAGCCCTTGGGGTTGAACCGTGATTCAGCGGGCACTTCTCTCGTGAGATCCCGCGGCGAGTAGAGTAAATCCCACAACTTTGAAGGAGACGTCGAATCGCCGGGGAAGCGACACCCGGTGCCAATAATGGCAATGGGCTCTTTTGGTGAATGTGTGTAGACCATGGCGTCTAAGATAGAGTGCAATAGTATTGCGGAGAAGGGGAGATGTGTGCCAGGGCTGATATGTGAGGTTTTCTGTTATTGTGCTAGACCTTAAGCTACACACATAGATTGGATCAGATTGCATATTCGAATCTATTAGGCCAAATCAGCCCTGTATACCAGGATCGTTGCTCACAGTGTTTTCAACTTTCGGCCATCCGACGACCGATACGATTGGTGGCATCACAACCACCGAATTCGGGATGGGGGCTATCAACTCAAGATCCGAATCCCAATACCAATAGAACAACGCCGTTTCTCTGTAATTCTGTTACCCATCTTTATGAGCTGCATCACTGAGCTAAGGTATCTGCAATGTGTACGACTAGAATTGGGCACTGACCGATGGAGAAGACGATACTCAACTAGATATCTTTCTCGCGTCATACATCTCGATCCTGAAGGGGCCCCGATAAGACAAAATGGCAACTATACACAAGCTATTCAAGTCACCCTTCTTCGACTTCGAGTTCCTTCGTCTCCTGGCCATGGCGCCACACGAAGGAGCCGAGATCGGAGAAGTCTTAGAAGCAGCAGCCAAGATCAAGGACCAAGATCCAGAGTCATGGTACAGCACTCTTCTCGAAACCGGTAGCAAGGCAGAAGCCATCGCAAAAGAAGCCGAGGCCTCTGGAGATCGTGTCGGTGCACGACGAGCGTACCTGCGCTCCTCCAACTACCTTCGCGCCGCGCAGTTCATGCTCAACGAAGGCCCGATCGGACAAGACCAAAGAGTCCTTCCAACAATCGAACGAGCCATTGCCAATTTCAGAAAGGGCGTCCAGTATCGTGATGGAAAGACGATCTTCTTGGAGATCCCATATGAGGGCGGAAAAACGTTGCCTGGATATCTCTACCTGCCGCCTGCCTCCCGGCGCATCCCTGGTCGCAAAATCCCTATCCTGCTCAACTCGGGCGGGGGCGACTCGACTCAGGAAGAAATCTACTTTGTCAACCCGGCTTACGGGCCGGATTTAGGCTACGCAGTCCTTACGTTTGAGGGACCCGGCCAAGGAATCGTCCTCCGTCGCGACAAGCTGCCAATGCGCCCGGATTGGGAATCCGTCACGGGTCCCGTCTTGGATCACCTCTTCGAATTGGCTACGCGCCATCCCGAACTTGAGCTGGACCTCGACCACATTGCCGTTACTGGCGCCTCGATGGGGGGCTACTTTGCCCTCCGTGCGGCCGCCGACCCCCGGATCAAGGCATGCGTGAGCGTGGATGGATTCTACAGCTTGTCGAGCTTTGTCGGAGGCAGGATGCCGGGGCCGCTCTTCAAAGGCTTTATGAGTGGCTGGCTCTCGGACTGGATGTTCAATGGAATCCTCAGCGTGCTCAAGAGGCTTGAGTTTCAGGCCCGATGGGAGTTCAACCACTTACAGTGGGCCACCGGCTCCAAGACGGATGCGGATGTCATGCGTAGCTTTGGCGCCTACACTCTGCAAAATGCAGACGGCACCGAATACTTGGCTGACGTGAAGTGCCCGACACTGGTAACGGGAGCAGGGGCAAGCTTCTACTTCAACCCCGCCACGACGACAGACAAGATCTATGAGTGCTTGACGAGTCTCAAAGACGGCGTGGATAAGGAGAAGTGGATTGCTACGGATGTCGCGTATGGAGGGCTCCAGGCCAAGATTGGTGCGTTTGGATATTCGGCACAGAAAACATTTGAGTGGCTCGACCAAAGGTTTGAGATTGAGAGGGAGCATTTGACAGCCAGCTCGAGGTTGGAAGACCTGGTGAGCAGTTTGTGAGAATCAGCGTTTAACGATGGCCAATAGTCAGAGAAATTTTAGTCATGTTCTACGAATAATAAGCAATGACTCCTGTATCCTGGTTCCTCGTATATCTTTTGAGTAGACGTCCAGAAACAAGTCCGTCCCAGGGCGTCAAAATGAATCATAATTGTCCATAGCCTTCCCTTATAAAGGTCCGTAGTTGGTGGGTAATACTATCCTTTTATATTGCTTTCCGAGACAATATATAATATATATTGTAAAAAACAACTATATTGTAGCCCATTGCTATGCAACCCCTAACATCCATAGTCAAAGACACGAAATATATATATTCAAGGCCACATTGTTTTTAAACGGTGGTCCCTGGAACACAGTGAGCTTGATACACAAGACATGGAACTAAGCTAGAAGTAATATAAACAGTGGAATCCGAATAATTGTCCATACATACTTCCAGCTACTCTGGATGTAGCTCTTAGATCTGGGAGACAGAGTAGATGCACGGATGCAGTACATTGATTTATGGCATTACGCATTACCCTAGGGTAAGAGTCACGCGATGATATAGCTTTACGAGCTTAGGTGCATGTACCCTTAGATCAAGTAATTAGATCACGAGTAAAATTGCCAAAAACCACTATATTCAGTCTAGTTCCAAAACTTAGGGTTTCCAAGTATAGGCTTGGTCATGGGAACGGGCCGCATCCATATCCAAGCCTGATCTGTAGCTATGTCCCACTAGGGTCTACTCAATGACGTTGTCAAGGTCCAGTTCCGCCGTACAGTTCGACAACAGCCAAACCTTAAGGAAGCTCGCCTCTCAAACGAGGGAAGATGGGTAGTATGTTACTACCAAGAAGCCAAAACTGTATCCTGGGTCAACGGACATGGGTCAGGCGTACATACGGAGAAGAGAATAGACCTACCCCATACCAGCAATAAGAGACATAGTCGTCTTTTTCGTCATAGCTGGAGAGAAAACCGCCAAGACAGCGCATACTCGCAGCAACATATGCCAGAGTAACGATAGCCGGGGGCTTCCACAAGGCAATCAAGCCTATAGTCCACGCCACTGTTATCATGGCGAGTGACCAGCGAGCTACAGGCTGGGACAGCAGTAGCGGGATTGTTTTACGGCCGCGTGTTGTATCAGCGGTGCGGTCACGGAAGTCTTGAGCATGGCCCTAACCAGGTGTGACGGATATATTAGCATGTAGTTGCTTCTCTACCGGGTGAACTCACCGTAGTAGCGAAAATGCCGACTATCATCAGTACCGCGATGGCTTTCAGCCCATGCAACTCTTTGCCGCCATCTTGAAACATTATCTGTCAGCATGTACCTTGGCAAAAGAATAGCACCTTGCCAGAGTGAATACCAAAGATGATTGTGGTCCCCCAGCAGTAACAACCGAGACCGATAGCTCCAATGAAATTTTTGACTACCGGAATAGCGGCCAGCCCGCCCTCATTGTATACCACGATGGCGATCGAATAGACCAACGTGCACGAGATCGTGTTGGTGCATATGGCGGCAATCCACATCAGTAAGAAGAGGACATGGTAGAGGAGGGTAGCTTGTCCTGGTGTGATCCTGCCAGAGGGTAAGGGTCGATGTGGCTTTGCTATGCTATCTTCTTCTATACCGTCAATCTGACGTATTTGATAAGTATTCCTGGTTGTTGTCGTTTTTGTCTGTGGTTACACGGTCTAACTAACCTGATTTTTCACCTGATCAAGTCAACATTTGATGGCCTCGCTTCAAGAAGAATGCTTCTGGACGCACCTGAAATGTGAGAAGATGTAACTGGTTCCACAGAAACCCCTTTATAATTAGGTGAAAGCCACATGGTGCAGCAAGCACAAGGGCTACAGCCATCTGCTCTCAGTATTAGCCAGTGGCCCTTCCTGTGCGTGGGGCGAGAGTGAGCACCAGACATACAGAAGGTAAAGCCGCTGCTGGGATGTCGGATTTGCCGAACAGATATAACGTCTTCAAGAAACTGAAGGGGAGTTTCCCCAGCCCTAGAACACTGTCCATTTCTGCTGCAGGGTAAGGGTGCTACAATGACTGCTGGATATTGAGAGAGACCTGGTGAAATGAACTTATCTGGAACTGTGGATGGCTTGATAGGATAGCTTATAGCAGTCGGCCCGTCATCAAACTCCTTTGGAAGGGATTATGAGTTTCGCCATCCGAACAGTCAGACCCTGACTGTGCCGTTTGGCCGTAGCACGCCATGACAGTAGCATAATACACCCAAATAAGCACTACGGCACAGATAGTGAGTTCCTAGAGCTTCAATCACCTTCTCCTTCAGGGCCTTATGCCGTTATCGCAAGTTTTCCGAACCAATCGGAATATGCTTTAAGTGAGACGGGGGAACAAACAGAGTATTTTCTTTTACATGCCATGGACAGAGATAAGAATCCATTCAATACAAGGGCTACTACAGATGAGACAGGCTCGCAAAGGCATGACGACTAAACCTAGATTGACTTCTACAGCGAGCCTAATTCACTGCTCGGCTTTCTTTTTTCGGCAATGCTCCCTAATGCTACTTCGGAGCCTTGAGGAATTCGGATGTAAGCTAATCCTTGTAGATGGTGGACTCAAATAACCCTGAAAAATCCGGGACACAGACTTGACACATCCACCACCCATTATTGAGATAGCTCATACATCATGGTCTACGAACTATCTACCCTTCAGCTTAGCTGCGTGGCTTTCGCGGCCTTCATGGTCGTGCTGGTGTTCCGGACTCGCACCAAAAACCTCAAACAGAACGTCCCACCGGGGCCAAAGCCATTGCCAATCATTGGAAATTTCCTTGATCTCCCCTCCAAAGGAGAGCCCGAGTATCTGCACTGGTTCAAGCACAAAGATGCCTACGGTCCCGTCAGTTCTATCAATGTTATGGGGACAACGCTCGTCATCTTCCATGACAAGGACGCTGCGCACGCGGTCATGGGGAAGAAGGCCCAAAAGACATCCGCGAGACCCCAGCTCAACTTTGCTCAGCTATGTGGGTTCGAGAACTTTCTCATCACTCATCAGTACGACGACAAGTACCGCCTGCACCGGAAAATGGTGCACCAGGAGATTGGGACTAAAGGGCTCTCTGCTGGTTTCCGCCCCATCCAGGAGCAAGAATCTATTCGTTTCATCCTACAGACGTTCAATCGGCCTGACGACATCTTGGACCACTTGAAAACGTAAGTGCTCTACAACATGGTAATTTGCTTTTCTACACTGTCTCATGGTTCATAGTTTGGCTGCAGCCATCGTCCTGAAAATTACCTATGGGTACTCCATCGAGCGAAAGAGCCCTGACCCGTTGGTCGAGTTGGTCGAACACGCCATGGAAAACCTGTCCCAAGCATTTGTGCCTCTCTCTTGGGTCGTTGACTCCGTTCCTGCGATTAAGTACCTTCCTGACTGGTTCCCCGGCATGTCGTACCGGAAGACTGCGCAACAATGGAAGGCCATCAACGAGGCCGCTGCGGAACTTCCTTACGATTTTGTTAAACGCCAGATGGTACACAAAGCCCACAATCCGTCATATGTGTCCAATCTTCTGGAGAAGCACATGGCCAAATCGGAGGATAACAAAATCAATGTTAGTGCGGCCGACGAAGAGGCCATCAAGTGGACCGCCGTCAGCCTCTATGCCGCCGGCTCCGACAGTACAGTCGCCATCATCCACAGCGTCATCTGTGGTCTTGTCATGTTCCCCGAGGTTGTAACAAGGGCGCAGGAAGAAATCGACCGAGTTGTCGGCTCCGATCGGCTCCCCAACTTTGACGACAGAGTCCACCTGCCTTACGTCGACGGCATTATCAAGGAAGCCTGGCGATGGAATCCCGTAGGACCCATGGGGTTGACGCACAAGTCCGAGGAAGATATAGTCTGCGGAGAATATCTCATCGCTAAAGGTTCCTATCTGCTTCCTTCTCTATGGTGGTTCCTGAACGATCCCAAAGAGTACCCAGAGCCGCGAGTCTTCATGCCGGAGCGCTACATGGAGCCTTTCAACAACCCTGACCCTAGCGAAGTTGCTTTTGGTTATGGCCGAAGATCTTGTGCTGGTCGTTACTTTGCGGACGCCAGTGTCTACATCACCGTGGTCCAGCTGCTGGCTGCTTTCAACGTTCGCAAGGCTAGAGATGACAAAGGCAACGAGATCCCCGTCACTCTCAAGGCGATCCCGGGCATGGTCAATCGCCCGGCTCCCTTCCAGTTCAAAGTCGAGCCTCGCAGTCAGCACCACATCGATCTTCTTCGCCGCGTCGAGTCGGAGCAGATACCTGAGGTTAGCCATGCAAGCCTTCTCAAACCGAGTACAGTCTAGGACCAAGTTATAGATAAACTGCGGCACATTGAGGAACACCCTGAGCTTTTAATTCAACTCGGCGCTCGTAATTGTGTGAAATGGTTACATTAGTTTGAGTAAATACACAGTATCTATCTAAATACTCATTAGTTCCTCGCCACATTGTTCCCTTGAATCCTTATCCGCTGTTAAAATCTCATATAAAGCTCCAGGGCCGGCAATCACTGCCACTAGATCGGTCTTCGGCAGTGGAGGATAATGTCGGCGACCACCATATTAGGTATCGTTTACCGAACATTGACTGGGGGCGAAATATTCATAGAAGACAATACAATCTAGTGTATCATTTAGTTCATTGATTCAGTTGGGGCAGGTCTTCCCTTGTGTCCATTCCTCTATTAGTGGACGAGATTCTCAACAATGGATCACCCTTATCTTCAGGACGAAGTTCTTCGCCAGAGTCTGCAAAACCCAGAGGAGTTCTGGTCACGCCAGGCCGAGCGCCTCCACTGGCACAGAAAACCCGACGCTGCACTCCGGACAGCCCAGAAGAGTCTGCAAGATGGCACCACGTACCCGATGTGGGAATGGTTCCCAGGCGGGGAAATCTCGACTTGCTACAATTGCGTCGACAGGCACGTCGCGGCGGGAAACGGACACGAATCGGCCATCTACTACGACAGCCCGGTCACAAATACAAAGGAGACAATCACGTATCACACGCTCCTCAGGGAGGTTGAGACGCTGGCCGGGGTACTGAGAGAGATGGGGGTCAAGAAGGGTGATGTGGTCATGTTGTACATGCCCATGATCCCTGCTGCCTTGATTGGCATGCTTGCTGTCAATCGTCTGGGAGCTATTCACTCGGTCGTGTTCGGGGGGTTTGCGCCCAATGCTGTCGCCCAGCGAGTCGAGGCTTGCAAACCTGATGTACTTCTCACTGCATCGTGCGGGATCGTTGGGAATAGGCCCCCTATTGGGTACCAAGAACTCGTCAAAGAAGCCATCAAGCTTTCATATCACAAGCCTTCACACACAATTGTCTGGCAGCGCGACCAATTACAGTGGAACTTCCAGGGGTCTGCCACTAGTTGGTGGAAAAACGTATGGCGCTGGATACAACGAGTTCTCTTCCGTCGCAGGACGAACACTGCAGGGCAATCATCGTGGCAGGAACTCGTGGCCAACGCCAGGGCACGGGGACTCAAAGCCGACTGCGTGCCCGTACAGAGCGATCAACCGATCTATATCATGCATACCTCGGGTACGACGGGAGCACCAAAGGGGGTCTTGCGCAATTCAGGTGGCCATGCGGTTGGCCTACAATTCACCATCAAGTACATCTTCAACATTCATGGCCCGAGAGACGTCATGTTCGCGGCGTCGGATATCGGGTGGGTGGTCGGTCACTCTTATATCCTATATGCGCCGTTGCTTGCGGGGGCGGCCACCGTTTTGTACGAAGGCAAGCCGGTAGGAACACCTGACACGTCTGCTTTTTGGAAGGTTGTGGAGGAATACAAGGTGAATACCATGTTCGCGACGCCAACAGCGCTGAGGGCGATCAAGCAAGAGGACCCGAGTAATACAAAGCTGTCCGAGATTGGAGCGCGCGGAGGCTTGCGATCACTGCAAGCACTGTTCCTCGCTGGCGAACGGTCAGAGCCAACCTTAGTCTCTATGTACCAGGAGCTACTGGATCAGCACGGCGGGAAGAATGCACAGGTCATCGATAATTGGTGGTCAACCGAAGCCGGGTCTCCGATCACCGGCCGCGCGATTGCGCCTCATTTCGGGTTGACAAGTGACGTGCCGAAAAGCTTAGACATTCCTCCAGTCAAGCCAGGAAGTGCTGGAAAGCCCATGCCAGGATGCGACGTTCGGGTCGTGGACGAGCACGGCGAAGAGGTACCAAAAGGGTCGATGGGGAATATTGTGCTAGCCCTACCTCTTGGGCCCACAGCCTTCAACACACTGTGGTTAGACGAGGAGAGATTCTACAAAAGCTATTTGCAGAGGTTTGACTCCAAGTTTCTGGATACTGGTGATGCGGGCTGGGTTGATCAGGATGGCTATGTTCATGTCATGAGTCGCAATGATGATGTGTTGAACGTCAGCGCGTATCGACTCTCAAGTGGTGAGTGCCAACCCTACCCTTGACACTCGTTCCAGATTCTAACTTTTCATAAACACGTGTAGGCGCAATTGAAGAAGCCATCTCGTCACATCCTCAGGTTGCAGAAGCCTGTGTGGTTGCTATCCCTGACCAGCTCAAGGGCCAACTCCCCTTCGCATTTATCTCCCTGTCTGGGTCGGAGCACCCGGACTCGGCCATACCAGCAACGACTATCACGGCAGAAGTTCAGTCACTTGTACGGAGTCGGGTTGGAGCATTCGCCGCGCTGGGAGGTATAGTACAGGGCAAAGGCATGATCCCGAAGACGAGATCCGGCAAGACATTACGGCGTGTGCTTCGGGAGTTGGTGGAGAATGGGGTTTACGAGGATTTGGACCGGAGTGTTGAGGTCCCAAGTACAATCGAGGATGCGTCGGCTGTACAAGTCGCGAGAGCCAAGGTTCGGGAGTACTTTAACAGGAACAAGGGTAAGCACAAGGCGATTGAAGCAAGGGAGACGGCATGAAACTGCAATATGTTACAAAGCCCATGTTCAGTGGAGCAGCTAAAATCCTATATGATATGTGAAAAGAGCAAGCTCTTGTGCCAGAAAGGCGCGGAATTGTCCGAGACCGTTTCTAACCCGGTGATGATTTCCGGAGTCTCATCGCTCTTGCCGATGAGGATCGCTTCGGCCAATATGTGATGAAGCTCACGCTCGGAGACAAGCATATAATCCAGACTTCTCAATGTAGAAATCACAGACTCCGAACCACCACTGCTATCTATATTTTGAATGAATCCGAGCCCTATGATCGGGCCAAGGTTGATCACCGACGCAGGGAGGTTGCGAACTCGTCTCTGCAACACCAAGCCGGTCATGAACTACAAAGTTGTCAGCGTGGCCGGACTCGTGAACCTGAAGATTCGGAAACTTGCATTATTAGCCGCATCGTAGTTGGCTTGGAATGGCTGGCCAACCACAGCCGAGATGGACGACAACAAAAGAAAAAAGTCAAGAGTATCACAAGAAAATACCTCATCGAGGACCAGAGAACCGTCCACCTTGGGCCTTAGAACTTCCTGTAGGGCGTCGTACGTCAGATCAGAGAAGGAACAATTCAACTGAAGCATTGCGCCGTTTGCCACACCTCCGATGGGGGCATAGCACTAAGGATCTGCTTGCGGAGGTTAATCATGTCTTGCTTGTTGGTAACATCAGCTGCCTTGATCACAATGTTGGCACCTTGACTTTCTAGCTCTTTTGTCCAGGTTTCGTCCCTGTTAGGATTCCTGTTACTGTTAGTAGCTATCCCTACCAGAGCCTTGTCTGTACGCACCGGCTTGTAATGACAACATGGCGCCCACCACTCTGTACTATCCATCTGGTGATAGATTGGCCCACCTGCCCACTCAGACCGACGAGAACATACGTCCTGTTCGGCGAGAAAAGACCGGAAGGATCAATGGGACGAGCAAGAGCGGACTGTGTCTCAAAGGAATCTGTTGCTTTCACTTTCCGACGTAAACAGTTAAGACGATCGTTGCGCTTCTTGTCGAAAAGCACTCTCGGGATGAAAATTCTCCTCCCTTGGACAGAGAGCTCCGGTTCGACAGTCCACAACCTATTTGAGCTATCATCCCTCATCCTTACTCCCCGATAAGCCGCAGGAAGCTCTCCGCCACAAGAGACTCGTTGCCATCAATCTGATCCAAATCGAGGAGCTGCAGAACCTTGTCCGGGTTTTCAGCCTGGACGGCTCGAACCAGTCCAGTTGTACCGCTTTGGTGGGGGTTTAGATTTCCTGCGCTGTAAGTGACCCACAGGACTATCTTGGACTTGTTTAACAGTTGATGTAGGCCTTCAAAGGTATCGCGACTGAGACTTTCCAGTACTGACTGATCCAGCTCGGTCAGGCTAAGCACAGCTTCCATTTGGTCAAGGTCCACGGTCTTCAAGTCGGCCAGGGACCTAGTTATGATGACCTCCCCAGCCCAGACACATCTTAATCTTCTCTGGATCGTCTGGATGAGCTGTTCAATATTGTGCAAGATGCCACCTATAATAAGAAGCGTCCCTCTACTAGGAAAGGGTGGTGTTGAGTCAAGCGGAGCTTTGAGAAAGCTGATTTGATTATCGACGGCCTGTGACAAGACCGCAAAAGGCGAATCGCCTTCTGGGTCCCTCTGCAATAAATCGACTCCCGAAAACCCAACGCTCGGCAGCGTGTCGTGTATTGCCTTGCGGGTAGTATCTGTTGCTTCTGGCGTAATGGCGTCTGCTGCCGTCACCGTCAGCAGTAGAAAACCCCCTGGCTTTAAGAGAGGTCGCACGGATTTCAAGGTAGCATACTCCTCTGTGGAGGCCCCAGAAGAATGATCAAGTCGAAAGAGCCGAGGTCGGTTGGCCCAACGGAGGCTGATTCGTCAGACGTTTCAGCCTCCCTTGCAATGTCGAGGACTATGAACTGGATAGGTAAGTCGTCCACTATCAACCTCCGCCTCATATCTTCTATGGCCCTGCCCGATGCATCCGCAATCGTGTATGAGCCCATGGCGTTTCCCAGCTCATGACACAAAGCTCGTACCAATTTGATAGAAGAGGCTCCAATCTGGAGAATTTTCAACTTCGCGTAGCGGTGCGAGAGCAGTCTGGTTGCCACCAGTATACTTGTATGAGCGTGCGACAGGCCCAAGCTTTCGTAACAAGAGACTAGCTTCCCTTGCTCGAGCACTGGGCGTGAGAGAATGTCTGGCAGCCATGTCTTTTTCAAGTACAGCCGTTTGTCTTGCCTCTCGGTAGAGGGAGCTATGGGGCTCATCGTGAGGCCTTCGAGGCGTATCTGTAACTGCCCAGTCTCTGAACTGTAGACGCTGGCGTCTCCTTTGATCATGGGTAAATCTGCTTTATACCCTGCAGTATATTCATATAGGTGCGTATCGATAGCTACAGAGGCTGGTGTTTTGATGCCGACGGACGAATTCGGAAATAACGTCAGTCGACCGATCTGTGTAGGCACGAAAATCGTCCATAATGAACCATCCCGAGGGGCGGCGAAGGCAAGTAAAAGTGTCTGGAAGCAGGCCTCCAGTATGGCTGGGCGAAATAGGCTTGATATACTTGGTGCTTCCTCAATCGTCGGCGCAAGGACACCGGATGCATAGTCCATACGCCTTTCAGCAGACGTTATAGCTCGGAAAGGTCCACTGTATCTCAGGCCTACTTCGCTGAGGGAACCATAGAATTGGTTGATGTTCACAGGCCTCAACCCGCACGGCTTGGTTTGTCTGGAGGAGGATAATAATTCTGACTCGTGGTCTGCGAAAGTCATGCGTAACCGTCCCCTGGCTACAGTGGCCGTGGTTTCGTCATGCGCGGCGCTCTTCTTGAGACTGAAATCTGCCTGGATGGAGTTAACTCCATCATTACCAGGTTCTATGGTGATCGAGGTCTCAATCTCCACTGGAGATGTTTCTAAGAGGATCGGTGGTCCGATTGTAACGTCAGAGAGCTCGATACTGTCTGCTTGTTTACCATTGCTAATATCAATGGCGGCCGCAAGGGCCATCACGCAAACCATAGACGTAGGGATAACGGTTTGATTGTTTATATGGTAATCCCCTAGCCACGGCAAGTCTTCTAACTTGAAGACGCGCCGCCATCTTGGCTCACATTCTGTAGCACGCGGGACTAGGCTCCCCAACAGCTCGTTAGCCAATTTTACCATGACTGGTTCGATTGAAGGCAAAGAAGAGGGTATACTCCCACTTCACAAGAAGTGTCAGGTTCACTAAGTTGCAAGTTCTGGAAATGGCAATATTGGAGAGGTTTCGCACGGAGAGGACGAAAGCTACCTGAGAATTCGACACCTTTATATTTGTTCCTTGTCTTCGGACTAATTCGGTGGACATCTCCGCCCTACCTGCACCACTGGCTATATGAGGCCAGCGCTGAATGCCGCCAAAGTATTACACTAAAAAGCTCACATGGATCAGTTCCTACGGATCTATTTGCAAGCAAAACGGCTCCCTACGACTAAAGTTAAATTGCAACCGTGACTATTATTGAAATCTGCCTTGGAGGTAAACTGCGATATATCCGTACATGCACAATTTCTTCCTCCATACTATGCTCAAGCGCTAACCGCTGTTGTAACCTGTTTCGAAGCGTATTTCTGAGCCATATAAGTCAGATCGCCCTTCACGACGTATCCAATATGGCTTAGTGCGAGCAGTTCCTTCATCTGCGGACTAAGCGTCTCTTGAAGCTCCTTTGGCAGCTTTGCGGACCAGTTTGTCAGAGGTCGCATGTAAGGCGCAGAGTAATATGCAAAGAGAATGGCTCGATCCTCGTCCTTGGTGACGTTGGAGCCAGAGGTGTGCCATAGGCGCCCATCAATCACAACAATGTCGCCCGCATCCGCTTCAAACGGGACCAGCAGATCCGGTGCGTTATCAGGCACATCCTCCCAGGTGGTCCACTTGTTTGAACCGGGGATATACAAGGTTGCGCCGTTCTCCTTGGTCATCCTCGTCAGGCACCAGATCACGTTGACTGCCCAGATATCCAACCACGGCGCTGGAAGGACGATGCTCTGGTCCGAGTGGAGAGCCATGCTCTCCGCGCCAGGACGAGCAATGTTTGCAGAGAAGTTGCTGACCAGCAGCTGATCGCCCAGCAATGACTTGGCCAAGTCTAGCCCGGTCGGGTTGATGAGCATGTCGCGCCAGTATGCGTCCAACTCGGGGAGATAAAAGACGCGCACGTTTGCCGGGTTGGGATCCAAGATAGGCTGGAAGGTGCCCTCGCCACGAGCCTCAGAGGCAGCTTTCGCCTGCCAGAGACGATCGAGTGCGTCTTTAGCTTCCTCTTTGGAGAGGACCGCAGGGATCTTGACCCAGCCATGCTCTTTTAGATGGGCCTTGGCGTCTTCCATGTTTAGCGTCACGGTCTTTCGAAGAGGGGTCCCTAGAATGTTGGTGGTTAGGAGTGCATTCTCGCTCTTTAGCCCTAGGGGCACTTACTAACTAGCTAGTGGTGCCCTTCGTGGCTCCTCAGCATTTCGGCAAGTTACATGGAGTCTTCGGTAGATTCGGTCAGCCGTGAAAGGAAATAGGACCGAAAACTCCGAAAACGTAGCGATGGAATACTAATCACATCTCTATCATGTATACGACTATTGGAGAGAATTAATTCCAGTTGGATTGATAACTGTTCTAGACTGATACACTGTAGGGTGCCATGAAGCATTTAATAACCCTCACAGTAATAGTACCAGGACTTGCTGCTTGAGTAATCAGTATGTACTTACCAATATAGCTAGAATAACTATCGCACTAAGTAGCGTTGGTCATCACTCTCTTCTGACTACAATATCCTCTAGGCAGCAATGCATCAGCTTTCAGGATACATATATTCTTTGCCAACATCTTGTGAATGGTAATTTCTCTCCGACTCACCCAAACTCGACAATGGATCAGTCTATGAAGCCCCTTCTCGCACCCACAGAACAGCCACGTCGACATCTTACGGCTTCTACCATCGCCGTAAGCCACTCAATGAATACTCCAGATATCTGGATTTGAAAGGGAACTGCTAACTTCATCATCAACAGTTTGTCCTCCCAAATCAATTCAGTCTCGGCACGCTCCTTTGCATCGGTGCTCTTCTGCAGATCATCCTCTGCGCCATCCTCCCCCTCCGCTATGCCGCCATCCCATGTGCAACTATCCTCCTCATATCCATTCTCACCACGATCCAAAACTACTTCCAGCCGAAAACAAATCCTTTCATGGCCGACGTCGTTCCCGGAAGAACCACCGCGCAAATCCCAGGCCAAGATGGAAAATACGGCCCGGAGCCAGGCAAGGGCTCCGTGGTAGTGTTCCACCTTGGAATACAATACAATCACCCCCTGGGGATCTTTGCGCCGCACATGCTCGAAATCTCGAACAAGTTCATGGCCATGCAACAGGATATACTCCGCCGCAAGGACGAGCTGGGCCTGCTGGCGGTTCAAACCTGGCGAGGCAGCGAGCGCAGCTCCAATAACACCACCCTGATAAAGTATTTCTTCAAAGACGTCGAAAGTATTCATAAATTTGCCCACGAACCGCTACATAAGGAGACTTGGGCGTACTATAACCAGCATCACCCTGGCCATGTGGGTATCTTCCATGAGACGTATATCACGAAGGATGGCGGATATGAGAACATGTATGTAAATTGCCATCCCATTCTGCTTGGAAGAGGTGAGGTGAAGGTCAATTGTCGCAAAGGCGGCACAGAAGAGTGGACAGGGACACTGGTCAGTGCGGATACACCGGGTTTGAAGTCTTTTAAAGCGAGATTGGGTAAACATGATTAAAGCTGGAGGGCTGTCCTCCCTTCCAATGACAAAGTTGCGCCACTTCGGATACACGTGCTACGTAGACCTGACAGGCGAATGATCCCTTATCCAGTAGCCCTTCTGACTGGTCTCCACTCGCCCATATCCTTAGTTTTTTACTTCTCCATTTGCATCTCCATTTGAAAGTCCGTTGGCCTTTCCGTTGGCAACCTCTGGTATGGGAATTGGCCCGCCTGGTGAGTTCTCCAGTCTCGCCGTCAAAACCTCGACGCCTGTCTCCGTAACAAGCAGAGTATGTTCTACCGTGTTCCACGTCAGTATATAGAGCCTTGCAACTGAAAGGGACCATACGCACCGAATTGTGCCGTCCGCTTCCCATCCACCGTCACATTTGTCCAGTCATCTGGCCAATACTTTTCTCGGTTGCCGCCCAAAGCTAGGATCGGTTCAATGGTGAATGTCATCCCGGGTTTGCATGTTCCCACAGCCTTGTTCTTTCCGTAGTGGGGGATCCAGGGAGGAGGGTGAAATTCCGAGTTGATACCGTGGCCGCCCCAAGTCTTAATGACAACCAGGCCCCTCGAGGTTGCGTGCTTCTCGATAATCTTGCCAAATTCTCGAATCGGCACACCTGGTTTGACGATCTCAATAGCCATGTCCAAGGCCTCCCGCGTCGTTTCAACGAGTCTGACCGAGTCCGGATCCGCCTTGGCCTTGTCACCAACATAGTAGGTCTCGTTCAAGTCGGCATGATATCCACCGTGGTACAGAGAGACATCGAGGTTGAGAATGTCGCCATCGAGAAGAACTCGCTGATCAGGGATGCCGTGGCATACAACCTCATTCGGAGAAGTACATATTGACTTGGGAAAGTGGTTGTAGTTGAGTGGAGAAGGATATGACTGCCTCACGTTTTAGCAAATAACAAAATAACGTGTTCTCCACAGGAGTGGATGTCAACTTACATCTCGCTCGATGCAAGCATTGTGGCAGATTTCATCCAAGTAGTCTGTGGTCACGCCGGGCTTAACCGCGGCGGCAGTGATGTCGAGGACTTCGCGAGCCAACCGGCACACCTTGCGCATGGCCTGCTGACCCTTTGCATCCAAGAGATCCCATTTTGACCTGCTCAAACGCATCTCCCGCTTTGGAATGCCAGTCTCGGCCCAGTCGGGACGCTTGATTGATTTGGGGACCGATCGGCGCGGGGAGAGTGGATATACGGGTCTGACCGAACCAGTGAATGGGTATGTTGGAAAAGGGTTGTAAAGTCCGGTAGCTGTGGCGCGATTAGCGAACCAGTCTTCGGGTTGTGCGCCGCCCGGGGAAAGGCGGTTACCATTTTGTGTTTTGTGCATCAACGCCTTGTGTGTGGTCTGGATATAATTAATATTAGTTGCTCAGCGATGGGAGGTCCGCATGGATGTCACCTACCCAATTCTTTTTGAAGCACTCTTGAGAGCAGAAGTAACTGCCTTTGACACCCAGCTTCAGACAGGTCGGACATTGTAAGGTCCCCGCTTCATTGTCGCAATCAGTCCCACAGCACTTCTTTCTGGGATCGGAGTCGGTCATCACCGCGGGCATCAAGATCGTATGCTCTGAAGAGTCGAAGAAGAAAATAGTAAGACCTCTTATTATGAAATTGAAATCCACACGCTGATGAGCGACGACAGTGAAGGAGGAGAGTTTGTTGAGAGTGAGAGATGGTAGTGAAATGTAAGTTGTCTGGTTACCGCTCATTACAAAGAAAAATCACTTTGTACAAGCCTGATCCACTTGCACGTGACATATACCACCTGACCCACACTTTGGTCTAGTTCTTTACTTGGCATCTTACATAAGCAGGTCTCATTCGAAGATATCGAAGCAGGGCAAAGAAGGCGGTCAGGCGTAACAACTAGTGTACCTAGATCGTACCATAAATGCACCTAAAGTGTAAAGTGAAATGAGGAAGAGAGATTGGAGGATACCCCACAGTACCTCAGGTATTAGGTGGATACAGGTCATGCCACGGTTAAGATACTAAGTTTCGGGTAACGAAAAGTGGAGCATGTCCCACATGTAAATAAATATAAAATACCCCAATTTCAGATTAATTTACGTTCTGTAGTAATTTCTGAACTTATACAACTAGCCTTACTGACTCCTTACACAGTAGCCAAATTGTCGTCACTTAATACCTTTCAGAATCCCAAGAATGATCCTTACAGCGTAATACCTATGACATGGATTGGCGAGATGTGTATTGATCTTATGGAATAGTTCAGGCTGGTTTGAAATTAAAAAGATAGCCAATAGCCAAAGACGCGTCACACACTGGCCGTTGCTGATATTGTATGCATGATCCAAGGACAATACAGAGACATTACGGAGTACATACATTGGATGTATCAAACTGATCCAAGATGGGAGGCGATCCATCGAGCGGCTCAACCCGAGTCAGCGCCGAGGTTTTTCACGAAAGCCCCTCGGTGACGGTGACCAAGGTGGCGGCCAAGATGCAAAGAAAGGCTGGAACATTCACCAGCAGTGTTCGTGCGCGGTGCTTGGGCAACCATTCCTGGAGCGCGTCCTCATTTCGGACTCCGGCGGTCTTGACATCGCCAATGCGGCGGAGGATAGAAAACATGGTCGGCCCCAGCAAAAGTGAGCGATGCTAAACAGCGCACCGGCAAAGTATAGGTTGCGAGCCTCGCGACTCTGACGGCTCAACCCATTGATAACACAAAGGACGGTGGCAGGAGGGTAGGTTAAGCCGATACCCCAGATCCCAGGACCCATGAAAGCGGGCAGGTATCGAGGGAGGAGTTTGCCACTCGGGTGGGCTGCGTCGTGCCGTAAGGAGGGGTGTAAGAATGCCCCAAGAGAGATGTCCTGCGACCAGCTGAACATCAAGGATGCGGACGATATGACCAGTGGGGAGATGCGGAGCAGGGCTGTTCCCAGTTGGGAGACATCGTTGTTTGAGCCGAATGAAGAGGTCATCATGGGACTGTCGCAGGTTGCAACTCAGAATCCCTAATAGCGATCGAACGAATGTCAGGCAGAAGCTTGACCTTTCGACTTTAATAACAGCAAATAATTGCTAGCGCTGCAATCATTTACGCCGAGACTACCGGGGGCTATCTCATCATGCAATGGCCCTTCACGGCAGACGGGACATGCAATGTCACTTGGGAGAGGATTCACCTTGATAACGACGTAGTCCGCCTGTTGCAAAGACGTAGAGACCCACACTGTTTGCAGGTAACGCTTGCTATAAGACTTTGATGCTGCCTGACCTTGTCATATTCGGCGATGATTCCGTATTGGGGTAGAATTCGGCGTCCCCGAATGGTGAAGTATACCGGGTACTCGGCCATGTCTGAGACGGGTGGCATCGAGGAGAGGATATTTGCTTCCTGTTCGGCAACGGCCTTGGTCTAGATGTGGGCACATTTGGCCGACACCGAGATACTGATCCATCCAAACAGGAGAGTCTGTACATGTAATTTCAAATGTCTAATGTCAAACCGAGAGTGCGAATCATGTCAATGAATTGCGACCAATCCATTCTGCGTCTGTCGCATCGCACTATACTCTGTTTCTCGTGCCTCGGATTTCTCTTCCAGTGTCACAACAAGGATCCAGCTCTTAACCATGACTAGAATAAGTCCAGACTATGATGCCATTGTCATTGGCGCAGGCTTCAGTGGTGTCCGATCTCTCTGGGAGCTCCAACGACTGGGTTTGACAGCAAGGTGCTTCGACGCCGGGTCAGATGTAGGGGGCACCTGGTGGTGGAATCGCTATCCTGGATGTCGGACGGATGGCGAGGCTTGGGTATACGCTTTGAAATTCCTTCCAGAGCTGTTGGAAGAATGGGACTTCACCGAGCGCTATCCCTCGCAAGAGGAGATCCAATGGTACCTAAGCCGTGTCCTTGACCGGTACGACCTACGCAAGAACATCGAGTTCAACACAGAAGTCAAATCAGCCCACTACAGCGACCGTGACAATCTCTGGACGGTCACTACGGCGGATGGGAGTGTGGCCACCGCGCGATACTTCCTTCCTGCCACCGGTATTACGTCTATTCCCAAGGAGCCGCCATTTCCCGGGCTTCAGTCGTTCCAAGGGGAGGTATATCAAGCTTCTACGTGGCCAGAGCACGAGGTCGATTTTCAGAACAAACGAATCGGTGTGATTGGCACGGGTTCGACAGGCATCCAAGTCATCACCAAGCTGGCCCCCGATGCTGAGCAGCTGACTGTTTTTCAACGGACACCAAATTATGTTATCCCAGCGCAAAACTATCCTCTCGACGAGCAAAAGCGGGAAGATATCAAGAAGACATTCGATGTGACCTGGGATATTGCCAAAATAAACCTGGCCGGTCACGCCGTGAAGCATTCGGGGAGAACGGTCGCGGGTGTTGGCGACCCAGAAGGCGTTCGACAGGTCTTCGAAGATGGCTGGGCGCGCGGTTGTTACGATTTCCAGCTCGGCACGTTCGATGATTCCTTCATGCATCCAGACGCTAATGCCGCCACGGCGGACTTTATTCGTGAGAAAATCCGCTCTATCGTTGGCGACCCTGAAACCGCCGAGGTGCTATGCCCAACTTATCCGTTCGGTGCCAGGCGTCCTCCTTGCGCAGATGGATACTACGAGACATTCAATCGATCGAACGTCAAGCTCGTTGACATCAGCAAAGACGAGATCGAACTCTACGAAAAGGGCATCAAGACTGCCTCCGGAGCGGAATATGAGCTCGACATAATCATCCTGGCACTGGGCTTCGATACCGGCACAGGAGCCATGAACAAGATTGACATCAGAGGCAGCCACAGCAAGTCACTCCGGGAGTCTTGGACGCAGAGACTCGAAACATTCGCTGGCGTCTTGGTCCATGGTTATCCCAACATGTTCGTCGTCTGCGGTCCCCATTTGCCCGCAGGGAACCAGCCGGTCAGTCTAGAAGCATTCGCAAGCTGGATCGGCAAGACCATCGAGCATATGGAGACCAACGGACTTGCCAGCATCGACGTGTCGAACGAAGCTATGAATGCGTGGACGACGCACGTCGAGCAAGTATGGGGTGGTTCATTCCTAGCCAAACATGCTCACGAGCAAGGCTCTTGGTTCGTCGGCACCAACATTCCCGGGAAACAGTCCAGAATCATGTTCTACTTTGGTGGAATGGTCAACTTGGAGCCTTGGCTCATCAAGGAAGTGGAAACTGGCTGGTCGAGCATGAGCTTTACGCCTCTTGACAGGGCCAAGGCTAGCAATGGTGTGTCAAAACAGACCGTCGGCGGGGTCCACGTCACACCTGAGATGCTGGAGTCGGTTCAGATACCTCTCGAAGCTGACAAAGTGGGCATGAGCCCGGCGGAGAAATCCAAGCTCGTTAATGCTGCGACCGCTGTTTACATTGACACGGCTGTCGAGGAAATGAGGAACCGCGGCCTGACCCCGAAGCAGGATTACCGTGTTCACTGGTGGAAAGTTATGCAAGCCTTTGTCGATAGTGTGGAAGGGCAAAGGGTTGTCCAGGAGACACAATTGACAAAAGAAGGACTCGAAAGCTTGATCTCCAAACTAGGCATTGAAGGCGAGGTGATTGCAAGAATGGGCCCAGAGATCGTGAACATCCTGACCGGCAAAACTCACGCCCTGGCGCATATTATGAGAGACGATCTGCTCTTCCGTGTGTACCTCTCCGATGAGGGTAGACGCGCCAACCGCTACATGGCCGAATACGCCAGAATCCTCACTTCACAGCGGAGAGAGCTTAGAATCCTAGAGATTGGCGCTGGAACCGGGGCACCACTTCGGAAGTCCTCAACCTATGCAGCCCCAACGGCGAGTCATTCTGTGCCAAATACATGTACACGGATCTCTCGCCAGGCTTCTTTAATGCCGCGAAGACAACGCTGAAGAAATGGGAGCCCCTCTTGACATTCAAGGTCCTCAACATTGAGGATGACCCCGCGAGCCAAGGTTTCGAAGAGCACACATACGACTTGATCGTTGCTGCAAATGTCATCCATGCCACGGCACGCCTAACGAATACTTTGAGCAATGTACACAAGCTACTCAAGCCCGGCGGTGTCTTTGGTCTTGTAGAGCTCACCAGATTAACTCCTTTCTATAACCTCGCATTTGGTCCGCTTTCTGGCTGGTGGGCTGGCGTTGACGAGGGGAGAACAGAGAGTCCGTTACAATCTCCTCAGCAGTGGAATGAGTTGCTCAAGCAGACTGGCTTCTCTGGTATTGATCTGGCTGCCTACGATCTTCCTGGACCACAGAGACATAGCTGTCTGTTGCTGTCGACTGCCCTGGCCAATTCTGTTACCAATGGGCATTGATATCGTTTAGACACATCAGTAATGTTCATGGACTATCCCCGTATATATCGAATCTTTTCAGGTGTATTTTTGCTCTAAATCTATGGCGATTAGCCTTCAATCGTAGGCATACCGTGATTGATTGGTACCGCTGTCCCAACGCCCCTGCGTCGGTCCATATTCAATCCTCTGTAACACGAGCCTCCACCGATAACGCTGCCGAGGAAGCTCTGTACACACATGAAGCGCTAATTATAAGCCAAGCAAGAGCACCGAAAGTTCCCACAGCTCGGTGCAATGCTCGGATGTAGAAAGGAAGACAGCCGAATAGTAAACTTTACCCCGCGTCGTACTTAACACCCTCTCGCGTAACCGAGATAAAACAATAGAGCATTCTTGCTATCTATGTGGCCAAAAATTTGTTAATTTTTATCTCAATGGCCGAACCCCTCCAGAAGAAGCGCCTCTTGCGCATGACGGTGGCGCACTATCGCCAGCCGAATGTCAGCGAAGAAGAGTTCTATCAATGGGTGACCGAACAGCATGCCGCACGGGCGGCCAAGCTACATGCTAAGAATGGGATCGAGGGATTTTCTATCGTGAGTGCAGGATCCAGCCTAGACACGAGTGAATCTCAAAAATAACAGGAGTCCTAGTACTTCACCCCCAAGTCGTTTCGTGACTTTACATCGGAACTCAACAACGCGCGCGGAAACCCATGGCGGGTTCGAGACTTTGACGCCCAAGTCGAGTTCTTGTTCCGGGACATGGAGACGTTCTACAAGGGGGCTGCCGACGCGGATTTCCAGGCGCTACAGGCAGAAGAGGGGCCTTTTGTCAGCGGCGAGGGTGCAGAAATCAGCCTCGGCTGGGTTGAGACGTACGTCCGAGACGGTCAAATCGTCAACCTCGACGAGGCTGGGAAGCCTACTTTCCTGCCATTTAAGGATATGAGTCAGGCACCGTAAACGAAGGTGCTAGAACATATAGAGAATTCACAGATCGAATTGCTATGTCAAGTGTCAAGTTCTTCGTGTAACACACTCTGTTCATATATATATCTAATTTATGCGAACGAGCAAAGACCACAAACACCACCCTCGTACCGTTTACCGCAGGGAGTCGCATATCAGAGCATAACACGCTGAAGAGCTAATTTCGAAACAGTGTGCACAAGCTGTAGTGTGGAATCCTCATTGGCTTCAATCGCCTGCAAGGTCACCTTTGCTACAGTCGAAAGTCCATCACCGGCATCCGCAACCCCATTCATGGGGCGCTTCTCTGCGGCCGGAGGGCCCGAGGCAGCAGACTTTGACGCAGGTCCGGCGACAGGATTAGATATAGGTCGCATAATCTCGCTAATCAAGGAATGCATATGCATCACGTTGGTCTCCATGATGCACGTCAGCACGAGGGACTGGATCGACGAGGTCTTGGGTACCTCAAAGGAACCAACCGCCAGGTTTGGCAATTGGGTCGGAAAGCAGAAGCTGCTCTCGTCGTCATCCAGAGTGGTGGCGTTCCCTCGGACCCCCATCTTCAGCCGCACTTCTAGCCACGCCTCGATGTGCCGTAGGATCTTGTCGTAGGATGCAAGGAGGCACATGTAGCTAGACAGAACAAGCAACTGTGATGGTTGATCCAATGCGAGTTGTGCTAGCGTCTCAGAATCATTGCATGATCTGCATGACTCCAGTCGAGCGCAGATGCTAGTCAAGAGCCCTGTGTATTGGCTTGATAATTTAAACGTGGAATCCACGGGAAGTTCCATAGGGCTCAGAGAGTTTCCTGAACCACTCCCCTGCGTTCTTTGCCCGGTACCAACCACGGGTATTGACTGCATGTGCTGGTGAAGCTGCAGATTGGTGTCCGACAGTCGACGGATCCAGGACGTCATATTTGAGCGACGCACTTCAGGGAATGGATTCGACGGCTCCTCCTGGTCTTGTGGATTGCCCCGCAGCTCCGAGTCTGAATCTGGTGCGTCCCCATAAGGTGACCGCAGTAGATCGGAAGGAGATAGCTCGTTGCCATAGCCCGAGTCCGGACGTAACTCTTTCCCATCGGAGCCTTTCGAGTTTCCTCCTGTTTGATCAAAGTCCACCATCATGTCATCTTGACCTGGCTGGTGTGCCTGCTGAGGAGACATGTTTCTAGACAGAGATCCGCGATGTCTGTGATAGGTCGTGGGGAAGGAGGAGCGCATCGTGGCGGGTAATGAGAAGTCGTACAAGTCGTCAGAAGTATCTGGATTGGGAGCGTCACTCCAGCGCGTCTGTCCCGCTTGTTCAACGGTCCTCAGATGAGACGGTGCTTGAGGACCTGACGTTTGACTCGTGTGGAGACTGCCTCCGGGTCCATACGGAGCCGTCAGTGCAGGATGGATATCGGCTTGTAACGAGGAGGAATCCATTCCACCAAGATTCAAGTCAGTCGGCATGTCCAGCAGGCTCGTCGGCAGATAGTCGAAGTGGTCTGAATGCTCGTCGTTCGTATCATTCGGGCCTTGTTCTTGATTGACTGCGAACTCCCAGTAAGCCTCTCATCATTCCACCTGCGTCACTGTCATACATTGCACGCTCTTACCATGATGCTGTCGTGTGCTATCACCATTGGCATGAGGTTGGGACTGCTGTTGCTGGGTACTCTTGGCGGATTGTGCTCGAGACCGCAGCCTCATGGGCCGTGGAGTGCACCGCACGCCTGCCCTAGCACAGCGCACACAAGTGTCGCTATTATTCTCTCGTCGACAGCGCAACTTTTGGCCATGGCACCGGTCGCAGGCTCGATGAGAGAAACCCAAGTCGTGAACCAGCATGTTCATTTCCGCATTTGGCTATCAAAAGACTGCAGCCTTGAAGTAGTGCACAGACGTCGAACTCAAAAAGAAAATATAGAAGCACAAACAATATCCCGTGGCGAGATTTGTATAAATTTTGGCAGGCGAAGTATGAATGTGTTTCAGCCCCCACCACGACGCTTCATTTGGGTTTCCCACTAAGCTAAACCTCCATCCCACTCTCTTTTCTTTCTTTTTTTCTTTTTTTTTTTGCCGCCAAACAGCTCATTTGCTTACTGTTGACGGCAACGGTGTGAATGCTTCTACAGAAACTAGTCAAAAGTACGGTCTTGACGGCTTCGTTGCCATTGGCGGATTGCGCGCTCTTCAGTGCGGCGGAGAGTGGAGAAGGATGGAGTACAGTCAGATTTTAGGTTACGGCTGATGCTGATCGCGAGCATAATCTTCTAGGGTTTTACGGTTTGATGCCATGGCATCTTATCTTCCTTCAGGACCAATTGGCTTCCGCTGATCCACTGGCTTCGTTGGTCTCGTTGGAATCAGCAGCTTGCTACGGAGTTTATCACCGGGTCTAAGCGGCTGGCTTACTCACGTGACTCATAACACGGAGGAATGCTTCCCCGAGAGGTGAGGGAAAGATTAGCCTAGAGCAAGGCAGTTCAACCGTCTTCTTGTCGCTTCGCTTAGGTTGCAATGAGCAGAGTTTGTCTTACTGCATTAGCGCTGCGTTTGTCTGACAAGATGCAAAAGAAGTGCATGATTAGGTGATAATTTGCAAGCACCTCCTAAGGGTAGGTAGTTTCCCCGGCGGCTCAATGTGCAGGCAAAGCAGATGGCCTGATTTGATTTGACCTGCGGGGGAGACTAGATCCAACAGTAGAGCCTGTCATCATTAGTAGAGAATTATAAGGTTAGCGCAATAAGGTAATATAATATTGCTGCCTCGAAGCCAACCGCACTCTGCCAAATAACATGGAAGCGGGGGGGCAAGCATCGGCATGGGCCCCAAATACTATACTAAAAGGCCACATTTCATTATACCATATCTCAACCACAATGCCTTTTTTCTGGTACCTAAATATTGGCATACAGGCCGTTCTAGGCGTAAAAAAATACCACGTCAAGATTTTAAGACCTTGTAATATTTGTTTGCTGCATTGTCATGTTTTGCACCACAAGTTGCGAGCGAGGCTGAGAAATATATCTCTGGGTTTCATATAAGTGGTGGGAAACCCCGCACCGTTGTTAAGATAAGGCGCAATTATGCCCTTACTCTGGGGTTCCAAGGCCTTTATCCAGTCTATTAGGTTTGGAGAGATCCAACTCAGATGCAACTCTTGTTTCAACTGGACCACTAGTCGTAGAATGGGTTGCCTATCATGAGCTACGCCGCATCCCCAACTGACAAATACAGTTTATTCATACAGTATTGGCACTGGGCATTATCTTCTTAAAGGAATGATCTGCAGGGTATTTGGCCCCCATCAGATAATCAGCCCGTCCAAGATGAAAAAGAGTTGCACTCTACCCCTCTGCAGAGTCCTATGTAGTACTCTGTAGGGCAATAAGAAATAGACCACATTCAGATGTTATATAAATCCTGTTTAAGCTAAATGCATCGAATTAGAGACTAGATTGGTGTTTTGTTTTTCTACCTAAAATATGAGAATAATAGGTATATACCTCATTTCTATTCCCCATGGCCGCATATTTTGCCATGGTCCAATAATCAATACAAAGTCTCTACTGAATCAATAATTTCCCTGTCAATTAATTAACATGAGTCAGAGGGTCTAGAATATAACTACGTATATCCTCGGTATCCACACGGATACTACAGTAATCTTCTCCTGTCACTGCTTCTTTGCTATCGCCCCTCCAGCCCCGCCTGTAGCAGGACCCCACTACGCGTATTGTCCACTCTATCCACTCTACGGAGTACTCCGTACATACTAGACTACGTACTGAGAAAACGCAATTCGCTTTTTTTTGGTATTGTGGTGCTTGGTCACTTTACATACCATTTGGTTCCCCCCAGAGATTCGCGACCGTCCCTTCTCTCCTTGTTTGTCTCCCTTTGCTAGACATGACTATCGACCCGCCAGAGCTTCTCGAGAAGCTGGAAATCAGCGGTAAGAGTCTGAGCATCTGATACTCGACATATACGATGACACAAGCTAATACTTGATTTTTAACTCACAGACGCTGGTGCAAATGGAGCCGACATCCCTGGTTCCACTTCCGCCGCAGCAAACGGGATTTCAAAGGAAGAAGACGACTCGGACGACGATGTGGCTGAAAATACCCCAGCAGTAGCTGCCGAAAACGGCACTGCCAAGAAGAAGAAGAACAAAAAGAGGAAGCCCAAGAAGAAGCAAGCGAAGGTCCAGACCGATCCGCCATCGATTCCCCTGTCGCAGCTATTCCCGAACAACACCTACCCCAAGGGCGAAGAGGTGGAATACAAGGACGAGAATCGATATCGAACCACCAGCGAAGAGAAACGTCACCTCGACAACCTGAATAGCGACTTCCTCTCTGACTACCGTCAAGCAGCTGAAGCACATCGTCAAGTCCGTCAGTGGGCGCAGAGAAACATCAAGCCAGGCCAAACGCTGCTGGAGATTGCTAATGGGATCGAGGATAGTGCCCGACGTCTGGTGGGTCATGATGGCTTAACTGAAGGTGACTCTTTGATAGCCGGCATGGGATTCCCCACTGGTTTGAACATTGATAACGTTGTCGCCCACTACAGCCCCAATGCCGGCTGTAAGACCGTGCTTGCGCAGAACAATGTACTCAAGGTCGATATTGGCATTCATGTAGGCGGTCGGATTGTCGACAGTGCCTTCACGATGGCGTTCGATCCTATGTATGATAACCTACTCGCTGCTGTCAAGGATGCAACCAACACGGGGGTGCGCGAAGCGGGCATCGATGTTCGGGTGGGAGAATTGGGCGGCTACATTCAGGAGGCGATGGAAAGCTACGAGTGTGAGATCAACGGCAAGACTCACCCGATCAAGGCGATTCGCAACCTGTGTGGCCACACAATCCTGCCGTACTCCATCCATGGTACTAAGAGTGTCCCTTTATCAAGTCGAACGACATGACAAAGATGGAAGAAGGGGACGTCTTTGCGATCGAGACCTTTGGCAGTACCGGTAGTGGCCGATACGTTGAAGGAGGCGAGGTCTCCCATTACGCCCTGCGCGGCGACGCCAACAGAAAAGACTTGACTTTATCTTCGGCCAGGTCCCTCTTGACAGCGATCAAGAAGAACTTTAGCACGATCCCTTTCTGCCGGCGCTATTTGGATAGGATTGGACAAGAGAAGTATCTCCTCGGTGTATGACTTTCCATCACGAACTGGCAAATAATTAGAGCTCTTAGCTAACACGAAATAGCTGAATTACCTGGTAAAATCCGGAATTGTGGAAGACTATCCCCCTCTGAATGAGAAGCAAGGGACTTATACGGCCCAGTTTGAACACGTAAGTCAGGTTGGCTTCTGGAGAAGAATCACTACTAATGATGAAAAAAAGACCATTCTGCTTCGACCAACAGTCAAAGAGGTCATTAGTCGTGGCGACGACTACTAGACATATTCGAGACTGGTGGTTTCCATTTTGTAGGGCATTCAATGGTTCAGGAAATGGATATCAGCTTCATAGATTGACACGCAAGGCATGGCGAATACAAAAAGATTACCCCGATGTTTTCCTCCGTTCTGGTCATTGTAAGAATTCCGTCCTCAACCTGTAATAGCTGCAAATAGTGGAGGTGAACAATTTCGGCTGTCTGAATATCCTGGCGCACCTCCCGATATTTCGGGCGATCGACCTTCGGTTTAGGGAAAATTTAGTTTCGGTGTTGCATACTGCTTATGTCCGGCATAGCAGGGAACAGAACGATTTGCGCCGGATCGAACTGCTATTGTACTTGTACATCTCCTTATACTACAGGACGGGTTTATTTACACATAGCAGTGACCCAGCATTAAACAGTGACATCTGGCTACATTGACAAGCATTGACATCCCTTTCAACCCTGTCTATTCTGACACCAAAACACTCCTACCATGGCCGGCATTGCAGAACAGTTAATCGAAAAGCTCAACACTTTTGAGACGAGCGTCTTTGAAGGTCAGGATGCCACGCGACAGAGGCTGGCTCTGGCGGCCCGCAAACTCTTCCACACGCTGGAGACAAAAGAAGAAAAGACCATGCGACTTGCTATAGAGGAACCGATTATGTTCTCCGTGCTCCAAGCTCTCATTGATATTGGTTTGTTTGAAGGCTGGACTGCTGCCGGTGGTGGCGAGAAAGATGTGAACGAGTTGGCCAAACTCAGCAAGAAAGACATGGAACCGGAGCTTCTATGTAGGTCTCACAGTGCTGCAACGTGTCATCAAACGTGTATACTAATGAATTCACAGGTCATCAACTACGACTGATGGCTGCCAGCCACATTATTCAGGAAACGGCGAACGACCACTATATACCTACGCCCTATTCCCTCGCCATCGGGGATAAGAGCACTCAGGTTGCCCCAGCACTTCGCATCAGGCAAGCTGCACCATTTATCCACGTGTCTAGATATCGAAGTTAAGACATTACTAACGAGCAATGATTAGAACTGATCACGTCGCATCATGTGCCATGCACTGGCCCGATTTCCTGGCCAAGACCAACTACCAGAAGCCGCGGGACGACAAAGCTAGTTGTTACATCGATACTTTCCCTGAAAAGAAGAGCTTTTTCGAGCGTTGTAGCGCGAACCCCGTGCACCAGGAGAGCTTCTCATCCTTTATGGATGTGTGGGCCAAAGGAAAGAGACCTTGGCCGGAGTTCTACGACACGCAAGCACTGCTTGACGGCGCTGACCTAAGCAATGGCAGCCCTTTCGTTGTGGACGTTGGCGGACACCACGGCATCGATTTGATGCGCGTGGCTGAAAAGCACCCCGATCTCCCCGCCGGGTCCCTTGTGCTCGAGGACCTACCAGAAGTTGTCGGTGCTGTCAACCTTACCACGGACAAGATCAGAACTGTGGCACATGATCTCTTTCAGGAGGGCGTTGAGCAGCCCATTAAAGGTAGGACACCTGGTCTGCTGCTAGTACAGTGCCTAGGAGACTAACGGGAATGTGTAGGAGCTCGAGCGTATTTTATGCATGCCGTCCTGCATGACTGGTCGGATGAGACATCCGTCAAGATCCTTAAACAGATTGCCGCTGTTATGAAGCGCGGCTACTCGAAGGTGCTTGTCAATGACATTGTGATCCCATCTACAGGTGCCAGTTGCTATCAAGCGGCCATGGACTGTCTAGTGTTGCAGGCTTCAGCTAATGAAAGAACCGAAGCCGTGTGGAGCAAGGTGATCGAGGATGCTGGTCTCAAGCTGGTCAAGTATTACCCTGATGGTCGTGGCTACGAGAGCGTGATTGAGGCAGAGTTGCCATAGGAGAGCTTTGTACTTTGCATCTAGAGGATATCGAGCGTTTCATGTCCCTTCAATGCGTACTCCCTCACTCCGTATAGAAAATAAAGAATTTCAAATAGATTCCATCCAAGAATAAGACCACGGCGCTCCTACTAACTTGAAGGCTATACTCGCGCAAGCTAGTTATATTGTTCGGTATACTGAATTCGATCTATCAAATATACTTATGAAATTCTAAAAGTCGAGGTATTTCTTCATAAAGTCAAGCTGCCTTTGCAGGACATCTTCTGCCCCCTCTCCGTTAATGACATCCATATGACCTCTCCCAGCTACCAGGTCGAACTCCTTATTTGGCTCCGGAATCATGTCGAATACAGCTCTCTGATCCGCAGGCGACGAGATGGTGTCCTCGGCGGGTGTGACCATCATGACTGGCGTCCCTTTGATGAGGCGCATCGCCCCATATGGCTGCCACGCCAGCACATGGTAGTAGCTCTGCACTGTGGTCTGGTTGGTAAAGAACGAGGTACCCAGGAATGCTCGGAATTGCTCCATGTTGTACTGATTGCCCCAACCGGCGGGGTTGTAGCCATCGTCCCCCACAAACGGAATGTATACCGGGTCATTGCCCGCGATAGTGGAGACACGATCCTGCATTGCCAACGCCATGACGTTGTTCTTTTCCTTCTCTCTAAAGTCGTAGTTGGCAATTGGTGTCACCGAGATGGCTGCTCCAACACGGTGGTCGAGGCCAGCCGCAACAAGCGCCGTCATGGCACTGAAGGAGTAGCCGTAGAGAGTGATCTTGTCCTCATCGACCATGGGATGACGAGCCATGAAGGTCAGAGCATCGTGAAAGTCCTCCACCAGCTTGGCAGGCTTGACATCATTGCGCGGTTCGCCATCACTGGCACCAATGCAACGATTATCATACAAGAGTACCGTTACTCCCTGCTGCTGGAACCAGACGGCAACATCCGGTAATAAGATCTCTTTTGGGGTGTTGAACTGGAAATAATTAGCCTACGAGTTAAAGACGCAATTAAATCGTACGTACTCCTTGATTCATGACAATGGCCGGCCCACGAATTGTCCCTGGGTAGAGCCAGCCTCGCAATGTCAACCCATCAAAGGTCGGAAACTCGACATCCTCGCGATTCATTGTTGAGAGTTGTGTGTTCTCCACAGTAGCTTCCAACAAAATGTTTAGAATGTATACAGAAATACGCAACAGTGACAAACCGCTCCGTCATTTCATATCACCATCATACTGTAATCCGAACATAGCGTAGTTTCGGTATTGGACTCGGTAACCGACCTACCAGACACTACCTATTGATGTAGGTAAGATTTCGGCGCCGATTGCCAGAGCCATACGCCGATCCGACGACACGGGGGACAAATGGCGTATCGGTAATAGGAAGTCTACTCTCCATAATCCGTACCGTGCGGCTTCGGTTAATGTACATCCTGTATGGTCTAAGAAAGAGGTTATCGTCTAAATGAGGATCGGCTTGGCGAGGCTCTACTGTACTACTGTACTTTCTATCCCCCACATTCCGGTCAGCACAGTCTTAGACCTACGTGATGGTATGTGAGGTATTCGAAAGGATTGAGAACCTACTTGCTGTTTGTTTCGTTCTCATCGAGACCATTCTCGAACCATTCTCCCCTTTTCCCTCCGCACCACAAACACAAGATGACCCTCACGAATGGCAATAAGCGCATCCATGATGCTCCAGAACCTATCGCAATCGTTTCTGCAGCATGTCGATTACCGGGGCATGTGAACAGCCCACACAAGCTATGGGAGCTCCTTCAATCCGGCGGCACTGCCGTTTCCAACGAGGTGCCCAAATCTCGGTTCAGTTCAGAGGGCCATTTCGACGGGTCAGGCAGGCCGGGCACCATGAAAGCCCTGAGCGGCATGTTCATAGAGGATATCGATCCTGCCGCCTTTGATGCTTCCTTTTTCAACCTCACCCGGGCTGATGCTATTGCCATGGAACCCCAGCAGCGTCAGCTTCTCGAAGTAGTATACGAGTGCTTCGAGAATGGTGGTATACCGATTGAGAAAGTGAGTGGGAAACAAATAGGATGCTATGTTGGCAGTCTGAACGGCGGTAAGAGTCTCTTGGATATCTCGACAGTGAGTTGCAAACATAAGCCGGATTCCTAATTGATCTAGATTACCACGACATGCAGATGCGAGACCCTGAGCAAAGGATGTCGGGTCATGCGGTTGGCACAGGCCGTGCCATACTGAGTAACAGAATTAGCCACTTCTTCAACCTCCAAGGATCCAGGTGAGTTCCCAAGACACTCGATTGTCTCTTGGACAGTAACTGATATCGACCCCATCTAGTTTCACAATTGATACAGCGTGCTCGAGCGGCCTTGTGGGAGTAGATGTAGCCTGCAAGAATCTACGCGCGGGAACACTGACCGGAGCAGTCGTGGCAGGTGTCAATCTTTGGCTATCCCCAGAACACACTGAAGAAAGGGGCACCATGCGGGCAGCGTACTCAGCTAGTGGCAAGTGTCACACCTTCGATGCTAAGGCTGATGGTTACTGCCGAGCGGAGGCTGTTAATGCTGTGTACCTGAAGCGTCTATCAGATGCTATGAGGGACGGCGATCCTATCCGCGCATTGATTCGGGGGACAGCGAGTAATAGTGACGGGTGGACTCCTGGGATCAACAGCCCTAGCTCCGAAGCTCAAGCGGCGATGATTCGCGAAGCTTATAAAAATGCGGGTATCGACAGCAGCGAATACGCCGAGACGGGATACCTCGAGTGTCATGGCACCGGTACACCGGCGGGAGATCCTACTGAAGTCAAAGGCGCGGCGTCAGTGCTTGCTCAAATGCGCCCACAGACGAGCCCCTTGATTATCGGATCTGTAAAAAGCAACATTGGGCACTCGGAGCCAGGAGCAGGTCTCTCGGGTCTCATCAAGGCGATGCTGGCTGTAGAGGAGGGCAAAATCCCCGGAAATCCAACGTTTCTCAAACCAAATCCTGCCATTGACTTTGATAACCTCCGGGTACATGCCACACGAATAGGCATTCCGTGGCCCAAAGAGTCAAACCACTACAGACGTGCAAGCGTCAACTCTTTTGGCTTCGGAGGCTCCAATGCACATGCCATACTCGACAACGCGGATCACTACATTGCAAAATATGTGACATCGCTCGAGATACCTAGGCCTTACGTTAGCTCTTATACCAAGATGTCCGACATGCTGTCCTTGTTTGACGGACTGCGGTCATCTAAAACAGTCACTCAGCGTCCCCAAGTCCTGGTTTTCTCGGCCAATGATATGGATTCGCTAAAACGCCAAATAGCAACGGTTTCAGCCCATCTTCTCAATCCTCGAGTCAAAGTCAAGCTCTCAGATCTCAGCTATACGCTCTCGGAGCGGCGATCCCGACATTTTTGCCGCGCATTCCTGCTAAGCTACCCAACAAAGAGTGGACATGCCAGTAAGATCGCAGTGGACGAGGCTCAGTTTTCCAAGACACCGCAGGAGGCAAGAAGAGTCGGCTTTGTGTTCACCGGCCAAGGCGCGCAGTGGTCGCAAATGGGGTTGGAACTAGTCAGAACTTTCCCAGAGACAGCTAAGCCCGTCCTCGAGCAGTTGGACAGCGTGCTCCAGGAATTGCCAGTAGGCCTCAGGCCAGAGTGGTCGCTGCTGCAAGAGCTAACGGAAGGTCGCTCCTCCGAGCATCTGAGCAAGCCGGAATTTTCCCAACCTCTCGTGACAGCGCTACAGCTGGCACAACTAGCCGTCCTGAAGTCCTGGAATGTACGACCAGAAGCTGTTATAGGTCACTCTTCTGGTGAAATAGCAGCCGCGTGCAGCGCAGGACTCATTACTCCCAGGCAGGCTATTCTGAACGCATATTTCCGAGGACTGGCAGGTAAAAGTGTTTTGGAAACTAGTCCGAAGGGCATGATGGCTGTTGGGCTGAGTGCCAAGGATGTCCAGCCGTACATTGAGGGCGTAAGTACAGCCGGAGCAGACGTGGTAATCGCTTGCTACAACAGCCCGGCTAGTGTCACTCTGTCCGGTTCTGCCTCCACCTTAGCGGAGCTGGAAAGGACCATCAAGGCAGCTGGACACTTTGCCCGAATGTTGCGAGTTGAGGTGGCATACCACTCGCATCATATGACCAAGATAGCCAACCGCTACGAAGAGCTGCTAAACGAGCACGGAGGGCTTGAAGATGGCGGCAAAGGCAATAAGAGCTCGAATCATATGATCTCAACTGTGACTGAGGATGAGGTTACTGCAGCTCAAGTCTGTAACGCTGCATATTGGAAAGCGAACATGCTGTCGCCCGTCCGATTCGACGGGGCTTGCAACAAGATGTTAACAACCAAGAAACTCGCTCCCAATTTCCTCATAGAACTTGGACCAAGCAACACGCTCGTAGGACCAGTCACCCAGATTGCCAAAGCAGCCAAGCTTGACAACCTCACGTATGCCGCAGCGAATAAGCGTGGCCGCGAAGAGAGCTCCCGCGCAATCTTCGACGTTGCAGGCAACCTGTTCCTGCAGAATGCCGACTTCTCACTTGACAAGGTGAACATCTGCGACAATACACCGGATAAGGTGAAGCCCGCGGTAATTGTCGATCTGCCCAACTATCAGTGGAAACATTCTACCCACTACTGGCACGAGAGTCTGGCCAGCAAAGACTGGAGATTCAAGAAATTCCCGGCCCATGACTTGCTTGGTAGCAAAGTCCTCGGCACGCTGTGGCAGAGCCCTTCCTGGCACAGAATGCTCCGTCTGTCCGATGTGCCTTGGCTGCGGGACCACCAGATCGGATCAGAGATACTCTTTCCCGCTGCTGGCTATATTACCATGGCCATGGAAGCTGTTCGCCAAACCGCTTTGTCGACTGCGACAGCTCAAGATCGAGATGTCCTGAAGACGAGAAAGTACCGTTACCGCCTTCGGGATGTACAATTTCCTCGAGGATTGGTGCTCGAGGATGATGTCGAAGTCCATATCATGCTTGTCCTAGTACCCATGGCAAAGCTAGGGCCGGGATGGTGGGAATACAAAATCACATCTCTAGCAGAATCGGATTCAATAGCATCGTCGTCATCGTCAACCCTGTCCCCGGAGAAATGGAACATTAACTCCACCGGATTGGTTCGACTAGAGATGAAGCCAGATGCATCATGGTCTCGAGCACCAGAGGACACCTGCAGCTCGCCTTTGGATAACCCCACACCGGGACAGATGTGGTACAAGTCTCTAAGGGACGCCGGATACTCCTATGGTCCCGACTTCCAGAAACTGGTAGCAGTCGAGGGCACGGAGGGAAAGTCAGCCTCGCGCTCTCTTATCTCTTTGGAACCGCCACGATCCAAGTGGGAGCCGCAGTCAGAATACCCACTGCACCCGGCTCCTCTGGACAGTGTCCTACAGAGCATGTTCCCCTCGCTCCATCGTGGAAATCGAAGTAAACTAGACCAGATACTCGTTCCCAGAGGAATCGGCGAAATAACCATCTCTGGTCATACCTGGAAGTCCGGAGAGGCAGTGTCTGTGGCCACCTGGAACAATGTGTCGGGAGACGCGTACTTGTGCGATCCTGCCAGTGGATCGCTAATCGCGGAGCTCAACAGCGTGTCATTTTCTCCATTGTTGGATGGTCGAGAAAGTATTTACATGTCACATATATATACCCAATTGACGTGGAAGCCAGATTTCCAACTTTTGGATACAGGTGAGAAGCTCCAACAAGCACTGAGCGGTGGCGATGGCACTGCTTCTTCCCATGTACAGGAGATTCTCGATTTGGTAGCTCACAAGGCGCCTAACTTGAGGGTTCTCGAGTTCAACCTCGTTCCCGGCAGTATGGAATCTCTGTGGCTCGCCGGAGATCCAATACCGCGTCCAGTTCGCACTGCCCTTTCTGAATTCCACTTTGCTGCTAATAGCGCAGATACTGCGCTCGCTGCTCAAGAGAAATATGGAGAGTGGTCGGCGGCGCGAATTGCCCGCTTCAGTGTGCTTGATCCTTTCAGCAAAACCTTTACTGTACCAGCAGGAAGTTCCAAGTTCGATCTGGTGATAATCAGGTGGCCTCAACAAGATTACTCCGGCGAGCTCGAGACGCTCGCCGGCAACTTGCGCCGTCTTACTTCCGAGGGCGGCAGTGTGGTATTTTATAATCCCGAACTGTCCAATCCGTCAGAAGGTCGAGGTTTAGTGAACGGGCATAACCATTTCCATGCTGCACTGCAACGCTTTGGTCTCACTAAGGTTCGCCAGACGACGGATGGGAGTTGCATCGTCGCAGAGGTCAGCTGTGAACAGAATCCCTCACTCCACAATAATTCCAGAGTGGTTATTGTGCGTTTCTCATCTGCGCGGTCCACTACTATCGATCACACCATTTTGCAGCTGCGAGAATTTGGTTGGAGCTTTACTGAGATTTGCATCAATGATGGATCCGGTAATGGGGTTTCACAACTTCCCCCAAATCAACGGTGCTCGTTCTCGACGAATTGGATCGGCCTTTGCTAGCCACGGCAACAGACCATGAATGGACCGCACTGCAAGCGATAATACAGACGGAGTGTAACTTGCTTTGGGTGACGCAGGGCTCGCAAATCAAGCCTACTGCGCCGCTGAAGGCCGTCGCCCATGGTATTTTCCGTACTGTCCGTGCCGAGGTACCCATGATTCGCATTGTGGCTCTGGACGTCGAGTTAGCTACAACGGAGAGTTTGGGCAGAAACGTGTCTGCCATCGATATGGCTCTGAAAGAGATAGCTTCAGTGGAGAGATCTCGTCCAATTGAGTGCGAGATTGCTGAAAGAGGCGGTCTCTTACATGTCAGCCGTGTATGGCCGGATGCTGGGGTGAATAAACGCAAGGTGGAAGACAACGCAGGAGGTCCATCACCTGTGCTAACCAATTTCCACGACTCCAAGTCTAACATTTGCTTGGTTACAAGCAGACCTGGTAGTTTGGACGCGCTACATTTCGCCGAGCAAGGTCTAGACAGGTCCAGTGGTCAAGTGATGGGACCGGATGAGGTTGAGATCGAGATATTTGCCTCCGGTTGCAACTCCAGAGATGTTGATGTGGCTATGGGCTATATCTCTGGGGACTCGGATGGACTCGGCTTGGAGGGTGCTGGCGTGGTCGTCCGCGTAGGCGACTCCGTCAGCACTCGGTATGTCGGTCAGCGCGTGGCAGTGTTTGGCAGAGGCTGCTTTGCCAACCGAGTCACCGTCTTGTCCAAGGCTACCCTTCCTTTGCCTGATGCTATGTCGTTTGAGGAGGCTGCAACGCTACCAGTCGCCTTTCTCACCGGTTTATACGCGCTGGGTCAACTCGCACCTGTACAGGGAGATGATCGCGTCTTGGTCCATTCAGCTTTTACTGATGTCGGGATCGCCTGCATCCAACTCTGCCAGCGTTTGGGTTGTAATGCCTTCGCGACGGTGGGCAACCTGGAGCAGCGCCATTTTCTGGCTCAGGAGCTTGGACTACCGGAAGATCATATCTTCATGTCGGAGTCTGCAGCATTTCCTCGCGCTCTACACCACGCTACCAAGGGCCATGGACTTGACATTATTATCAGTCAGCCTACAAACGGCAATCTGGACTATGAGAATGCGCGGTTACTTGCCCCTGGCGGACGACTTATCAGGATAACAAACGGAGCCGCCGATGTTGGCAATTTACTGTTTACTGGATCACTCGCTCCCAACTGTTCTGTCCAGAGCTTGGATGTAACAGCCTTACCAGAGGAAACTATCGCATCGTAAGTAAATCGTCGGTGAAATATCAGCTTACCCTTCATTGAGAGTTGGTACTCATATTTGCAGTGTGTTCTCGGAACTGTCTCTGCTCATCGCAGATGGCAATGTGCCGCCCCTATTACCAAGCACACTTTTGGGTTATCAAGAGATACCCAAGGCACTTCAACTTCTTCGAGAAGGTACTCTCATTGGAAAGATCGTTATTTCTGACGATCGTGGTACGAAGCTTGCCATTCCGGTAAGAGTTCGAACATGTGCTTGAACTGAGTCAGTTTCTAACCTTTCTAGACCCAACCTGCTCCGGCTTTGGCACAAAGTATTCTTAACCCTGACCACTGTTATCTCTTTGTGGGAGGTTTGAAAGGTATCTGTGGCAGTCTTGCCATCCATTTAGCCTCCCACGGGGCCAAGAACATCGCCGTCATGTCCCGCAGTGGTTGTGGAGACAATGTATCCCAGAGCATCGCGCGAAACATCAGAGCACTGGGGTGCTCTCTTGACGTGCTTCGAGGCGATGTCACTTCTATCAGCGACGTCAGGCAGGCTTTTAGCCAAGTCTCGGTTCCCGTTGGTGGAATCATCCAAGGAGCCGCCGTATTCAAAGTAAGACATCACTCCCCGGAGCCATTCTTCGTTACTCGATCCGTTCTGACCAAGAAACAATCAGGATCGGACGTTTGAATCCATGTCTCACGCAGACTACCACGCTGCTTTGTCGAGCAAGGTGACGGGCACAACCAACCTACATACAGTCTCTCTCGAAACGAATCAACCGATCTCATTCTTCACCATGCTGTCTTCCATTTCAGGCGTGATAGGCCAGAAGGGGCAAGCCAATTATGCTGGTGGTAATGCATTCGAAGATGCCTTCGCAGAATATCGCCGCGCATCAGGACTGCCCGCCATTAGCATTGACCTCGGACCTATCGAAGACGTCGGTGTCATTCACGGTAACGAAGATCTACAGAACAGGTTTGACGGAAGCACCCTGCTTAGCATCAATGAGGGTTTGCTGCGCCGAATCTTCGACTACTCTATCCTTCAGCAGCATCCAGATCCCCATTGCCGTCTGAATGTCAACAGCCAAGGCCAAATGATTACCAGTCTACTTGTTCCCCAGCCTGAAGACAGCGATCTGCTCAGTGATGTCCGCTTTAGGGGCTTGCGAGTCCTCGGAGCGGATAGTCCACGTTCACGAGGGGACCCTACTAGAGATAAAGAAATCCAGAGCCTATTGTTTCTGGCCCAATCCCAGGATCCCGATCGTGCAGCCCTGCGCGCCGCAGCTACGACGGTCGTGGGTGCGCAGTTGGCAAAGCAGCTACGCTTAACTGACGCGTTAGACTCGGCACGTCCCTTGTCGTACTACGGGTTAGACTCACTGGCGGCTGTAGAGCTACGGAACTGGGTACGTATGACATTGGCGATAGAGCTCACCACATTGGATGTAATGAATGCGGCAAGCCTGGGAGAAATGTGTGATAAGATCCTCGGGAAGATGGGAGTTGTCATGTAGTTGAAGACAGAAACGAATGTGGTTTGCAATTTAGGTCTTGAAATCTCAGAAAGCTAATTCTAGGGCCATCGCCTCTATAGCTGGCTCACTCTTAAATACAACACTGAAAGATAAATAATAAGAGGCCTCCTTCCCGCAAAAGACAGAGCAAGAGCTTTCTCTGGTCGACTGAGCAATATTCGCCTCATGACCGCGCCTCCTTCCCCATCCCCTTGCTTTCCTCCAGTATCATACAGGTATCCAAGAATCTATCCCCTCCCTGTTCAATCGCAAAGTCGTATCCTCTCGCTTAGTCCACAACACGGATGTACCTGTAGGGCTTGGCGGTGAAGCTGCCATCCTTCCAACCAACAGGGCGCTTATACTTGACGCAGCCGTAGGTGCCGCGGCATTCAAGGGTATTGTACTCCTTCTTCGAGCTGTCGGCCCACGAAAGGAACAGAGTGACGTGGCCGGCGGCACCGCCAGTGCCAGGACCAAGGGTACCAACAAGGTCACCAGGCTTGAGATCGTTCCATGAGATAGCCTTGGCAATCTCCGGGAGGCTGACAGTGCTGTAGCCTGGCGAATTGGCATGCAGGGCCATGCTGACGAAGCCCGAGCAGTCGGTGCGGTATTTGCGGCCTTGAGGGTCCGGGTACACCTTGTTCATAGAGTATGGGACGTGGCGTGAGACCCAGTACTCACCGCGGGAGATGATCTCCTTACGGGTGATCTTGCCATTGTAGGACGAATTGCCGTCGGGGGGTTGGCACCAGCACACTCCTTGGTGACCATGCTGTTTGAGCCCGTCTTGACGTAGTAGTCGGAGACGTAGCAGCCGTCAGTTGTCTTGTCCCAGATGGAGTTGCCCTTAACATCTTCACCATAGATCTGGCAAGAGAGCTTGACATCGTCCCCCTTGTTGTAAGACCTGACAACCTTATCATTCGTCGAGGGGCCGGTACGGCAGTTGACTTCGCTGCCAGTGATGGCGTACGCGTTGACCATGGAGGCAGCCGCGGCCAGGGTCAAAGTGACGAGTTTGAGCTGCATAATGGCGGATAGGGGCAATCAGGTGAACTCTGCGTATGGGAGGGCTTTCGAGAGAAGTGTCGCGGTGGTTTCTGAGGGTTGCGCTTCCTTTCGACGGCGCGTTTGTGGATGAGAGTCTGAAATGATACAGGCAATGGGAGGATGTCTGGATGGCTTTATACTTGTGGTGAATACGGTGCGCATCCGGCCGGATCTGGATACCAAACTGTTCGACTGGTGCTTCGATCTTCGCCAGATGCTGATCTCGTTTCCATCGAACTCCACCAACACGAACATCGCCAAGGCAATTTTGTCCGAATTGAATGCTGAACCCTGCTTTACGGGAGTTGAGCATGCCTTTCGCACCCACGCATGCACTGTAAGCGACCAATATGCCCGGGATACGATGGATTTGTCTAAGCACGTTGTCTCAGGACTCGAATCCTCATCCGCAAGCGCTCGTAAATAAGCTTTCCGGGTCGTATTTTCTTATTATATCCCATTAATACGACGAAGATCTCGTTCCCCTCGGGAACTTGAAGTCTGCATCCACGTCCAGGAGGATACAGGAACATCATTCGGCTTGATCAATCCTACTCTGGGGCCAAAATGACCATCTATATCAAACCTCCGCCCGGATACGGATACGAAGTGGAGCCGAAGTTCGCGGTACGTTGCCAAAAATAGCCTGACTCTTCATTTCGGCCGTGCTCTATACGAGCCGCGATGGTGATCTGCAGGGTTCTACTTCAAAATGAGGCTAGTCGGGTCTACAAGAACACGATGTTGATGCTTGGCAGGGGAAGCAAGGTCGACACCCCACTTGCACATCAAAATCTTGCTCCCGGGCATCAGTATCTGCATAGTCCAATGTGTTCTGCATGGAACTAGCAAACTACATGCCACCGAAGACCACCATTTGTCCTCTTGCTGGACAGTTGCTCTTCATCAACAAGACAAGCCCGTTGTATTTTTAGGATTCTACCTACCCAATACCAGTAAGAGATCCGTGTTCGCTACTCAAAATTCCAGTCGGCCTTGGACAGCCCCCATTCCTCGCACAGCGTCCCCAGCCATTTTGAAACGGAGACCAACTCCTCGCCTCCATTGTCAGCATTCATGAGAACCAACCCTTCACAAGCACGAAAATATTTCTCCATCGTCCACGGCGGTAACTCATACCAGTCGTGTGTACTACTGCATACAACAGCTTTGCCTGCTTTGCGTGATCGCAGCTCGTCCCAGCAGGCATTGCAGAGGAACACATTGTAGCAATACTTGCACGCATGAACACCGTCGTCATAGTCCCAGTACCGATTGCAGGTATTGCAAGGGAGCGAGTAGCCAGTCCCGCTCTCGAGTTTTACAAGAATCTTTTGGACCTGATATAAGCAAGCGGCCCTCTCGCTCAAAAAATCGGCTTCACATGCTAATCTGCTGGCTTCTTTCCGGACCCTAGTAAGATTTTGCCAGTGCTGGTCTGCGTCTGGACACTCCCTGTGATAGAACTGGACTAGTTCCTCGCTGAGTGCTTCCATAGAGGGCCCCTCTCTGGCAAGAAGCGTTTTGAGGACCGTGTCATCGAACCGTAATTCCGGAAGCAGCAATGCAGCTCGCAGTGCATTCTCATAATCCCCAGTGCGGTTCAGAAGGTTACGAAGGGCGAGGAATCCCTTCAAATCATTGAAAATGCTATCATCAGCCAGAATGTTGAATGCTTCTACTATGTCGGCTCGGAAGATGTCACGAGCCTTATCCCTCTGCCCCTTGAACGTGTACAGTGATGCAAGCGCCGACTTGGGGCCTTCGGCAGCCGGGGCATCCCTGTGAATCTGCCGTAATCTCTCCACGTCTGCCTCTGATTCCTCTGCGTCCGTTTGCAGGGCCCGGTCGAGGTAGACCATGCTGAGACGGTCAACCGCGCTTTGTTGGATGAAATCAAGCCGATCTGGGTCTTCCGAAGCGACCTTCTCCCGAATGGTGTCCAAACACTCGCGCAGATTACCTGCGGCGTTGGCTAACTGCTCAGGACAGTCCTTGTGGAGATAGTGCCCAGCACTGCCCTGCTGGAATAACAGAATCGCAAGCTGCTCGTTGTTGCCTTCCGTCCGCGCAGTCGCAATCGCCAACTCCATCTCATGTTGGAAGACTGCCCGCAGTTCCGGGGAAGAAGAGACGACCGAAAAGACTGCGTTGAATACGGCCAACATGTCAATCTCGCTCTCCTTGCTCAGAGCTGTTGCCAGCATGGCCGTCAACAAAGTGGATTGCGTGCCAGGGACCCTCTCGGTAACTGCTTTCTGGACGATGGACCGGGCCTCGTCCTCCTTTTTGCTGGCAATATATTGCTGGAGCATCGCACAGAGGATTTCCACGTTTTCTTCATCCAGTTCGTTGGCTTCTTTCAGATATTCCAAGGCACGTTCGGGGTCGGTCGTGAGTTCGCCGAGAGCTTTGAACACATCTCGCAGCTGCTCCTTGTTGACGAGGTCTTGAGCTTGGAGAATTGTGGCAGCCTGTCGTCCCAGGTTAGAACACGGCCTATTCTGCGCAGAGCGAGAGATTTTCCCACCTTCTTGTACTGCTCGCTCGCAGCGTCATACTCGCGCACGTAAGCATAGGTTTCACCTAGTCGGATACACCATGTGTAGTCCGCATCGGTGACTCCCAAGGACTGCTTGCACCACTGCTCAGCTTTGGCGATCTTTTGCAAGTCTGACTCGTTGTCATGTATGATAATTCGCCCGTTTCCGTTCTCCGAGTTGTCAACCTGCTCGGCCACACCGGCCGGATCATCCTGCTGTGGTTCGGCGCCCTGCATTTAGAGATTGACCTTGATTAGGCGCAGGAGCGATCCATGGGATACAAGAACTACTTACCAAAGCCAGGAATCCCCTGATCCATGTGAATGCGAAGTAGGCCACCACCCATTCAGTTTTCTGCAGCCAATTCCGAGCAACCATGTTCATGATCGGAGTCAACAGGCTCGAGTTGCGATGTTTGTCTTTCTTTAAATCTGCCAGCCATCGTTTGTCCCGAGGCCCTAGGCCAGCGATTGCCACTGGGTCATCCAGCCACTTCCAGAAGATCTCTATATCGTCACTACGCTCGTACCAATATACCGAGTAGCAGAATTCCCAATTTCGCTCGATGAGATCACCCTCGTTGAACATCTCGTAGACATGCGATCCAATGAACTGCTTATCTACGGGCTGCAGCTCGTCCAGCCCAGTTACCTCAGACAGGGCTTTCAGATGGGTTGTGAGGGAGCGCATCAGGTACGAACCCAATGCCTTGCCCCTTTCATCAACCACCGGTTGTAGAAAGATATCGAAGGCCCTTTTGACAGCCTCGAGGTGAGCATCAGCTTCGTACACCTGGATCTTCCGCTGGCCTGCGTTTGTCGGATCGGAAGCGGGCTGAAACGCAAATCCACCTAGGAAGGAGTAGTGGTTCAAGTCCCAGAAGAAGCGCTGGACTAACTTGAGATCTCCATTGGTGATGCTGATCGTAGCTGTGATCTTCGGGTCATCCGCGGACTGTCTCGGCCTGTCTCGTTGGGCAACAACGCAGTCTCGAACATGATCTTTGAATGCCATGTGATCCCGAAGGGGGTAAAGAGTTTGGAGTATTTCCCCGTGATCTTTTTGTCCAGTGGCTGGAGAGACACGGTCTTGAAGCGGAGGAACAAGGCCGCTTCCAGTTCGTCCAGAGTCATCCATTCGTCTCCAGCCACAGCCCAGATCAGAAGCTCATTGATTTCCTCAATCTCCCGGGCCTTGAGCATCGCTTCCAATCCCTCGATTTCCGATCGCACCAGCACCTGTGGATCAGTGCTCGACTCATGCAACACCCGGTTGAGCTCTTCCTCGGTGCCACCTGAGGCGATGATCTCGTCAATCTTGCGCAGATCTTGCTGAATTGTCAAATAGGAATTGTTGGATCGCGCCCAGAGTCGTTCCTCGACCATCCTTTTCCGTCGCTGCGAGTCCTGGTCTGCGCCCTGGAAGATACCCGTGCGCTTCAGCTCCTCCGCAATGAATGCTTTGATGTCAGCCTTGTTATGTTTTGTAATGTCGATAGTCTTCGTCGGAGAAGAGAAGAGCTGGGTCCCCTGGAATGTTCCTGGCTCGCCGCTGACAAGCACTCTAACGCGGCTGGACTTGGTCTGGTCGCGTTGTTGAATCGCCCTCATAAGCCGCTCACGGTCTGCCGGGCTGAGCGTGCTGACCGAGTCCAGTAGGATGTAATGCGTCGTATTTTTGGTCGGCATCCCAATTCCCAACGTGAGCCAGAGGTCCGTACAGCCGGCATCTCTGAAGTACTTTTCGTTCTTCCCAGCCTCGCCGCATACACTAGAAACACGCCTCGCGTAGACGATGTCCTGCTCCGCCAGCTGGACACAGATAGACTTGATCGCTGCCTCTGGTCGTTGTCTGTCGCCCTCTATGTCTCTTTTCTCTACCCTGGAGAAGGAATAATATCCAATCAAGCTGCGCTCAGCCTTTGTGGCCGAGTTTTCAGATTTGATTTCCTGGGCAATCGCAGAGACAAGAAAGGATTTGCCTGTTCCATTCTCACCAGTCAGCAAGAGTAAGAAATCTGTAGCACTGCTTCGATTGATCCACTGCTTATATGCGTCGATTTCGTTCAACCATTTTCCGCTGTCCTTAACAGCGCCCTCCCACAGCGTATCTCGGGCCTCGAGAACGGCGGCTATCTTGTCGTCCTTCTGCCCAAGGGTAGTTTTTATGGTACTCAGAATCTGTTTCCGGTTGTCATCCAATGTGCGCTTGTTCTCGGCCTCCACGAGCCCAGATACGTCGCTCTTGATGGCCTTGGTGTTTGTATCGATGTCGAGTGTGGTGGCCTTCATGAACTTGACGTGCTGGCCGGTTTCCACCGCCACCTCGAGGGTCAGAGTCGCTTGGATGTTCAGCTGGTCCTGAGTGAGCTTCTTGAAATGTGCCAACTGGCTCTGGACAGACCCATCATCTAAGAGGATACGTTTGGCGCTGCGCTTGAAGCCCTTCCATCGGCCCTCGTGATGGATATTAATGCAGTCGGCACACAGGTCCACAAAACTCGTCATAACCTGGTAGATGGACAGTCGCAGAGCCTCGTCAATCTGCGAGCTTTCCTCCATCCGCTCGTAGATCCGAAACTGTGCCAGAGCCGGTCCGACCTCGGCAAAGATGGCGTCTATCTCGCCATGGAACTCGTGGACCTTTTTGGGAATATCCAACAGGAAAGAAAGAGCATTGAAACAGAGTCCTGCCGGGGCGAAAACCTTGAAGTCCAAATCAGCGTCCCTACCTAGGGATCCCAGATTGTATGCAATGCGATATTCTTGCCACTTACCATGGACGCACCCTGGGAGGCAATACCCCCCAGGAGCTGGATACAGTGTATCATTTGGAACCCCACCGCTTTAGCCTGCGAAACACTCTTATCGTCCGCTTCTGCGGCATAATGCGTGTCGAGGAGCCTTCGCAGATCCTCAGGGCCCCTGGAGACACCATCGAGCTTTTGGCCCGTGCGCTCGTGGAAGCGAACGATGGTCTTCTCCCAGATCTCCTTTACGGACGCGGGGGCACCTTCCGATGCCATCGTGTATTTTGAAAAATAGAAATCCAGGATTTTCTTTGCTGAGGACGCTCCCTGAACCGCCGCTGCTAATCACGTCGGGCCCAATCTGTCCTTTATGCACAACGGGCTGACTGACTTTCAGCCGCCTGGGTAATTTACGCTATCCCGTCTACCCCGCCCACACGAAGCTCACGATCCCGCAGCCATCCTACCGTGGGGGCTGAAAGAGCTGAGGGTCGGGACCAATCACAGCTGCGGTCTCGAGGGAAATATCCAATGTCGTTTGCTGTGGTACGGTGAGGCTGGCTGGAAGCAAGCAACTCTGTCAAACGGAGCTTTCTTCTACATTGGTTGGATGCATGAGGATATTGGGAGGTAATTCAATAGCAGCATACTCATATACTCATATACCATATTATTGTTCGTATTATTATTAAATTCTCATATACCAAGGTTATGGCCTGTATAGTTCGAACTTAGATATATAGAAAGATATTGGGGGTAACCACAGTGGATGCAGGATATTTAAAATATATATATATGTATCTAAGTATGGTAGTAATCAATATCCTGCTCTATATGTATTCAATGCCTACTAGCATGTTTCTTAGAGGGATAAAGAGGGGGTTCGATATGTAACTGTGTATGTAGGAAGGGTAATTATATGATGTTTAACAATATGCTTGTTCCATGTTGTTACCCTGATAAATGAAAAGCAATAAATAGAATAATAGAAACCAAGAAAGGTCCTTCGGTCTTTTCGCACAGGCTGTGTACCTGTACCCGTACTTACTAGTGCCATAGGCACTAGTCCCATGCTGGCTAATTTCTGGTGCTCCCTCTGGATAATGAATGCTGCAGACAAGGTGTCCTTCATATTTCACAATGGTTACTTAGATCTAATTGCGTGGTTATTAGTATTTGCTTTGTGATTACCTCTTATCCTCTGCTCTGGTTCCAGTAGTGAAGACCAAAAAGAATAAGATCTACTATATGAATGGATGAATATACATGGACTACTATCAATCATAGAGACTGCAGCCGTCGACACTCTATAAAGTTTTATGACGGGAGCGCGTCTTATTGTAATAAATTATGCTATTAGATATCATGAATTTAACAGTCCATCCAGTTAGAAATCCACTGCTTATGGCGCATGGAAGTGTTGTAATGGTATAGATGTGTTTGGGAGGGGGTGGTGGAGGATCCGCCCTGGTTAGACTGCCAGGTTACTGTGGCAGAAAAAGGACAGACACCAGAGAAAACGCACCCGTCATATTCTACGTTGACCAGCAGATCGCCGTTCTGGTTGAAAGTAGGGTCTTTTATACAGAAAGTGCCAGCAGCAGGGAGGCAACGGCGGGTTGCATTGGCCATTCCCGGGGACAATTTGTTACTCGAGCCATCCAGTGCAACAGTCATGCCTTGCTTGACACCATTTGCAATGCCATGAGCTAGATCCTTGGTGGTTCTGCCCATTTTCATGTCTTCCTCCTATGAAATGTGACTTGCACATCTTCGTCAGTATTCCCCTTTGGACGAAAGACTATCCCACCCTCTTCAATGGATGCCATGTCGATTGGGAGTTTCCACGTATGGACACCTCCACCCAGCATCTGCAGGAACGGACCCAGCTATTTCAGCAAAACGCACAGATACCATGGGAGGATAGACATGGTAGCACTCACATTGTAGTACTCATCCCGTCTCACTTTCACTGTCAGTCTTTCCGTTCCGGAACCGAAAGTGAGAGTGGCTTGAATACTATAAGCTACACGAGGTTAGTTTCACCGGGAGTTGTCTGTACTTGCACACGCCGCGACGGAGCCCCAAGAATACCGGATCCCCCACCGGTCATCCAGTCCTTCGAGTTATGGGATCCTCGACTTTGTTCTGGTCGGATGACGGGGGTGGGCTTATTGACCACTCGCCGGAGCCGTTTGGAACCCATAGGTAGTCGATGATTGCAGGGTCGATATCTCCAATGTGACATCTGGGCGCGGTCTTCCAGGGCATGTGTCCCGATTGGACCTATCGATAGCTTAATAAATGTTTTGAATTCGGCATTGCTCACCTATGGAACTGTGCGCGGATTCTCAACCTGGTCAGTGGGGGAAAACCCGGCCGCTGTATCCGGAGTGACCACCACCTCAATGGGCACCAGGGATGCTATCAAATATGCGGTAGGTACTCAGCAACAACAATTTAGCTTCACTCTGCACTAGTCCCACCGCATATATATCAGAGAGACAAACTGACTCTGGATCTGTTAGGGCTGGGCCCTCACAGGAGCTGATTTCGTAGCCAGCACGGTCGTCAAAATCGTTGGCAAGAAGAAGAAAGTGAAACGACCGGTCATCAAACGATGGAAGGGAACAGTCAGTGCCGTCCTCTCGGTTCCAACCCTCTGTCTTTCCATCACGGGCGATATCATGGATGCCAGCCAAGCCAGCAAGACGCAAGCCTTGATTGTGGACGGATTCATAGAAACAGTAGCCTCATTTGGCGCAACATGGGGACAATCGGTGGCAAGGTGGAACGACGAACTCGAAAATTACCTCATGTATATAGGGTTGGCCGCATTTATTTGTCTATATCAGCAATGGAGCAGCAGGTAGTTGTAATATTATTGAACATTGGGAAGTTTTGGTACATAAGAGACCGAGGGGGTCATCTATTTGCCAAACCCACCATAATCGATTCGAAAAATACGACGTACTGTGAACAGCTACGGGATTCATTCATATTATTCGAAAAACAGCTAGACGAAGCGCTATAAATGTCGAAGTCACGCTGTCTGCAACTACTCTGTGGTGCAATGGTAGCAGGGCCCATGGTAGTATTGAGCTGGAAATAAAGGTTTCCTGTGTTAAAAGCAGTAGAGTATCATCTGGGTCTGTGTTGCCTTTGTTCAGGCACAGACATATGTTGGTCTGTGGAAGAGGCACATGATGGTTATTTTTATCCTCTTAGCTAAACTAACTCTTACTGCCTTGAGCTGGGACAGGGGATAATATATAATGTTTTGGCCTGTATACACCTCTGGCACTGCTCGGGCTAGGCAGTCCAGATATAGGCAACTTCTTCCACCACATGATGCAGGCAGGTTGGGAACTAGTTGGCTTGATACAGCCGTCATCACAGACAGTAGCCACGTTGTGCAACACCCACAGATAGTGAAGGGAATAGGAAATTCAAAATAGGTCAAGTTCCTACTAATCAGGCAGAATTTTCCGTGACTTGCGCGATGAAAGCTGATTTACAAACATATCGGAAAATTTCCAAGTTTGCAGGCATCGGGTGGACCTACCATTTTGTAACTTGCAGGACGCAAGGTCTCAATACCGGTGTAAATCCAGTTCCCAAGGGAACTTTCTATCTTTGCATCCTTATCCGGTAAATGTCGGTGTGTATTCTGATGAGTCTTACTGTACATAATGCAGCCAGGTGGTTACCTAGAGGGTGGGCGTGCAGATAGCGAGTGATAAAGAAGTTGAAGAAATGGCTGCCAGACCATTTGGTCTATTATTTTCAGACAGCCAGCCTTCTGAGGACGCATAAGCATCTGTAGGTAATCCTTGGGTGGAAGTCATATCCCAATGTGACACGTCTTCCAGAACATGCATTGATGCTGTTCCCCTCAATGAGCTTGCCCTGGTCCCTGCTCTGTGCAGTTAAACATCCAGCAGCCTAGCTATCCGAACATTCTATCTGTAACTGCTAAGGTCAGGTCAGTTCAACCTAGAGGGGAAAACTGATGACCACAATCAGCACACATTGTCGAGTTCCAAAGATCGACTTGGTTCGTTGGCTGAAGATAATCACTCTTTCTTCAGTTATCGAGAACATAAATTAGTTAGCTTCCGGGGTCTATACGATGTTCTGGCCCATTTCCAGCTAATTAACTCTGCCGCTGCTTTCTCTGGGGAGTGTATTAAACCATTAAACTAGAGCAACCGGGTGTTGCGCTCTGCTACCTACTGACCCATGCAGTCAAACTCACGCTACCCATATCATAGGAGGGTCAAGGCTGAAGCACAGATGCCCTGATGAAGTGGCGGTGAGAACATCTTGAACTATCCCTGAATAGAAAGGCAAAAAACTGAAATAATGGACTAGGTCCAGCTCGAAGAATGTGGTCTATACAGCTTCACATGCCCAATAAAAAAACCTAACTATGAATATAAATATTAGAGGGTCATTGCACACTCAAATTTGTCTATAGCCTACAGACAACACCTCGATATTATCAGCATGACCAGTGAAACTCCACAACGTTTCTGGCTCATCACCTATCCGCGTACAGCATCGAACCTGCTCAACCGGATACTCGCTCTGGATGAACAACCAAACGTGCTGTCATGCCACGATGGAGGGTACTTTTTTAGAATACCATACAGGCTTATGACTGACCTCAAACTTGGCTGGCTCCCACAGACTGAATGGCCGCAGGAGGCGAGGGACCAGTTAAGGAAGAGCTACCAAAAGCGTTTCAACGACCTCGTCGAGCACCTTAACCAGGGCACAGCGCAAGGTAAAATTACCTTCTTCAAGGAACATCTCTACTTTATCCTCGACCCGACGGTTCGGTCTCGGTTTCTCTTTGGCGTCGACAGTGTAGCCGAGCAAGGCTGGAAAATGGCATGGCCCTCATCACACAGCATTCATGGGTCACACAGTACAACGGATCTGGGACTAAATGACACGTTGCTCCCGGACGATATCTTGGAAACACTTTCGCCTGTCTTCCTCATTAGGCACCCCGCCCTAGCCTTTCCGTGTCTCCTCCGGGCGTACAGGGACTTGCACGGAGTCGAAGCATCCCGGTCCAAACATGGGGACCTTGAATTCAATACGGTCATGACCCTGCGATGGACGCGAAGGCTGTACGAGAGGTATGTCTTAACCCGGGAAGGGTGCAGATACTATGTGGACAACGCCAGCATGGACCGTCCGATCATTTTGGATGCAGACGACGTCATCACAAACCCAGAAGTCCTTGTCCGGTTTTGCAAGCTTGTCGGTCTGGATGCCTCCAGACTACGGTTTACGTGGGAGTCGATCAAGCCCGAGGTGGTCTTCGCTACAGACGAGCTGAGAATCAAACAGCGCATGTGGTCAACCCTGCTGACCTCTGAGGGTATTTTGAGCGGCAAGACGTCCCATGGGTTGGATATGGACCGCGAAACGCGCCGATGGAAAGACGAGTTTGGTGAGAGTGATGCATCCAAGTTGGAGCACCGGGTGCGAGCAGCTATGGAAGATTACGACTATCTGAAAGCAAGACGGCTGCAAACAATTTAGTAAAATGGTGGGATCGTGCATGTATGGAATACACACATAAATTCCAAGCACCGCAGCTGCTTCAACACAAGATACTCGGCACTTTTTAGTAGGACCAGGACAGCCCTCCGGTCGGCGGGGACATGGTAATGTATTCATTCAGATCCATCTACAAGGGATGCAAGGGGTGCAAGGCTTGTAGGGCAATCTGGCCGTGGCTGCATTCGTTCTACCCAATAATGAAGAACATTTGATGCCTGGGGCGAAAGTGGACCTCGACTCACTCTGCAAGAACTAGTATTTATGTTATACCACGGTAGTTGATAAAACTTCAATCAGTTTGCGGGATTCAGGGTAACATGGAGCGCGCCGTCGGAGCCAGTCCCGGAAAGCTTAACAACTGTGACTTTCATTAAGGAACAGTCATGAAAAAGGTCACCGAAGCAAATGCCGAAAAAGGTTATTATTGAAGTCAAACTACACCATGCTCGATCCTAAGTGTAGTAAACAATGATAGAGAAAGAAATTCATTAGATCAAGGTCATGCACCGATAAACATTTCTATACCACATAATAGTAATGACTTCATTACCTAAATTATACTCTTATTTCCTTTCTTTTTCTAAGATTTCTTTCTGTTAAGCTGTTTAAAATTGGGCTGTCCTCCTATAAAAAGGAAGTACTATCGAAATCTCTCTGCCCTTGCTGCTGCAGCAAGTCGACTGGTCAACCTTATGGATAGCGTGACAGCACAGGGCTTTTGGTGCAATTGTATGCACAAAGATCATTATGTACCTATTTAATCATTGATGGAGGGCCAAATAAACTATTTGCCGAGAGCTGCGCCATACTAAAGCTTGATCTGGAGTGCCATCTCAGTTACCTCGTCGACTGCCTCACTAAAATCCTTGATACTGATATCGCACTTTACCTCTTCACATAGCCGTCTCTGTTGGCTCGTCTTTAGGTTCTGTGCAAACTCCAAATCACTCGTTAGCTGAAGGTTAGTTAGAGATCTCAACGCCGTAGTCCGCCAACTTTGAAATAATGTCAATCTGTCCATTTGGCAGAACAAATGCACCAACAGCAACCTCGCCACCAATATGGTCGCCATTACTCTTCTCCTTTCCGAAAATAATTTTATAGAAATGAGTGGGGACTGTAACCTTGGGCGGGTTCTCAATCACCTCACAATTCACACGCCATTTCCCGTCGCTGCCCTTTTCAGGTAGGTATAAAGGACCCGTTATAACCCGGACAGAGGGGTACTTTGTGGTGAGATTCTTGCAAGTCCTCAGAATAGGCGCAGTAGTGTCGATTGAAACCAACAACAACTTGGGGACACTACACATATTGGACATTCGGAATGTTTCGTCGGCTGCTTCCTGTGGCCATCTTGTGGACCAAATGCCCACGGTCAGAACCTGACTTCGTATAGTCTTTCACCTTTCGACGGAAAGCTGCAGGAATGGATTCATCTTCCCTGAAATTGTTCTTGCGCTGACCGACCACCCGAGATATAGATTCCGGGGTCATATGCTCGGCTACCCAGTAAGGATTCCGTGTTCGACGGTTATAGGCACCATATAGGGAGGTTCCTTTCAGCTCATCATTCACTGGACCGGGGTTGCCATACTTGAGAATGCCGGCTGGGTCGACACGATTGGGAGACGATCTTTTTGGCTCAAGGGTAGTGGCCAGGGCCTGAGAATGAAGGTACTTTGGTAGCATGACGAGAGCTGGAGAGCTGGAGGTAGGGCCAGTAGTAGAAGGCGCACAGACTCCAAGTTCTGGGTGGTCAGAATTTGATTGTATGAGTAGTGCTGATTGCGGCGACAGCGACGCTGATCGCGGCGACAGCTGTGAGTCTTGCTTTAGACATATTGTGTAGTAATCTTTGTTTTAAAAGGATCACAGTCTCCAAAGGCATTTAGAAGGTCGTGGTTGATCCGGTTAAAGGGGTTTGACTCCAGCATAATTCCCCATCAACCCTCTAGCCTTTCTGGCAGTGAGCGTCGAGTATATCACGAGGCAAGGCGGGTCTTTATCGTTACAATACCTTCGTCTTCCACTGTTCAGAAGCTCCTTTCATAGTTCTTGCCGGGATTGGGAGGGAAAATGCATTTCTCTTGCAGTCTGTTCAATGGATAAGAGACACGGCCCGGTCTGAGAACAATATAGACAACATCACGTCAAGTATAACTGCAGCAAAGCCGCAAACGCCGGCATCAAGAAGGAGGTCGATATTTGGGATGATGAAGACCCGTTTGCGAGTTTCCTGCAGATGATCAGGTTCCCAGAGTCAGTCTTTCGCTGCGGCACCGATCGTTTGTTCCGGGTAGACGCCGATGGTTTGTCAGCTATAGATGGTCGTTACCGCTATACCTTTATCATCCACTACTATGATCGTGAGGAAAACGGCGATAAAGGAGAAGGGCGAAATGATAAAGCCGCATATGAGTTGTGTACAAGGAGAGTCAAGGACGATGACCCCGTATGGGCTGCTGTTCTGGCTCATCACCTATCCGCGTACAGCACTGATAGACCATAGTAAACGGTTGAAAGGCAGAGAATGAAGAGGCAATGACACATTGCCGGCAGAAGATGGATGCTGCGTGTCGGCTTCATAGACTACGAGGCTTAGATAAATGTATGCCCCTATAATCGGAGCTCAAGGATAAGCAGTGAAAAACTAAAACCTTCAGCACGGCTTCTTGCGGATATATCCCTTGGTGAAGATAACGAAAGTCATTTGCTATCAGAGAAATACATTAAATCCTACTCATTCGTAGTCTGGCCTTATGCCATGCTTGACAGCAGGGAGATTTAGAGGTCCCGGTCAACTAATCGAATCCCGTAGCAGGAATAACCCTCGAGATGCGAGACTCGACAGTAATCACACGAGTCTCCGGATCCACTAGCATTCGCCCATTGCCCACCAGGGTCATATTCTCCAGTTCCTTCAAGGCTGGGTCACCACTGAAGAAAGAGTGTGCTCCCGCTGCCGCATTACTCAGTACAAAGAGACTCAATCACAATATGCCGAAGGAAAACTCACTGCTGAAGCCGAATGGAACGCTTTCTGAATCAGGCGTCTGGTTAAAGATCTTCATCACCGCCTCGTTGAGCGCAATGACTCCTGTGTATCCAAAACTAATCTCCTTGCCTTCGTCGGTTCTGGCAATATTGTCAGTTTCCATTATTGACTGGAGCACCAAAAGACATACGTTGCAATTGCCTTCATGTTGATACGGGCATGTTTCTGGTCTGGATCGAACTCGAGCCAGTCAGCGCCGAATACGACCTTGCCTTTGAACTGGGGCTCAAATCCCTCGACGGTTTCAATGGTGCCGGTGGGAGTTTCCTTAACCTCTGTTAGTCGTCCTTGCAGCACAACATACTCCACCCAGGGACTCTTACGAAATGTATCAGGGTCGAGCCACTCTGACGGGGTCCTGAACCCAGAACGATCAGCGGTCAGTGTAGGCATTCCCTTATTTGGGGAATTCTGCAACGTACCAACCGGGTGAGCGGCGCCCGCATTGACCTTCCAGACAATGGCGGGTTGAAGGCTGGGGAAGTTGACAATCGCAGGACTCATCCTGGTCAGATATATTTGCTATACGATCGACTGACTTGTATCATCGCTTGAACCTGTATCCGACGGCTGGGGGATGTCCTTTATATCATGTCGACAGGGTATTTTCCTGCGAGCTGCTTCTGTGCATGTCAAAGAGCAAGCCAGATATCCACAGTCGGGGAGACTGTGTCATGTTCGGCCCGAGCATGGACGACGACTGTACTTGTCGGCGTGAGGGCCGAGGATCGAATGTCAATGGTACTTGAACATCTGATTTGCACAGAGAAGTCCTCGCCCGCGTCCAAATGAATTAGCTTTCTGAAAGTTGTTTTAACCTTTTTGACTTTAACGCCACCGTAACAGTGTTGATTGCGGCTGCTAACGGCCCGTAACCTCGGCAAATCCACCAGAAGGTCAATATATGCGCCATTCTGCATATCTGCAGTATTGTTAGAATCGATAAAAGCAAAATGGCACAATTTCTGCCATCCTACAACCCAGTAGATGCTTTCTTCACGGCAGCCATTGGAATGTCGGCGCGTGATGATGTCGCTATATGGAACCTTCTAGGAGAAGGGAAACGATTCCATCGGCTCTAAGATAATGGCGTAGGTTTCTGCAACTAGCTCCTGAAGGATCTGAGTCCTCAGGGGTCAGATACTATGGTGTCATGCACCCCTATTATTGGGCTATAATTATATGCCGAGTCCTGTCGGCAGCATACTAGATCCGTGCTCGCCTCGCTGCAATGAAATTGTTACTCCCTCGGTCTTCAACGACCAGACTCAGAGGCCTTATCAGGATCTGGATGATGCGTATCCCTCTGATCCAGCAAGGAAACCTTTGATATCCTATAGGCACGATTTGCTTCTGGACAAAAAAGGAGTGAGGTTGCCAAGCGGAACGTGTTTTCGTGGTTATGTCATATTACTGCTTAGTGCTTACTCCCATTAATCTAGACCACCTCTCAGATGCAAAATACTTGGAAATAAACAGGATCAATGCATGAGAAAAGAAAAGCAAAAATGCATAGCCGCAGCACCATTGCTTTTCTATCCACCAGGACATTTCCTAAAGTCCTGCCAAATCTGATTGTATAGTCTGGGCGGATTAGGACTCTTAGGGCACGACGTATAGGGGCAATAATCACATATTCTTGCGCCCAGTTAATACCTCTCCCTTATTGGCCTGCTTCAGTGACTAACGGCTGGCGAATTTCGCCCCCTGCAGCGTTTCTCGAACAAGGAGACTTGGTCAGATGCGCCTTCTACCTTCACACGGTTCCCCTCCCCACAACGACGACGGGACACCATCGCTCGGCCGACACAGGGATATGAATCCTTCAGCAGCGCGTCAATAGGAACTTGGAGTAAGTTGGAGCCGTTCCCACGCAATCGACCAATCGCCATGTTATGCTACTGAGGCTTCCAATGGCTTCTGTATGCATCCATGCAGATGCAGAATAAAAATCCCGAAATTGCTGCATAAATACTTATCGGCCTTATCTTTCTGCTGTAGCTATAGCGGGAAATGTCTCGGTCAGGGGCATCTGCTGTGAGGACCGCCCTTGGATGGAAGACCTCTCTACCGGATATTGCGCTGAGACATGCTTTTGGGCGGTGGAAAGTGGATCGAAATACTCTCTACTGCTGGCTGAAGAAAGCCAGAAATGACTCGGCAGTGATCCCTGTAGGCGTTGTCCATAAGACCTGAGATAAGAAGCCCGGCTCGCGAAGAAGGCGTGTTGAGGCTGCAAGTTAGCTGGAATGAATATGTCGAGGAAATTGCTGAGGAGCAACTTCGACCAACGGCCGGGAATGTCTTTTTTCTCTTTGATTGGACCATTTATTGTGCATAACTGCAGATCGCTTCCACGCGTAATCTACGTCATGTCAGCAGGCTAGAAATGCTCTCCGGGGCTTGTTGATTGCACAGTGAGATGATAAATGACCATGTCATTCCAGGACAGGGAAACTCCCTGTCGCTAGATAATTTTTCACTCCGTTTCCTTGAGCCCCATCCCATCAGAACGGACCCTTTGTCTTGCCAGCACCATGACGGCTCCGTCCCGACACATGGCATGTCGAACTTGCCGGGAACGCAAAGTCCGCTGCGATGGTGGACAGCCGTCGTGCGAGACATGTAAGCGGCATGGGGAGAAATGTGTTTATGTGCAGTCTGCTCGGCAAACGAAGAACGATCTCCTCGCCAAAATTGACAACTTGCAAGAGCGTCTAGGTGGGTAGATGTGGTTGTCGGGAGCGAGGTTTATATGTTCATTTCTTTCTCTGGTGGTTACAGTGCGAAAATTACTGCCTGCTAACTGTGAAACCTAAACTAGCCCGAGCAGAGGCAAAGCTGAACTGTTCATCATCTGTATCTTGTCCTACCTCCCACCACTGTGGTGTACCCTTTGTTCCCACGCCTTCTTTGTCTTCGATCGAGACTTCCCGCCGCCTTCCTCGCACATGGACAAGCCCCGGCCGGGTCTATCAACACCGGAGACACCGCTGGGAGACGGCCCACGGGTCGATGCAACAATTCTTAGTCCCGACGAATTGGCGGGGCTGCTGAGTCCCTTCACCAGTGTACTGGGCCCAGGTACGGCGGATGAGACACCGCTCTCGTTGCCCTGGTCCCTGGCTTTCCCCCCACTACTGGACGAGCAAGCCGTGCCTGATCCTGGACGGGTGTCCACCGACTCGGCACCACTGGAGGCCCGTCCGCCTAGTCCTTGTCTGCCCACCCTTCGCGCTATTCGGGCTTGGAATGGACAGCAGCTACAGCAGCAGCATCAGCCGGGGCCACCGCAGCCCCTGGACGACGGATGCGCAATCCTCCGTGAACTTATCCGATATGTGTCGGCGACCTTCACCAACCAGGTCTACATTGCTGGGATGACCAACGCCGTGGCCGAGTATCTGGCTTGGGCCCGGCGGACCCCGGACATCAACTACTCTCAGATCCTGGAGATCCTCGAGGCCCGGCTGCGCGAGACAGCCAATCTCGCTACTACAAAACACCGGGTGGAGTTCCAAAACCTCCAGGCCTCTTTGGGCAATCTCGATGCATATAAATGGAAGTTGGGGTTGCTAGAGCATGAGTTGCAAGCGGCAGAGGCTGACATCTCTACGTTTTTCAGTGCACATTATGATATTCGTTCGGCGCTGGACCTTCAACGGCGTTCATAAGCTGGTTCCCTGGGTTTGTACCATGCAATGATTTAGCTTCATCTTTGGTCTTTCTATTCAGTCATCTTTCTACTTGCTATTCTTTGTTTAGCGTACCAGGACCATATTGTTGCGACATAGACTATAGACCACAAAATGGTCAACTTTTCACTGCCATGTCCAAGTCTGTGCTATACTGTAGTCAATAATACCATATTAATATCACTGCATTAACCGTCAGCCAAGTTGACCGATTCGGGCCGAATCGACCGAATTGTTTGGGAGTTCATGTGGTCACTATACAATGCAGGCATTGCAGCTCGGGGTAACTGGGCTCTCTTTGCCTCCTCGAGACCGACTCGTCTCGATTGGCTCTTGTCTCAACGATCGAACAGATATATCAAGATGTAGGCTGCCCATGAAACATGCACTCGTCCTCCACCGGTCTAAACCACCATAACACAGCCTACCATGATTCCAAGCAAGGTGCAGAACGTTGATGTCGCTATTATTGGCGCAGGTATGGCGCTCCCTAATAACGTGTCATCTGTGAAGCCATGAAGCTAAAATACACGGCAGGATGGTATGGCTTGGTGGCTGCCAGAACATACCTTCGCCTGCGACCGGCGGCCAACCTCATCATTATTGACAGTGACAGCACGGTGGGTGGGGTTTGGAGTCGGGACCGAGTGTATCCTAATCTTGTCGCCCAAGTTAGGCTCGGGGTAAGTGACTCTGTTGTCTGGTTTTCCTTGTATAGCGCCGCAACTGATCTCCTTTGATAGCTGTTTAACTATACCGATACTGCCATGTCCCCAAACGGTGGCAACCGGAAAGATGAGCGAGTCACTGGAGACATGATCCATAACTATCTCCATCAATACGCGGAGGACCATGATCTGCTGCGCCGGATTCGTTTCAACACCTTCGTTACCAACGCGTCCCGGGGAGACGATGGATGGCGTCTGACACTCAAAGACTCCACAGACGTGATCATAGCGGAGAAGCTACTCGTCTGCACGGGGGTGACCTCCATTCCTTATATTCCAGAGTACCCCGGCGCCGAGACCGCCACAGTTCCCATCATTCACTCGCGGGATCTGGGAATCTCATACCCCATGCTGCAGAACCCGACCGTAGAGCATGTCGTTGTGGTTGGCGCGGCGAAGTCCGCCTATGATGCCGTCTACTTACTTCTATCAATGGGCAAGAGGGTGACCTGGATCATCCGGCGCGACGGTGCTGGTCCGCTAGCGATCCTGCCATTCAAGATTCTGGGGCTGATGAACTCAATTGCCGTCGCATCTACCCGCCTCATGACGTACTTGACACCGTCCATCCTAAACACCAAGGGACCGTTATACTGGGCTTTTCAGCGGAACCCTGTGGGGCGTTGGTGCGTCGGCAGATTCTGGGATACACTCACCTACTTGAGTCACGCCCATGCGGGATACTCCAAAGGCGATCATGTTGAGATGCTGAGACCGGAAATTGACCGACAAAGGTGACTTTTCCTACGCCATATGCCATGATCGTAGGCTAACAAACCACTATCCAGTGTCTTCTGGGCCAATTCCGGCTTGGGAGTCGTCACCCTTCCCGATTTCTGGCCAACACTGCATAGTCCCAACCTTACCGTGCGCCGGGATGCTATTGACGCCATCAAGGGTGATAATCTCTCCCTGCAGTCCGGGCAGACGCTACGGACGGATTGTTTGGTCCTCTGCACTGGCTGGGGAGATCACTTTGGCATGTTCGATGAGAAGACCAAGGCAGAACTGGGACTTCCCCTATCAACTCCCGATGGGCCGTCCTCCAACGACGGTGTCAACTGGGAGAAATACGACGCTGAGGCCGAAAGAGCTGTGGATCAGCAACTGCCATTTCTTGCTGACCCACCCAATTTAAAGTATACCCACCGCATTGGGACCCATCGCTACTGGAGGTTGTATCGTCGCGCGATCCCCGTCGGACTTGCGCTGAAAGGGGACCGGTCCATCGCCATCCTAGGGCAGATCCACACCGTTCAGACACCCCTGGTTTCCGAGGTGCAGTCGTTTTGGAGTATACTGTACCTTCTTGGGGAACTCGACCTGCCTAGTGTGGATGAGATGGCGAGGGAAGTCTCGTTGTGGAATGCTTGGACCCGGAAGAGGTATCTTACGCAGGGGCATAAGTTTCCCTATTCTCTGTATGAGTTTCTCCCGGTGGGTACTCCTTCGAGGTTTGCCTCATGCTCGGTAGGAAGTACTAATGATGGGTGTAGTACGTTGACACTCTCTTTCACGACCTGGGGTTGAACAGCCGTCGCAAGACCAATAAAGTGGCTGAGCTTCTGGAACCTTACAAGCCAGAGGATTTCAATGGGTTTATTGACGAATATCTGGCAAGACATGGCGGCATAAAATCCGGTTCTGCAAATGGCCATAAAGCTTAGTATGTAACAGGGAAAGACAGGTTCTGTAGCCTGCTAAATTGATTATCATAATATATATCTCTCTATGTCTCTGCCTATAAAGATGAAGTTGTACACACCCACAGGCACAAGAACCTTAAAGCCTGGTACAAGCTTGCAGTTATGTGTTCATATTTGTTCTGCATCGCTCATTGCTTCCATTGGAGACTAGCTATTTAAGTGAGTTACTCTCATTCTCTATACCAAACCATGAGTCCATGATAGTTGTGCTTCTATCCGATGCATATCTCACCATGTGCCACCGCCTAAAGACACTGTAATCCAAGCCGTCACCGTCAACGCAGTGAATGCAATCGTTTTCGAGGAATATATATTTATAATTCACACTAAGCTCCTCAAGGCTAAGCCTTATAGATTACCACCGCGCCTTAATGCCACAGGATTTCCTGGACGCAGCTTCATGTCAGGTATTACTACATGCTGAAGCAAAATAAGTGAGCCATACAACGGACAATGGTGGTTGCAGATAAAATACTTATAACCTCAAGACGAGATCAGGAGACGTTCTTTTGCCTTTGCCTTCTGTAACTTCTCGGTGGACTCGGGCCGAAGCTACAACAGCCACTGCATGGGGGTAAGGTTTGCAAATCGTGTTCTAATACTCAGATTGAGTGCTGCGTACCTCGCCTTTTGCTCCAGGTGAAGGAATAACCAAAAGCAACGAGTAGCCGTCGAGATATGGGCTAATATCCGTATTTCATCACCACTGAATATGACCGTGCTCGGGATACTATTTCTTTCGGACCGAGTTTTGACCAAGTCCATATTCTACCTCTAGACCTATCATCGCTTTCATTGGCGAAGATTAGGATTGATACCGTCTCGGCCCGAAGTTTTCTCATCTTTGGCAGAGAGCTATCCATATACTGCCTATGCCTAGATTGTCACTGGAGAGGTGACTCAAAATATACTCTGGCGACAAATAAGCCCCCGTCTGCCCTGGGAGCTGTACCATTTCACGGTCAGCGGCCAGAAGACAAACACACGACTGCGAGATGATATCCAGCTTCCGTGTCATCATTGTAGGCGGCGGCGTGGCCGGGCTTACAGCTTCCCATGCCCTCCAAAAGGCAGGAATCGATCATGTTGTGCTTGAAAGATCAAAAGAAGTGGCTCCTCCAGTTGGGGCCAGTATTGCCATCTACCCGCATGGAGCACGCATTTTATCCCAGATTGGGTGTCTTGAGGCGGCGAGGGCGGCCTGTCGCCCCTGCGAGAGATTCATCACCAGGGGACCAGATGGGAAGGTCTGGATCAATAGTGACTTCTTCGGGAATGTTCAAGCCAAGTATGTTATGCCTTCTGTTTAGGTTCAGGGAGTATACCTCGACATAGTGATGCTGACACGCTTGACAGCCATGGACAGGACATTCTCCTCCTCGAACGGAGGGAATTCCTGCAAATCCTGTACGATTGCCTCCCCGACAAGTCTTTCGTTAAACTCGGATGCAGAGTCCGTGATGTGACTCAGGATAGCAACGGGGTCGAAGTGATCCTCGGCGATGGGACCGTCGAACGAGGCGACATGGTGCTAGGCTGCGACGGCGTGCACAGCCTGGTTAAACAGAGAATGTGGGACCTGGCCAACCAGAACATTCCCGGGGTCATCACGACACAGGAGAAGACCTCGATGGTCACCAGGTGGAAATGTCTAGTGGGAATGGGCCCAGCAGCACCGGAACTGGGCGAAAGAGATATGACGGTGGTGCATGACGACAGGTATTCGTTTCTGTTCCTCACGCAGCCAGACAAGCTGTTCTTCTTCGTGTTCTTCCGGCTGGATCACGAGTTCCGCTGGCCAGAAAGGAGACGATATACCGATGCAGATGCTGAAGCATTGGCCACCAGTGTTGCTAGCCATCCCATCTGTGAGACGCTCGTGTTTGGGGAGATTTGGCAGAAGCGGATCCGCGGCTCTCTGATCTCCCTCGAAGAGGGGATATTACAGCATTGGTCGCATGGACGGATCGTGTTGGCTGGCGATTCCGTCCACAAGGTCACGCCAAACATCGCGCTTGGGGAAACTCCACAATGGAATCCGTGGTGGTGTTGTGCAACCACCTTGAACGGACGTTGGCAGCTCACCACGGTGGCCGAGTCAGCCGGGCAACGCTGCGGAGGGTCTTTGACCAGTATCAGCGAGATCGGGAGGCGCGGATGCACGAGATAATGGAACTGTCTTCGCTGATCACCAGAGTCCAGGCATGGGATGGGATCCTGCCGAAGTTCCTGGCTTGTTGGGTGCTCCCCTTCCAAGCCGATCACAAACTGACAGATCAACTTGGCGAACTGATCAGAAAGGCACCGAAGTTGGATTATGTCAAAGTTGATCAGGAATTTGGACGGGGTCGGTTGGCGTGGGAGGACGAGAAAAACAGTCGTTCCCTTGACAAAGTAAAGAAGATGGCTTTTGTCAGCAGGTTGACAGTGTATCTGGCGGGATGTTTGACAGCATTGGTCTTGGCTTATAGTCTGTCTATTTAGTTATAAATTTCACTAAAGACCAGAAGGCGAGGTACCCAATTATGAGATAGCTTGAGCATACTGTAGTAGTAATGTCCAAGGTGCAACACCTTGGCCCTACGGTTATTATATAGCTCCATGTATAACTAAGGACAAATGCCCACAGAACAGGTCAGATTAGAAGTAGGGCAGACGTCTCACAATCAATTTCTTATTCAAGTTCGATCTCGTCTACATCACTAGTAGGGAAACTCCTGCCCAACCAGCTTCTCACTCAGTCTCCACAGTCTTTCGGCTTCAAAACTGCTGGTGGCCCATGGTTTGACCGTGTCCACCAGAGGATCCGCCACGTGGCAGTCGAGCAGGTAGGCTCCGTTGTTGGCTACCGAACCGTCAGTCGCTGTAAAACAATGCGATCCTTACAGGAGACTTACCCTTCAGACTTGGATCAAATGCTGCGTAGATGTGGGTGGCGGCACCTCTCTCCAGTGGTTTGGCATCAAAATCCTTCCATCCTTCCCGATTACCCAGAGACTTGTCCGCGTTGCCTAGCGAGAGTCAGTACAAGCCTAATCTGTGCGAGGAATGACTGGAACCCCGTCTTACGTAGTTCCCCAAACTCAATGTTCCAGTCCAAATGATTGCCCAGATTGGTCCAGATGACTCCTGGGTGGAGGCTGAATGCCTGAAGATTATGTTTCATTCCAAGTTTCTGTGCTAGAGAAATAGCAAACAGCATATTAGCGGTCTTGCTCTGACCGTAGGCGTACCACCGGTTGTACGTCTTCCCATCCTGTGTCGTCTTTGTTAGTGTTCCAGAGTTTCGTAGGTATATCTAGCAGTCATTGAACGACCTACATCAAAATTATAGTCATCGAACCGGAACGGGTTCAACCGATGGCCGTCGCTACTGACAACAACGATTCTTGGTTCCTTTGCGGCCACAATCTTCTTGATGATCAGATTGGTGAACAAGAACGGCCCCAGATGGTTCGTTGCCAGATGGGACTCGAACCCGTCAGGGGAGAGCTTGTAATCCACTGCCATGATTCCCGCGTTGTTGACGAGGACATCAATAACAGGGATATCATCCCAGGAGTTGACCTGTGCGGCTGCATCCCGCACGCTTTTCAAGGAGCCCAGGTCAACTTGCAGCGTGCGGACCTTCACCTCAGGCTGGGCCTTAGTGACCTCTGCGGCCATCCGGGCCAGTTTATCGGCATTTCGAGCGGCCAGGATAAGCCACTCAGGCTTAGCCTTGGCAATGGATTGGACGAAGAAGCCACCAAGGGAGCCTGAGGAAACGCCCGTGGTCAGAATGACCTTACCTTTGATAAGCGGGGCGTAATCAGTCACGAGCTCGTCCGTGGTGGTATGAGTACTGTAGGGGGCCGGCATGATAATGATAATAATGAGTATAACAGTAGATACAATGGAAAAGCGATGATTGTAAGGGCTGAGGGTTCTGGTTGAGCTATTCAAGCGGAGCAGTATATATGTTTGGAGATTCTTTGTCGCGGGTTAAAATGCGTACAGATATCAATAGTGGTATCCAGAGATTCCAGACCGCTGTTACGTCCCAATACCTCTCAGGATGAGTAAGACGGTGATGTATGTGGCGCCTCCGTTGTGTTTAGCTGTTGCATACCTATGGCGCTATTTTAGCCTCGGTGAGGATTCCCCGACGCTCCATGTTTCCAGGATGTAGAAACCTTGGGAGAAGGAAGCTTCTAGTACGTCTTGACAGGGATGCATGGTCGTTTCATTCGTCTTGCACGAGTCATGCCGCGGGAGCCTTCTGAGGCATTTCCGTAATAGGTTAGCCAGCATGCTTTAGCACCTGCTTATGGAGAACCATCGAGAATGTGAAAGGGAAGTGCCTATTAGCAGCCTACCATCTTATTGTACATGCTCTGGCTACATTCAATTATTGCAAAATGATCTGTCCATCCGGTCTAGAACACCGTGCTTCCCACCTGCAGCCCAGCAAGTCACACATCCACCTCGGCCCGGATGGCCCGAACCTATTGTCGTAGGCCCTCCACTGCTCCCCCAGGAACCCCACTTACTCTTCTTTCTGGCTTCCTTCTGCTGATGGCATCAACAGTTCCTCTCGGATCCAGTTGAGGCCCAGGCACACGCTCCCTGGTCCTGCGATCATTGCCCCACCAACAACCCCCAACAGGACCTTTGGCCATGGCCATTGCCGATACCAGCCTCGGGCAATGAGGACAGTTCGTAGCTGTAACCAGGCAACTAGGATACCCAAAGTATATCCAAAGACTTGATCCCAGAGGAAGAAACTGTGCACTCCGTCCCCAACTGTCTGCGTCGCAGTAACAGAGACCGGTGGGATCAGCAGCGAAACCGGGTGGAACTCATGGATAGTCTCGGGCGTCCAGAGGTTCGGGAACAGAATCGTGGTGAAGCTGATACCCATGAGACCCACATGGACGGCAGAGCTGATCAAGAGGGATGTCGCGTTCAGAATGCGGATTGCAGACCTCCTAGTAGCATCTTGGTTATGCACCGTGCCAGCAGGTAGGAGCGCGTGAAGGACCTGCATGGTCAGATAGACAAGGACCGGGAAGATGTTCCATGCCACCAGCGCCAATTGCTGAAAGTCATTGGACACGAGTCCAGGGGAGGGGAGCGCCATAGCTACCGCGGGAAGAAGATAACCCAGGACCAGGCTAGGAAGAATCAATATAATTTGGCGGGCCGGGGCTCTGGATTTGTTGCGCAAATCCTCGAATGAAATGTCATTCGTGATCAAAGGACTATTAGCAAGGTACCAGAGAGCCCAGAACGGGCCCGTACAGGCGATAGCCGACAGTTGGAACAGCAGTACCCACAGCATCGTCCTGAGTTGGCGTCCGAGTGTCAGCAGATCAAGCATCAGAAAGACAGAAACGCGCCGAAAAGAAGAGAAGAACCCACCGAGTAGGAGTCGTTTTCCCGGATTGGCCCAGTCTCAGGCTATCCACATATACCCCTGTCAGCAGGCTAAAATACTGCGCCAAGAAGTAAATGCCGACGGCTGAAGTGGCCGGATGGGATCCATCCACGGCTTCCCAGAAAAAGACAATGAGTACATCCAGGAGATAATCAACTGGCCAGTAGATCCCAGTAATGCGCGTCCGGAGAGGAGACTCGGTTCCAGGCAGGATATAGGGTTTCGATCCATGCAGAGCCGTAAGCAGATGGGACAATGACCCATCCAGGACAGTCCGGCCCCAAGTGTGATACGTCCCCAGCACACTGAGCATGTATAGGACCGGCTCCAGGCTGCCGAGAGTTGTTGGTGCCATGGCGATGGGACTAACAGGCCTCGTATGCCTAGAAAATACAGGTGAGATGCTATTGCAATTGCTGCCATCATCTCAGCCCCCTCGTCTGTCCCGTATTTATGCCAGCAGTCCGGCAACTCCGTCTCGGTGTAGACAGCAACTCGGGCCGAACTCACCGAAAGATGAGGCTCTCCACGAGTTAACTGCAGCAGTATATATATATACCATGATTCCATCTGTCAAGGGTAGACGCAGGTACCTGTCGCTAATTCATGCACGAGCCTGAATCGGGCGGATTTGCATATGCAACCAGAGACAATGACCACCCTTCTCTACACTCTGTGCTTCCTCCCCACGACCATGGCCACCATCGGCGTGGGTCTCTCTCCCGGCGGCGTTACGGAGCTGTTCGGCAATTCATTTGGCCAGCCCGGAGTGAATGCCACCTATGACTACATCGTGGTTGGAGGGGGCACAGCGGGCAATGCGATTGCCGCACGACTAGCCCTGGACCCCGCCAATTACTCGGTGGCAGTGGTGGAGGCCGGTTCGTTCTATGAGATCCTCAACTCGAATCGCACTCAGGTTCCCGGTTATGACTTTTACTCGGCGCTGGCCAACTTTGTGGGGGGTTCTCTCGAAAGCCTGACCAATTTCGGGTTGCAGACTGCACCTCAAGGGGTACGTCAACTATCAGATGGGGGCGTTTGCCTGGCGTACTGATGGCAATGCAGGGTTACAATGGTCGCGAGATCATGTATGTTGCCGGCCAGACTTTTGGCGGAAGGTCAGTAGAGAATGGTCCCTAGAACTTGTACCACCTGGAAATGAATTAACTAGGAAACAGCTCCGCCTCGAACTACATGGGATATGCGCGAGCCACCGTGGGCACGTTCGATGAATGGTCCAAGGTCGTCGGTGATGATTTCTGGTCCTGGGACAACGTGTATCCTGCGTACAAGAAAAGTTGCAACTTCACCCCGCCCAACTATGACAAGATCGATCCGTCCTTCAACATTTCCTACGATGCGTCGGCCTTTGAGAGCGGTCGGGGACCCCTACAAGTATCGTACGGCAACTATCTCGGTCCCTACGGCCCGTACCTGGAAGAATCTCTCGACAAGCTCGGATTCGAACGAATCCCAGGACTGAACAGTGGCCGGCTGATTGGTTATGCTACTATCACGGCCGCCATTGATCCCAAGCAAGCGACTCGCAGCAGCTCCGAAACCTCGTTTCTGCAGCTTGCGGCCCAGAACTCGAAGATCAAACTGTACCCACAAACGATGGGTTCTCGGATTCTGTTTGATGGGAACAAGCGCGCTACGGGCGTCGAGGTGCAGACAAACTCGTTGATGGCCAATTTCAAGTATCATCTCAATGCGAACAAGGAGGTTATTGTCTCCGCCGGTACCGTAAGTCATCTATTCGTTAAGGTTCTGTTTCTATTGATACTTATATCTCGGTAGTGGCACTCTCCACAGATTCTCCTACTGTCTGGCATCGGCCCATCGGAGACTCTGCAGAAGTACAACATCCCCGTTGTGGTGGACCTGCCCGGAGTGGGTCAGGGAGCGAGGGTAGGGATTTGTCCTTGCGTGACGATAGAGCAGCGCTAATCATATGGGCATGCTGTAGGATCAACCCTGGATGGCCCTGTCGTACAAGGTGAATGTGACCACTGGCACCCAAGTGGCTGCAGGTAATGCCGAGTTCTCTGCGGCCCGAGTGGAAGAATATCTGTACAACCAAACGGGTCTGCTCTCCAGCATTGGAGGAGGCCAAGCTCTAGCATTTGAGAAATTCCCCGAGTCCTATCGTCAAGAATTCAGCCAGTCCACCCGGGATTTCCTCGACACCTTCCCCGAGACTGGCCCGAGGTCAACTATCTCTCCTTGGAATATGGCTCATACCCGTCCGACCTGGGCCCCAATGACAACTACCTCACCATTGGCTCGGCCCTGCTCACCACCTCTGCTCGGGGCAATCTGACCATCCAGAGCGCGGATATTGCTGATCCTCCGATCATCAGCCCCAACTGGCTCCTTGACGAGGGTGATCAGGAACAGGCCATTGCCGCTCTTCAGCGGATTCGAGAGATTGCTTTCAACAGTACGATTGTCGAGGAAGAATATCTGCCCGGGCCCAATGTGACGACTCGCTCGGAGATTCTTGAGTGGCTCAAAAACAATATGAGTCTGATCTACCACGCTACTTCGTCATGTAAGTGGTCTATATACCCATCCAAGTAGTGCAGGTTCCCTAATTCACTTCTGTACAGGCAAGATGGGGGCTTCCGACGATACCACCGCTGTCGTCGACTCGCGGGCCCGTGTGCGTGGGGTAACCGGCCTGCGTGTCGTCGACGCCAGTGCTTTCCCGTTTGTGCCTCCCGGATTTCCCATGGCCACTGTCTGTAAGTATTTCCAATTCACTAGGCCAAACTCTGAAGACGTGGTGACTAACAAGACGGATGCCAGACATGTTCGCGGAGAAGATTGCCGAGTCTATCCTCGACGGTCAATGATATGATAGAGGATCCATAAGGCCAAGGGGCATTGTATCTGGGCCAGTGTAATAGAGAAGGATATCTGTAGACTGTAGTGGTTTGGTTTACATAGTGTGAGTGATACTTGGAGTTTGAATACCAGGTGTTGCCGGTCTGCAACCACCTAAGGCGTGAGGAGCAAGCAGCAGATATTCAACTAATGTCTTTAATTATTGATTATTTGTAGACCCTAGGTGGCCTAGTGCCCTAGTCAGGTATGGGTTGTAAATATCTAGAACTGCTTAAGAGAGAGGGTCCGAGGGACATGTCACATAAGTAATAAAGGTATTAATATTTAGCTCGGGGATGTAGGGCCCTCTAGACCCCGTTTCTATAGTATATCCAACTCTAGAATACTATGAATTATAATAATTAAGAGTCTGATAATACTAACAGATGATCTGGGGGACAGAGCCCCCTAGGCCCACATATTATGGTGTAGCGCAAATTATGAGGAGAGCATGTGATAACATGTTTTATGAGCCAATCAGAATACTTGAAGGCATCAGAAAGCCTGATTCTTTGACTAACCAGATTGAGCGCCAAGCCAGGAAGGTAAAAGGGGATATAATAAGACAAGCCTTGGCTTCGCTCCGCAATAATTTACCTTCTTGTCTAGAGCGCAGAACCAAATGGCGCATAGTTTCTATCCTTCACTTAGTCCAAAGCCACATGAAGTATAGCAGTGATGAGGCATCGAGGTACTTTAATAACAGAATACCTTTAGGGATAGAATTATACTACCGGCCGATTGTTAGCTCTTGCAATATATGTATATAATGGATGCTGATGCGAGCATTGCTAGCAGGGCACTGGGACGACCTGCTCCTACTCCAGTGTAAATCAAAATCTCACAATATTTTAACCTAATCAGACTGTATATACAGGACAGAGAAGGGTGGAGAAAAGATTGGATATCGCCCTTATAACTACAGTGGAATCAACACATCCAACCCCCGTCCACTGGAAGCACCACACCATTGACGAAACTACTCTGGTCACTGAGCAGAAACACAACCACTGCAGCTACCTCTTCAGCGTCGCCTTTTCGGGCCAATGCTCCCGGATCTCCTGCTCCAAACAGCTCTGTCGTTCCGACAGCTGCTTCAATCTGACTGATCATCGGCGTGGCAATGATTCCACTGAGGGGTTTTTCACGATCAGTGTTCTGTTGGAAGGCATGTTTATTGGCTATATAATATATAAAGACATCAACTTACGGAGCAATCGCATTGACGCGGATGGCCCTCTTGCCCTCTTCCTTGGCCGCCGTCCGTGTCCATCCCACCACCGCATGTTTACTCGCCACATAAGGGCCATTGTGTTCGACGCCCATAATCCCCGCTATACTCGCCGCGTTGACAATACTGCCTCCATGGCGCCCTCTGGTGCCGGTCTTCATATGCACCAACTCCGCTCGTAGACAGTTGAACGTTCCCCGACAGTTGACATCGAGCACAAAGTCCGCTTCCGGGTCTGTCATGTTCCGTATTGCCCCGACCTCCTGCCCAATACTCTTGCCAAAGACGCCGGCCAGATTTGCAGCTCCGGATAGAGGTTGGTTAAAGTGAGTGACGGTTCTCTGAATCCAGTCGTTGCAGGCTTGCGGGGATCGGACATCTAGGACGGTCGTAAGAACGGGGTCCACGGTGTTCAGCACCTCACTGGGATAGAGTTGGCGAAGTCCATCTGCGGCTGCTCTGAGCCGGGACCCATTAATGTCGGCCAGCGAGAGGAAGGCCCCCTGTTGCGCGAGAAGTCTGGCGGTTGCCAGGCCGATGCCTGAGGCAGCACCGGTGACGGCGATGACTTTCGCGGTAAGGTCCGACATTATACGCGCAACAAAAGTTAATTGTGAGCCGTCCCAAGCTATTAGCGAGAAGATTATGGTATATGGACCTTCATATATAAATAAAATGTATGCTAATTTATGTCTGTCACTACCTTTCGGGGCTCGGCCCGAATCGGCACCAGCGGGTGAAGTGTTGATGGGATTCGCCACCTGGCACTTCTTCTTGGAACTACCCTACTACTAAGGAATAGGCTCGTACCCCCGAACGGACAAAACTATGACCAATGAGCATGCATCTTTCTCAAACGTCCCAGTTGCGCCTCTCTTATAGCGAGCGCCAATGAGACTGTGCCCCCGGCCCGATCAGCACGCTCCCCAGCACCAATATGAGGCCCACCTTGATCGTCCAAAGCCCACAATCCTTGCCGAATGCCTGGTGGAGAATGACAAGAACCCAGGAGACACTTGACAGACTGATGATGATCAGGTCCCACTGCAGAAACAGCCAAGGCCCTCGGATCAGGATTTCGTCCGAGACGCCAGATGGTCCATACCAACCGGAGGGGACGTACATGTGCCACAAGCTGAGCTGGCGATCTGATAACGCCGTGGCCATGGTGTAAAGGTGTCCGGAGACTGACGACGTCGCCGCAAGCAGGTATGCACCCCGTATCCACGAAGAGGTACGTTCCTGTGGGGAAGGACCTCTCCCTTCGGTCCGCTGAAGATGGCTGAGGCCGAATGCCAGCGCCAATTGAACCCATGAGACCCAGAGCGGGTCTGGTTGCCACGCCGCAAGGATGCGCTGGTGGTCACTGGCCGACCGAGCCGCGGCGCCTGTCCAGGTCGGCAGCATTCCAACGACAGCGGGAAAGAAGGCCCCGAGCAGAAACCCAACGGGGATGACTCTGGCGCCTCGCGGGTCGACAGCGCTGGTGGCAGCCTGCGGTGCTTTCAGGAGCCACGACAGATGTAGTGCATAATACAGTGGCAAGGAAATGGCGGCACCAAATCCCTGCCAGAGCAGACCGAAGATAACAGGCCTGGTATGCTTCGTTAGTGCGGTTCCCAACAGTCACCTAGAAATGGCTGATCGAGACACTCACTGAGCAATCCATCTGGGTTTCTCGGACTGACGGAAGCTTTCCACATACAGCCAGATAAACGCGGATTGCAGCGTGGAGTAGGCATCAAGCAAGAAAAGCTGATATCCGGGGACCGAGCCGTTGGTGCCGTAGAAGAAAAAAGCCACGAGAAGGGCAATGGGTACGTCTATTAGCTGGATTCCCGTGTACCTCGTCTGTAGTGGAGTTCCGTCGGCGAACTTGGCATGATACACGGCGAGAACGAGGGCCCTGACAGTACCATTCCAGGCACTGAGACCCCAAAGGAGAAGAGTGGCCACGAGAGCAAGACCGCGGAAGTAGAATCGAAGAAGTGGAAGATCCATCGTTTGACCGTTTGGTGCTTTGGAAGTTGCACACGTTCTCTACCGGGAAGATGCACCTGTTGATGACGGCTCTCCGTCTCTCTTCTATTGACGGTACCTAGGTCACGACTGCCAGTGCAATTGGCGGACTCAACGGGCCGTGACCACCGTTGCATCAAGCGAGGAGTTTCACCTGCGGTCAAAAACCTCGGCCAATGTGGCCCGAAGGCTGCTTTGCAAGGGACAAGCAGGTTAGGGAGGTGTTCCTTGTAGCCGATCTCGAACTTTCTCGGGGCTTTCTCGTCGTCGCAGCCACCGACGCGTACTGAAGTCCTCCGAAAGGATCTCAATGGATTGCTTTATATCAGCCCTTCTACGCCGTATCTCGACACCATCACCGCCAACGGCGCCTTTGTGAAGGAGCATCTTTGTACCATCACTCCAAGTCAATCACCCTTGCTGTCGTCGACTGCCAAATCTCCTTCGACAATGCCTCACCGCACGTATAGCCCACCAGGAGATGATCCCATGCTGGAGCCAATCGCCATCTGTGGCATGGGTGAGTCCCGTTAAGACTTGATCCTCCGTTGTCTGCGCAATCTGACCAGTATCAGCATGCCGTTTACCAGGAGGGGTGGACTCTCCCTCCTCGTTCTGGGAGATGCTCGTGAAAAAGCAATCCGGCCAGACCTCGCGAGTTCCCGAATCCCGTTTCAATATCGATGCCTATTACCATTCCAACTTGGAGCGTCCGGGGTCCTTCAATGTGCCCGGTGGATACTTCCTGGATGGCCGTCCGGAGGACTTTGATCCCACAGCGTTCAACATGACCCCTATCGAGGCCCAGTGGCTGGATCCCCAGCAACGGAAGATCCTCGAGGTCGCCTACGAATGCCTGGAAAATGCCGGACTCTCACTGGAGTCGGTGGCAGGCTCCAACACTGCTGTTTTTGTCGGATCATTCACGTCGGATTACCGTGCGTCTATCCATATCTTCCTCCTTTCCTGAACTCGTCCCTTGTCTGCAGTATACTGATGTACCCTGATAGAACAAATGTCAATCCGCGACCCGGACTTCCGCCACAACTACGCAGCCACGGGAGTCGACCCTGGTATCATCAGCAACAGGGTCGGCAACATCTTCAACCTCAAAGGCCCTAGCTTCACCATCAACACCGCCTGCTCGTCGTCCATCTATGCCATCCATAACGCCTGCAACGCCCTTCGCGCGCGCGACTGCGATGCTGCCCTGGTCGGCGGAGTCAATCTAATCATTACCGTAGACCAGCACATGAACACGGCCAAACTTGGAATACTCTCCCCCACTTCGACCTGCCACACTTTTGATGCGTCGGCGGATGGTTATGGCCGCGCTGAAGGGGCCGGTGCCTTGTATCTGAAGCGTCTCCGGGATGCGATTCGGGATGGGGATCCCGTTCGAGGAGTGATTCGAGCAAGTGCAGTCAACACGTACGCGTCTATCCTCCGATTGGCCTCGGAATCTGAGATCTAACAGTGTCACTCACAGAAATGGAAAAGTCGAAGGCATGGGCATCACCCATCCCAGCGGCAAAGGGCAAGAAACTGTCGTCCGGATGGCATACGAGAAGGCCGGACTAGACCCGAATGCCACTGCCTATGCCGAACTGCATGGAACGGGAACCCCCGTAGGCGATCCAATTGAAGTCCGGGCCATTGCCAGTGCGATGAACGACACCCGGTCAACGGAGAAGCCGCTCCTCTTGGGTGCTGTATGCTCTTCCTCTCCTGGACATTTACGAGGGTCTGAACTGACACCAGGGTACAGGTCAAACCGAATATTGGCCACAGCGAGGCCGCTAGTGGCATCTTTGCCGTCATGAAAGCTGCCCTGATGACGGAGGCCGGTGTGATCCCGGGTGTTGCCCACTTTCAGCGGTTGAATCCAGCCAGTACGTTTACCTTCATCGACGTTCTTTCTTCTTCCTTTGGCTCACATACAATGCCGCAGTCCACGAGAAGGAGTGGAACGTCAAGGTCAATGTCGATACCACCCCATGGCCCCAGGAATTCGACGTCCGTCGCGCCAGCGTCTCCTCCTTTGGCTATGGAGGCACCAACGGTCATGTCATTATCGAATCGGTCGAGTCTCTCTATCCCTGGTACCAGCACGCCCGTGCCAAGCGCGATGCTCCCTATACGCGCTCCTATGATCGACCATTCCTGCTGTGCTTCTCGGCTCATGACAAGGCAACGCTCACACGAAATGTTACGGCTATCAGCAAGGTGGCTGGGGATTACTACATGATGGATCTGGCATACACGCTCAATATGAACCGAACCCGATGGGGACAAAGGGCGTTTGCCGTCGCTCGTGATGCTCAAGCAACTGCAGTGTTTGATCAATCTACAGTACAGTCTGGTGTGGCTTTCGCTGTGGTTCCCGAAGTCGGCTTCCTCTTCACCGGTCAAGGCGTAAGTGGCTGTCCTACTATGATGCAAGGTCGGTGCAACTGTTAATATCCCTGATAGGCGCAATGGGCAGGAATGGGACAGGTAGCAGCGAATACATTTCCTTCCTTCCTTCGAACGATCCAGAAACTTGACCACATCCTGGCCCGCCTGGACCCGGCCCTTCCTTCCGTCTAGTCGAACTCCTCCAAGGGGATATCGAGTCCGTCTCGCGCACCATCAACGAGGCCGAAGTTGCCCAGCCCCTCTGCACAGCTGTCCAGATTGCGCTTGTGGACCTTCTCTCCGAATGGGGTGTGGCCCCCTCCGTCAGTGTGGGACACTCGTCCGGGGAGATCGCCGCGGCATATGCAGCGGGTCTTCTATCCGCTCCCGAAGCCATGCTGGCTGCCTATTGCCGCGGTCGTGCCGTCCACGAGCATTCCGGGGAAGGGTCGATGCTGGCCGTCGGACTGGGAGTGGATGCTGTGGGTGAATATCTGGCTCCTTATGCACCGGAACAACTGTGCGTCGCTTGCGAGAACTCCCCCAGCAGTGTCACCCTGAGTGGAATGCCCCAGTACGTGCGCGAGATCAAGGAAAAGTTTGACAACTCCAAGGTGTTTGCGCGCGAGCTCAAGACGGGACGAGCCTATCACTCACCTCATATGGCGGCCGTCGGTGCGGCGTATGATAACCTGTTGGCCCGCGCTCTTGCCACCCTCAACAAGCATGATCTACGCTGGCGCCGTCCCCGATCAGCTATGATTTCTTCGGTGACGGGCCAGCCGGTGGACATGGCAATGGACTCGCTTCCTCCCTCGTACTGGAGCGATAACCTGCGCTCACGCGTCCTATTTGACACCGCGGTTCGCATCCTGGGAACCGACCCTGCCTTCCAGCAGGTCAAATGCCTCGTTGAAGTCGGCCCGCACTCGGCTCTGGCTGGTCCCTTCAAGCAGATCTGTCTCTCCAATAAATTCGAACAACTGCGATATATTCCCTCGCTGGTGCGCAGCAAGGATGACGCTGATCAACTGCTATCGGTGGCAGGCGCCCTGTTCGTCGCCAACTATCCTGTGGATTTGGAGGCTGTGAATGCAGTCGAGGAGAGCAAGACGGACCTCAGATTTCGGAAGCCCAAGTCACACCGTCTCCTCGTGGATCTGCCGCCGTACCAGTGGAACTATGAGAAACGCTACTGGGCAGAACCCCGAGCGAGTGCAGAACAACGCAGTCTCATCCAGCCTCGTCATGATCTGTTGGGCCGGCAGATCACCGGGCTGTCGACGCAGTCGCGGCTTTGGCGTAATGTCCTGCGTCATCGCGATCTGCCGTGGCTGAAGGACCATGCGGTAAGCTCCCCATTCTTGCAGCGATTATGATGACTTCGGTGACTGACGTAACTGTGCCAGCTGGGTGGTGCCGCCATCTTCCCGGCAGCCGGCCATATGTCGCTGGCAATCGAAGCTCTGCGCCAGGTGGCCGAGACGGAACAATGGCAGGTCGGACAGGTTCACCTGCGTGACATCGATATCAGCACCGCGCTCGTGGTCCCGGAGACTGAAGCGGGGGTTGAGATTGTCCTGCGCTTGGACGCACTCTCGCACCAGCAGCCAACTGCAGGCAACAGCACCCCCTGGTATGCCTTTTCAGTCGAGTCACTCTCTGAGGGCAAGTGGGTATCTCACTGCCGTGGCAAGATATCCGCCAGCCCCGAGGATTGTGACAAGGATCCGTATGAGCACCCCGTGGATCCATCCCGACTCACGCAGCGCGTCCCGGGCAAGCGCTGGTATGAAGCCTTCCGCCGTGTAGGATTCTACTACGGCCCAACTTTCCAACAGTTGGGGCAGGTTCGCACCGATCGCCGATACCAGCAGGCCGAGGCCGAGGTGCGGGTGCGGGACCACTCTGATGTCGTTCAGGATGAGTCGCGATACGTGATCCATCCCGCCACCATCGACGCATGCCTTCAGCTCATTATTATCTCCATCCACCGCGGCAAACATAAGGAGATGCCCTGGGGTGTGGTACCCATCCGTCTGGAGGAAGTGACGCTGCGGTTCCCGCGCGACGGGGATGAAGGATCCATGGGCACGGCAGTAGCCTGGACCGACAGCTGTGAGGGTCGCTACTTTAACACGCACACGCAACTGAGGGGACAGAGCGGCCGCGTGTTGGTCGATGTGAAGAGCCTGCGTTGTGTGGCCTACGAGGCGGCGGTGCCGGCGGATGCGGCGAGCAAGGCGATCGACCCAGCTCCATTCGCGACCGTTTCCTGGAAGCCTGACGTCCTTCGACTGCGGGAATCGACATATCCCACAGTGTGGCCAAAGGGGACATCCGAGGCGCAGGTCCTCGTGTCAATGGTTCAAATGATCCATCATCGGCATCCACTCGCGGCAGTCCTGTTCTGCGGCCAGCACACTTCTGACGTGATCGATGCGGTATCGTCTGTTCTCCCCAAATCCTGCAGTGTTCGTGCCGTCCAGATGAGTGAGCTTGAGGACTCTCATAACTCGAATGCCGCAATTGCCGGTCCCGCTGATCTGGTGGTTGTCGATGAAAGTGTGTCGGGCGCGCGTGAAGCAATCCTGGGGCTGGTGAAGGAAGTCCAGTGGCTGATTCAGTCGGGGACTGATGACAATTACTCCTTTGAGAATGGCGTCAAGGATGAAAATGCTCTGTATCCAGTGCTCGAGGTTCCAGTTGGCGGTCCACAGAAGGGAGCACGTCTTGTCCAGCTCCTCGCCCGAGGCAACGTCAGGTTGGTCGACGCTATTCAGAATGAGCAACTGGACGTCATTATCGTCCATGCATCCAGTCAGAGCGAGGACGGGTATCTTAGCACCCATCTGTCAGATAAGGGACATACTGTCAAGAGCACGACCGTGGACCGGTTCACTCTTCCAGGGAACCAAGAGAATGAAGTCATTATTATCGATGACCGCCATGGTACTCTGCTCAGCGGTCTGAGTGACCAATCCTTTGAAGCTCTCAAGTCCCTGATCAGGGCCAATCTACCCATGGTCTGGTTGACCCGAGGCGTCCGACAAGGTGCTTGCGTCTTCGGGGGCATGGTCCAGGGCTTTTTGCGTGTCATCCGGTCCGAACAGGCCTCAGCAAGGATTGTGCAGTTGGATGTCGACAAGGAGGAACAGCCAGCAGATGTGGCAGAGGCCCTTCTGAGTGTGTTGCGGGACGCCCCGACTAAGGATTCGGGCAAGGATACCGAGTTCTGGCTGCACAAAGGGATAATGAATATTGCTCGCGTGGTTCCCAATCACCAACTGAACACAGAATGGGCGCCTCCTGCATCCCTCGCCTCTCACGTTTCTGAGGTCAAGCAACTGCCAGACGGCGTTCGCCTCAAATCCGCCATCGTAGATGGGCAGCTCAGCTTGACGTACGACGAGCCGGAACCATCATCCGCCCTCGGAACGGACGAGATTGAGATTCAGGTCCTTGCATCTGAGCTGCAGACCACTCCCAATAGCCCAGTAGTGGTTTCCGGTCGTGTGCTCCGTCATGGCTCCTCAGTTCCTGCCGATGTTGCAGCTGGCGATCATGTCATTGGCTGGACGACCGAATCGTTGACCACCGTTGTACGGACTGCTTGTTACATCCGCCCGGACCCCTCCACCAACAGTGACCTGACGACGATCCTGGCGAGTGTAGCAGCGCTTTCCAAGGTGGTCAACATGTGCATCACAACAACGAGTGTCAGCAGCACTGACCAGATCCTGGCACTGCCTGGTCCAGCACCCACACTGCATGCACTGGTTCGGTTAGGCAAGGCAATGCAGTGGGATGTTAGCCTCCTCGCCCGTTCTCCAGAAGAGCAACAGGAATACATTAGCAAATTTAACATTGGCAACGGCAGTGTCCTCCTTGCCGACGATATCCGTACACGCCTGCGTGAAAAGGACCGCAGATGGGTCATCCTTGCTCACGACTTCTCTCCCCTGAGTCAAGAAGTGTGGAGGCAGCTTCCTGCTCGCGGCGTCTTCGTCTTGAATGAAGCATTGCTGGATTCTGCACCAGACCCGTTACCCTTCTCTCGTGATGCGTCGTTCATACCAACCAGCGTAAAGACACTGCATACCGCGGCGGCGTCTGAGGTCCTCCAACGGGCGCTAGATCTCGTCCAGAAATACCCCGGGCTGGCAAACGACATCGCGTCTGTGCATGATATCAGCGAATTCAGTCAGTCCAACAACCTTCTCCAGGCAGTCCCTGCGACTAAAGTTGGTGTCGTCACGTATCGCTACCATGACAGCCTTGTACGGGTAAGTTTGCGTCGATAAGTTTATTCATCCATACCGGATCCAACTGCTGACGATCGAATCTCGTATAGGTCGCCCCCCAGCCTTTACGCCTGACTTTCTCCCCTGATGCCAGCTACCTCCTCGTCGGGTGCCTCGGTGGTCTGGGCCGCAGCCTAACCCGCTTCATGATGGAACGTGGCGCGAGACACTTTGCCTTTGTTTCGCGTACCGGTACCGACAAACCAGAGGCGGCCCATGTAGTCAATCTTCTCACTGCCGCTGGTGCTTCTGTCAGGGTATTCCGTGCGGACGCCGCGTCTGAGTCCGACATGGTCCGCGTCGTACAGGAGGTCAAGGCCCAGCGTCCCATCCGGGGCGTCGTCCATGCCGCGATGGTCCTGCGGGACGGAGTCTTTGAGCAGATGGATTGCCGCAGATTCCAGGAGGCAGTAGATCCCAAGGTCCTAGGCGCCGTGAGCCTCGCCAAGGCGCTGCAGGGTACCGATCTCGACTTCTTTGTTATGACCAGCTCCATCTCGGCGACGCTGGGCAATCCCGGTCAGAGCAACTACAGCGCGGCCAACAGTTTCCTGGATACCTTGGCCTGGCAGCATCGGATGAACCACCGGCCGGGTGTGTCCCTGGTGCTTCCCATGGTGCTGGACGTGGGGGTGGTGGCCGAAAATGCAGCCATCGAGACCTCCTTGCTCCGCAAGGGTATGTACGGGATCGACGAGCAGGAGATGCTGCGCGGCTTCGAAGTCGCCATGTCCCGCGCAGTGTCTCCGGTGACGTCTTTGGAAGAGGTTGGAGATACGCAGATCATCCTGGGTCTTGAACCGACGGAATTGGCCAAGGCAGTGCACTCGGACCAGACGGTCGACGCCTACTGGTACCAGGATGCCCGCTTCGTCCACCTTCGAGCTGAGGTAGAGCGCATCGGCCAGACTGCATCCTCGACCTCTTCCCGGTCAGGCGGGCTCCAGAGTCTCCTTGCGAGCGTAGGGTCTGCAGAGCGCGACGATATTCTGACCGTGATTGCACAATACATCGCCCGACGTGTCAGCAGTATCTTGCTGATTTCGGCGGAGGATTTTGACCTAAATGGACCCTCCATTGCTAGCTATGGCCTAGACAGTATGATTGGTGCGGAGATGAGGAACTGGCTATTTAAGGAATTTGGACTTGAGTTCTCTTTCCAGAACTTGCTGTCGCCCTCGTTGACGTTCAAGGGATTGGCTGAGGTGGTGGCCATGCATCTGGGCGTCATTTCTGGCAACTGATTAGCATGTGGATAGTAGGACCTATATCACTCAACTTTCCTTGATTGTTATCTATAGAGATAACAAGACTCCTTGCTACAATGAGCCTTGTCAGTTACCATGTTACTAACGACCACTGTGCAAGGCAGATGTGACAGGCAGTACTACAGAGTAATGTCTACCAAAGCACTGATCAATATCCCACATCTACAATTGTTGGACTTTGCACCCTTGTCTGCCATGAGCTGAGTTAGTCTGAGAATTCCTTGAATGCCCTCTATTCTTACTCCATAGTAAACGAGTCTGATGCAATGCAACGTACAACCGAGAAAATATCACCGAACCAGCATTCTATGTACCACTGATTCATCCCCTCGACACCCCCCAATCTTTCTTTTCTTAATTGTTTTTCAATTTTTCAGCGACAACTGATCCGGACATTCTGTCACCAAACGAAGCGGATTGGCTGCCAGCCAAGTGGCCGTCTCGCACAGCTGCAAAATGACTCGCTTACACCACGACAAATTCATCAACTAACTCGGCGCAAAGATCTGCACCACCGTGCGATTGCCCCGCGGCGACGTCACCACATGCAGGAACTGTCGCTTGAACTCGCCGCCAAACATCCTTGTACTGCACTCCACCGGGCCCAGCGCGAACTGCGGCGTCACGTCGACGTTCTGATGCTGGATCAGACAGCCCAGCGGCGCGTTCTCCGGCCAAACGGGACAGGCCCGGCGGATCTCGCACATCCCCGTGGTCTCGTACTCTATCGCATCAATGTGTTGCGTTTGAATCTTCTGCAGGAGGTCCAGGACGGTGTGTTTTGGATGGACTTTGACGCGCACGGGGACGATGTTGGCGCAGACGCCGAGGATACTCTCGACCCCGGCAAGGGGTACGGTGCGGCCGCTGACGAGCTGTCCGAAGACCAAATCGCGTTCGTTGGTGAGGCACATGAGTAGGAGGGCGGTTGCTGCCTTCATGAGGGTGGCGGGAGTGATGGTTGGGGGTAGTTTGGGGAGGGAGATTTCCTCACTGAGCCCGATGAGCGTCCCCCCTGTGTGGTCCTCGGGCTCTGCGCCGAGAGAGAGATGTTGGAGGTGGATGGGCGGCGGGCTGTCCTTTAGGGTATGACTCCAGAAGGCTTGGGCCCGAGCGGCAGACTGGGAGGCGAGATAGAGGATGTAGGCGGAGTAGTTCGTCACGGGGTCCAGCGGAATGTCTTCGTAGAGGGCGGAGAGGTCTCTGAAGACAGTGGCCAGGGAGTATCCGTCGTACTGGGCGTGGGAGAGTCAGAAGGCGAGAATGTGATAGTGGGGGTCCTTGCTGCGAGAGAAGAGGGTGAATTTGGTGGGCACCTGGCCTAGGGGCAAGCCATGCTTGGAGTCGGCGCGACAGACAGTCTCACATACCATGTCGAGATCCTGGCCCTCGTCGTATTGCATCTCCGAGAATGGGAGAGGGATCTGCCTGAGAACCACCTGGAGGGTGGCGGGGCCGTGGCGAACATACACCGTCCGGTAGATCTCATGGCGTTCAACCAGTAACTGACAGGCAGCTCGCAGACGTGTTTTGTCCAAAGGGCCATGCATCGTCGCCAGGAAGGAGGACAGCGGCCAGTCGAGGATGCACTCGGCCTGGAACTCCGTCGTGGGCAGGACGTCGAGGATGCTATCGGCAGTAAACTCGATCTGAGGGGCGATAGTGTCGCAAATGAATGCCGCAGCGTCGTTGATGCCAAGTAGTCCACAAGGTTGCGTCGCGCTGCTGACACTGATATTGGAAGTAGGAGCAGTCGCAGCAGCAACCAGCTCCGGGCTATCTTCATGAGGCATGATATTCATGAGCACTGGCTGCTTGAGAATGTCCTTGACGGACAGACTGAGCCCCTCGCCCCGTGCGAGAGACACGAGCTTGATGGCATGAGACGAGTCGCCCCCGAGCATGAAGAAATTGTCGTTGAGTCCAACCTGGTCGACGGGCAGATCCAAAACTTGGGAGACGAGCTTCTGGATCAGTTGCTCCCTCGCGGTGCGAGGCGGCGTTTTCTCTTCGGATGCTCGGCCGGCCATTTCTTCCTGACTCAACTGGATGGCTAATTCACGCAGCTGCGATCGGTCCGTCTTCATCGATTTATTGGTAGGGAAATCCGGGAGAGGAACATACGCCATGGGGACCATGTAACGGGGCAGAGAGCTCCAGAGATGGGCTTTCAGGCTCGACACCATCGACGGGAGGCCCGCCTTGAAGACGGCAAAGCTTTGACGCTGGTCCATAGGATTTGGCCTCAGGAACGCTGTCAGAGTCGGGGGAGCAGACGTTCCATTGAAGTGTACCAGGCCCACGACTACGTCAATTGAGTGACCAAGATATCGTCGCAGATGGTGCTCCGCCTCTCCCAGCTCCATGCGCTGTCCATTGATCTTGACCTGCGTGCCCTTCCGTCCTACGAACCTTACGGTCCCGTCTGAACCGTATCTCACCAGGTCGCCAGTCTTGTAGAACCCTCCCTGGACCGGGAAAGAGAAGCGGCTGGGCCATGGAGGTGGCGGAATGAAGACCTCGGCCGTCTTGTCGGGTTGGTTCAGATATTCCCGTCCCACCGCAGGGCCTTCGAGGAGGAGTTCGCCGACACTGCCGACAGGAGCGAGCCGTTCAGGATCGGTGGGGTCCGGAAGCCAAGGCAGACGCTGCGTGGGATAACCAATGTTGCTGGGGTCGGAGCGGCAATTGATTTGCGGCTGGAAGAAAGCGTAGATACAACATTCGGCGGGCCCGTAACCTTCAATGAGGGTGCAGTGCTCTGCCCATCTCTGGAAATCGGTTTCGTACACCGGCTCCCCACCGATCTTGACTGTATGCACGTTGGGCGCCTGCTTGGGATCAAGGAGCCGAAGCACCGATGGGGTGATCAGCATTGTGTTGACCCCCGGACGGTTGATGGCGCCAGCCAGGTCGTTTAGGCGCTCCTCCTCCGAGGGGATGCATACACAGCCGCCGAGACACAGCGTCATCAGGAGCTCGGCGATGCTCATGTCAAAAGTAAAAGAGGCAAAGGCCAAGACCCGCGCGCGGTTCGTAAGATTGAGTACTCGTGCCCAAGCGGGGGCACCCATATAAAACGATGAATGCTGGATGATGATTCCCTTCGGCTTGCCGGTCGACCCAGAAGTGAAGACGGCCAATAGCGCATTGGAAGGCTCGACGGGTGAAATGTAGGGCGATGCGATGGGAGTTTTCGTGCTGGCGGTACTTTCTCCGATGACAACGACCGACGGGCAGAGTTGTTTGCTCCTGTCCTTTAGAAGCTCAGAGGAGATGATAATGGTGGCACGAGAATCCTCGCACATGGCTTGCAGTCCACTCTGCGGACGAGAGGGATCGAACAAGATAAATGCAGCCTCGGCTTTCACTACTGCCAGAAGGGCCACCAACGTCCATTTCGACCTTTTGGTGTGAATTGGGATAAACACTTTGGGACCGGCTCCACGTTGGATGAGACGGATGGCTAGGAGTGAGGCCCGGTGATCAAGCTCCCCGTACGTGAAGTCGCCGTCCCAAGCGCAGACAGCAGGTGCTTGAGGCTGCACTTTCACCTGTGCACCAACCAGGTGGTGGACGCATCCAGTCACTTTGTTAAACCTCTGGCAAGCCCTTGCGTTTAGTCTCTCTACATAAGCGTGATTATGCTCGCTGAATAGGTCCAGCTGTTCGGGGGGCGTGTCGGGATGGCTGACGATCATGCCCAGCGCTCTTTGTAAAGTGCTGGTGAAGTTCATTGCTTGCTCCTCCGAGCAAGTCGAGGTCCAGTACGATAGGGAGATATGGACGGAGATGCTAGAGACGAACACGTTGGCCGTCAGGTCATACTACGAAGCATGACACCCATGTTAGTGACACGACATCGACAGGCTAGGAGCTTAATACTTACCTCTGTAGGGCTTAGTTCCCACACACTCTTCAGCCCCAGAGATGAGGCATTGCCCGCCATGTGAGAGGAGGTCCTTCGGACAGATATCGCGGTGTTGAAGAGCGGGCCTGAAAGGTTTAAGCCACTGAGAAACCGTCCCAAGGGGGCATGTTGATGGGGAGAATTCTTGATGAAATCATTCAAAATTGCCTGGAGCTCTTCCCTCACCGCTTGACCACGACCGAAGTGGACCCGAGTGACAAGGGTGTTGATGTATGGGCCAACGGCATCCTCCAGATCATCTAGAGCAATGTCGCGACCCGCAGTAAGATAGCCAAAGCAGACGTCGCCCGTCTGTGCAAAACAACGCAGGACCAAGGCCCAAGCGAATTGAAACACAGTCGAGACGGTGACGCCCTCTTGTGCGCAAAATTGTTCCAGTTCCGCTGCCCCGTCTATGTCGACCTCTACCGTCCTGGTTTCTTTCGGACACTCCTCGTCTAAACTCTGATGATCCAGACGCGGGAGTATAAGGGGGGCACTCCCGGGAGATATTCGGCCAGTGTTCAGCAGATAGGCCATTGTCTAAACTCCTGAGATAGGAGATATAGCGGCCATAATACGGGCCCTGTCCCTCGGGCAGACGTTTATCGTACGCGAGCCCCAGGTCACGCAACAGAATCGAGACGGATGCGCGTCTACTAAGGCGTGGGATATGGTGAGACCGACGTAGGCTCCACCCCCGGTGACACAAACCGTGAGCTGGTGAGGTGGTTCCTGAGATGCAAAGTCAACATTCCTGGTGTGTTCACGCATGACGGCCAAAGGGTACCTCGTGGCAGGCAAAAGCAATCCATTTTAGGGGTGACCGATTTGAGGACGACTTGATCAAACCCACCCTCGTTCCTGGTACTCGACCAGGACGGTACGTAGCATTGCATGTCGTTGCACAACCCGCTGCCAGGCACTCCTAAACCGAAACAATACCTCCTCAGCTGGGGAAAGATCCCCTCGATTTGCTTCCAGATACATTGGATTTGATACACAGAATCCCCTGTTGCATAGGAGAGGATGGAACTGCCTCATGCAGCTTGTGGTAGCTCAACGACGGCAAGGCGAGGTCGGCCAAATGCTTCCTGAGGGTCCATCTGGGGTCAAGGCCATAGGCAGGCTCAATAGTAAGGTTGTATTTAGGAATCTCCGCTATCCTTTATCATCATAAAGAAACCATTTTAATAGATCGAGTCTTCCAAATGACATCCAGAGGCAGAGTGGATTGGTTGGTGATGGACGATGGTAACGTGTTGATAGAGGTGGGGAATGGCCAATTTGGTATGGCATCAGCTATGGAGGGAGAAGAACGGTGATTGGCTGCAAAGGAGTCAGGTGACATGCAAACAATCAAAGTAGGCATGCAGTTATAACTGTTCGAAATCAGATCTACCGTTGCTCTTCAACATTGATTCAGGCTACTTCGAACAAAAATATGTTCAGGAATGATGTCCTAAGATTTTCTACCCGACCTGTGTTCCCTTTTGGCACACAGTGTCTCTGCCGCACGTGATGGGTCTAATTCTCGTATTCCGCTAAGATAGGGGTGGCTGGGAGGGCCACTGGCCACCTGGACTCAACTTTTCTTTATCTCTTTCTCTCGCTGGAGACAACACTCAACACTCAACATGGGCCGCTGGTGGGGACTCCCGCTTCCCCCAGAGATTATTCTGGAACTGTTTGAGTATTTGGAACCCTCGGATGTCGTGGCTCTCGCGCAAGCCGCGGAGGGGTTCGCCCAGCTCGCTGTCTCAGCGTACTCATCTAGTCTCCGCGAACATGGACGAACGATATTGTTTGCTGCAGTTACATGTGGACATGTAAGCATTGTCCAGCGTTATCTGGAGGGAGGAGCCGATCCATGCGCCGCTGATGATGAGGGGCACACGCCATTGCACTGGGCCGCTGCTTACGGTCACTGCAGCGTGGTGGCTTTACTCATTGATGTGGGAGCTGATATTAATGCACGTCATAAGAATGGACTTACTCCACTGGATTATGCCATTATAACAGGATATGATCGCGTTGTGGAGGTTCTTTTGAATAAAGGGGCTACCATTACGGATGTCAGGATCAGCAAGGCTCAAAGAACGACTCTACATGCGGCTGCTATCAAGGGATATAGCAAGATTGCCGAGATGTTGCTAAGCCACGGAGCTCCTATTGATGTCAAGGATGCCCATGGTCATACGCCTCTTCATTTGGCTGTTTCGGAAGGGCATCTTGAGATAGTTCGGGCGCTGCTTTGTGCTGGGGCAACCGTCGTCGTTCAAGATGAAATCGGCGACTCACCACTGCACCTCGCTGCCGGCAACGGTTATTTTGCTATCGTAGAGGAGCTTCTGAATAAGGGAGCAGACCCTTCTCTGCAAGATCACGAAAATGCTACGCCATTGCACCAGGCATCTTTACTGGGTTTCGTTGACGTTGTCCAGCTTCTCCTAAAATCTGGGGCAAATGTGTCTGCTCAAAGGTTAGATGGACAAACTCCTCTTCTCCAAGCCTGTGGCGCCGGCCAGGTTGCAATTGTGCGGCTGCTTCTAGGTGCCGGAAGTGGTCCTTCAACTCCAGATGAGGATGGGAACACGCCACTACACTTTGCTGTCCTTTCAGGGAAAGCAACAATCGCTGAAATGCTGATAGAAGCTGGGGCGCATGTCGATAGCGTAAATGACAAGAAACAGACCCCGTTACACTGGGCAGCAAAAGGACATGAAGAGATGGTCCCTACTTTGCTGAATCACAAAGCTGATACCCATGCTCGCAGCCATACAGGGTGGACTCCGCTACATTGGGCAGCTAACGAGGGCCATGTTGGTATAACGACAGCTTTATTGGAAGCCGGGGCCCTCGACCAGATTCAAAATCAAAATGGGGAATCAGCGCTGCACTTGGCCGCTCAGAAAGGTCATGAAGCTGTCGTCCAATTGCTTATCCAACGGGGCAGCAATCCACATCTCACCGACAATAAACTTCGCACAGCTCTGCATTATGCAGCTGCCGAAGGACATGAGGATATGGTAAGAATGTTGCTGAGTATCAAAGTCAGATCAGACGTCACAGATATCGATGGTCGGACTCCGCTTTACTATGCAGCACTCCATGGACATGTGATGATCGCAAAAATGCTTCTTGATTCTGGTACCACCCTTGACGAGACCGTCAAGGAAGCCTTTTTAGAGGCTGCAGAAGCTGGGCACGAATTGATGGTTCAACTTCTCATCATACATGGCATTGATCTGTCTTTCAAAGATACAAGCGGATATACAGCGTTGCACCGAGCCGTTCTGGGGGTCAAATTGAAGTTGTCGAACTTCTTCTCAATACGGAGGCTGATATCTCTGCCCGGGATAACATGGGAAAAACAGCATTGCATCTTGCTGCCCAGGAGGGCGAGGATGAAATTGCCAAAGTTCTCTTGGGAAACAGTGAAATAAGGAATCTCCAGGATTGTGATGGCTGGACGGCCCTGCATTGGGCGGTTAACAACGAACAGGAAGACACCGTCCAGTCTCTATTAGATGCTGGTGTTGATCCTGGTATTAATTCCTTCAACGCATGCACGCCGCTTGATTTAGCAGAAGCTGGGGCTCTAGAAATAATCGAGCAGATGTTACGAGAGGCATTAGCAGCGACAGATAGACCAACCATTGGTGACGCGCCTCCATGAGAATGTCGGTGCACTCTATCAAGTCGAGGGCCGGGAAAATTACCACCAGAAGCGCCAGGACTGCAAAGCTGCAGATCAGAATATTTGGTTAAGATTATGACATATAGCCACCACTTATTATTACCTAATAACTGCATGTTCTTGTGTATGTTAGTGATAGAATACTTACTACACTTTACCAGCTTGGCTATTTTATGATGTAGTGAGCTTGTTCCTGCTGCTTATCATACACAGTCATCTTATGCTGCTAGGTCTCCATAGACATCCTCTTAGTTATAATTTTCATTATTATGCTAAGAGCATGTTTTTTAGTCATACCACTCTACTATCAACCATTATTAATTTTTAATTAATCATCCTTAACTATAGTATAGAGTAGGATTAAATATTTCTAATAAGTATATAGTTAGAGTTGCATAACCGACTGCTAAAATCAAATCCAACTCTCACCAAACCCGCAGCGGTTTTGATTCAGTGCCTAGCCTAGGGAATCGCACCGGTTTCAGTATCCCTAGGGCCACAGGGTGGAACTAATTTAGATTTAGTTAAAACCGTCATTTACAGTTTTTATAGTTTTATTAGAATAGTGTGATATCGACAGGTACGTAGGTGGTTCGGTATGCTCTATGAGTATGTATGGCGATATCTAGTAATCATTGTTGTTGTGTACGTAAGCATTTAGATCAGCACACTCCTTCATAGCTTAGGTAGAACTATAAAAGGAAGGTTAGAACCCTTCGATATCAAGGAGGCACGTACGGGGCGGCTGCAGGCCTACCCCCTACCCTCGCAGGATTCGAAGGCTCTACTCCCATTACGATGAACGTTATCCCAATAGGTTAACTAATTTACGCTGTTTTAGATATAAATTGCTAATCTTTAGGGTTTCCTTAATAATTTTAATATCACTAGATAGCCCTTAATCCAAGCTATCTAAATATATAAATATTCACTTAAAATACCTAGTGGTTACTGAGATAACAGGGAATAGTCGTTTTTATTGGGGGTTAGTATCAAAGCGGTGGTGGTTTATATATATTTGCACATTAACCATTAATAACCATTTAACTAACCTGAACCGAATCAAAACCGAACTAAATCTAACCCTGGTTAGTTAGTAGGGGGCTGGGCTAGGCCCATCTAGGCCTAGTGGTGGGCTTTAGTGGTTCGGGGAAAATAGAGTGCTTTTGCAAATGGATTCAGGATAATAGGTCGATCCACACCACTTTTGGGTGTTGGTCCGCCAGTGTCTAAGAAGTGCCTAACGACTAATTGATGCGCTTCACACTCAATTTACCACCTTACATCATGAATTCTTCGTCTCTGGCTACTGAAAGCCGTACATAGTCTGCCTACAAGACTGTCCAGCAGCGAAGAATCATCAACTGGATGACTTATGATATCATTCGAGACTCATGATGTATTTAAGGCAAATAATAGATAACTGCTTTCTAACATCACGATATTCCAGTCTTTGCTTTCGCCTCTTGATTCTCTAGTCGTGCTCACAAGATCACTTTCCGCACTCCCTTAAAAAGGCGAGTAATAAACACTCAGGTAGGGGTTCGAATGGCGATATGAGAAAGGAACCCCTGAGTGTATGTAATTGGTTTTCGTAAAGTCAAGGCCGGGACTGTCAGCGATGTTAACTCTACTCCAGCCTGTTGCCGGATGCAGCCACCACAGGGTCAACTCACTCGTATGAGGCCACTTTATCCTTGTACGTGCTGGCCAGATCCGTCCAACCCAGAACCTTGTAGAACGCCATGAGTGCGTCCATTACTACCGCATCATCCATTCCAACGGTAAGGAGGTCTGGGGTCCGGAAATTTTTTCTTGGGAGATAGGGTCCAGTTCGCCATCATGACGGGTCGGTAGTCCTCGGCAGGAGGTGTCCCAAAAGCAAAATCCGGCTGGATCTTGCTCCGATACCCTTCAGGAGATCTCGAGGAGATCCCACAGTTTCCTCAGGAGGGCCAGACCATCGGCATCGGCACATTGAGGATCTTCCAGACGTTTCCCGCGAGGAGTCCACATGTCCGCTACCCGATCCTATGATACCACCTGGCCGGTGACGTAGAATTTCAGGCGACTGGGCTCGGGAGTGCACAGGTCGACACCGAGAAGGAACGGGGCAATCGCGGTATCTGTTGGGTGTCCGTCGTCTTGCATGCACGGGTTTCCTTCAATCCCGAGAGAGCAAGCCTCTCGATGGAGTCGAGAATGAGCTTTCCCGGCGGGATTCCAGTCGCCAGCGACTTCATGCCTGGGAAGAAGTAGGCCTTGGCGCTGATGCCGCCGTTCTGGAATTCCACTGCCAGGGTTTGCTGGCCTCGCCCGGATTTGGGGAGGGGGGGCTTTCTTCTTGAGCGACCGGCTTTCTTCATCGGGGTCACCAAAAGTTCGTGTTGGAAGTGCCTGAATCGACGCCGGATTCTGCCAAGTGTGAGAGTGGTTCGAACCCAATCCGCAGGATATTATGTAGGAGATTCCAGCTGAGCTCGAAATGAACGCCATAGGTGGTCACATTGCTCCACCAAGGCAGAGGTACCTGTCCAGCGACTGGGAAGGTGCCGAGGTATGGAACCAGAAGTCACTGCTGGAGATGGAGGCAAGGAAGCTGATCCTTCTGCGGATACTGAGCATCACGCAGAAGTTTGAGCAAATTGGGCCCAGTATGTTCCCACCAACGTCGCTGGTCGTCGTTGGGAAACCAAGAGTACTTGTCGAGGAGCTGGAATGCCTCTTCTTCAGGACACAAAATCTCAGTTGCTATGGTCATTGTAGGACAGGGATACGGATGCTAGAGTGAGATAAAAGGTCGAGAGTTGTAGAGAAGCGGACTGTCTAAGGGGGGTTCTACACGGAGGATAGGCCACCGGTGGATGACGCAGACTGATGGTCTGAAAATGTGCCGTCCGAACTGGCAAAAGCATCCGGCCAACAGACGGTAAGGGCTCAAATGGACTTAGACGCCCCTTTGCTTGAGGGCCTCACAAAGTCAGGCTTTCGGCTGAATTCCGGCCTGGACTATGCCGGAATCTACGTGGGCTACCTTCAAAGGGCCGGGGGCTACCATATCGATGTAGGGGCGTCCGCGCATGATTACCGAAGGCAAAATCAACGGATGGCGCATAATGCTCATCAATTCTCGTCTCATGGTTGTAGCTCTGCTTGGTGGGAGCTACATTCACTCAAAGGCACTGCCACTGAAGAACCGGTTGGCGGACGTAGCGCTAAAGAGGAGGTGCTTCCTGCGTTCAACCTCCCATCAAAGCCCATTCCATTGAGCGGGATACCATCCCTGTCCCTCGCTGTCCCCCCCGGAGTTTCACGAAATAAGCGTGGAGGGTTTATTGACTTTATACAGAAACTCGATGCTCTTCGAAATACAGGCATCGTGGTCGAGACATAGATAATGGCGTTCCAAAAGCCCTGTAGAGAAAGAACCAACGCGCCAGCCAGGTTCAAGCCGAAATTGGGCTCGTTAGGGTGGACGAGACCGTATATCCGGTTAATTGACGACGGGATCTGGGAAAGAGAACAAAGTTAGTGAATTGCACCCACAATCAGAGACATGTCCTTGAAACAGTGTGAGCTGGTAAGAGCAGGGCCCGCCGACAGGAGATAAGCAGGGTAGCACGAAATGAGGCCAGTAGGGGGAAGAATAATAACCATACCCAGGTAACTACCATGGCTATAAAGAAGAGGAAAGAATATCTTATATAGCCCCACATAGCCCTATTACTTCCGTGATGAGCATCTATCCTGTTTTGAGAGCTGGATTGTTGTGATTCGATGCAGACAGCATACGGAGCTTCCCCCTCGGCTGCCAGGCGTCCCTCGGCGCCTGTGGTTACTTGGACGGTGATTGAGTGAGACTTTCTGATTGTTTCACTGGCAGATAGTGTATCTTTTGCACTTTTGAAATCTCTGTGTTTGCGGAAGATGTCGCTACCCACTTTGACATATATCGCAAATGTTGCGATGCTGACAGCCCTTTAAGGACGATGAGAAAGGGAGGTAATAAGGCTGGATTATGCACAAACATACCATACTGGACCATAGAAACACACCGGACGAAGGAATTGCCATGGGCCGCTGATCGAGCACCAAATCTGTCTGGGAATTACTACACTGCTTCATTCGTTAATATCCGGGTACACCTACCAAAGCAGGTCCATAGATCCTTCCTCGCTCGTCAGTCTTGATGGATATCAATACAATCGCGAGCACCAGAGGTAGCCCATAACACAGAACGAAGTACCACTTTTCCAGCTTCTTTATATCTTCTTCCGTGTACCTCCGGTAAAAGGTAAGATAGATATTCAGGGCCATGCAAAAGGACCATAACGAATCCGCAGGCATCCAACTGTGCACGCCCAGGGCATTAATAAATCAGATTTTTTTGCAAGATCTGTCAGCGTGCTGAGTGAGTGGTGACGTACTACTGGATGAAAAATGCCTGTGTTTGACATAAGGCAGAATTTGGACCCGCTGTTATTCCATCCATGCTCATCAGAGAAGCAACGGCGGAAAAGGTATTCCCAAAGGATGCATAGAAAATTAATCTGTTGATTGGCCTGCGAAAGGCAGCCGATACGGAATACGTGATGAAGATTAGCAGGCAGCCCAGCAGGGAAGCCGTCCCGCCCACTCTCTCTGCTAAGGAGACTGCGCGAAGTTGCTCCTCGGTCAAGGCCATAGAATATAATTGATCATCATTTTCGGAAGCAGCTGCAACACCGTTTGCAGTATTTAAATGATCAGAGGGGATGCGCCTTGGGGGTAGTCCTCGAAACAGATTTCAACATTGGTTCACCCAATTCGAGAGCGGAGACGCCTATCTATTTAAGTTGTGTGGCAGAGGAAGTAAGACAGGATTCGCACATCGTTTCTAGTATTCAATGGACTGTTAGCATGATCCTACTACTAGAATGACGGAATCTAAGTTCAACTGGACCTTGGTACCTTGTCTTTCTGCCACCAAAGTCAGTATTTCCACCAATCCTGGTAAACAATCCGCGAAAGTCTAATGAAATAACCACAACGGGTGAGCAAACTTGTCCTGTGAACTCTGTCCACACTGGGTAACAGGTGGATGCAGGAGTCTGGAAACACGAAAGCAACACCTAATCTGAGTTGTGCCACTTTCAGTATTAGTGATTATCAATGCCCCATGTTGAGTACAGAGCGCTACAGCTGAACCTCTGTTGCATCACTTGCTATAGACCAAATGATGGTGTGTAATGTTGGAACGCGTTTGATTTTCTATCAGCCAGCCAGCTCAGGCCAAAGCCAAAAATTACCAGCGCAGATTGCACGTATTTTCCAACCATGGAAGCGTCCAAGTGTTCCAGACCCAGCAACGTGCAACACTGCGGGGAAGCTTGGCAGCCCTGCTACATCTGGTTCAGTTTAAATCACGTGACTCTCGTCTAAGGATAATCTCTTCGAAGACCTGTTCTAGATACAGATAAGAACACGCTGATAAACCAGGCTCTGGTCCCCGGGAAGGAATACGAGCCCTGAGATATACGGAGATCAACTGTACACATGCTGCATCAATTGAATTCCCTTTTCAGTCAGCAGTTAAGACTCTTTGCTCCAGCACCTATACAGTAGCAGGTGCCGTAAGCGTTCTTATAATGTCTATATAGTGTAGACGTTCCGTTATACACCGGAACAATAATGAAATAGCAGGCCCAGATTCTACCTTGAAGCGACCAATCCCTATCAAATTAAAACCCCTATTTAGACGTTGGGCTGAGCCCCAGGCATCGTCACGTGACTGTGCAACTGCCCCTTAAACAAAATTTCAAAGAAAAATAGACCGTCGATCTGGGACCTTCGGTGCTTCAAATTTCCTGACGAAGGCTCCAACTCAAAGCATGGACACATGGAAAGCGGAATATACTGCTCTCAAAATTTGGGCTCTCAGCACACATTTGAACGTCGGTTCATTCGCAATGAGATAATGAAGGAACAAATGGATTCCATAGTGCGAGAGGGCTTTGACTCCCATATCGACCTCGTCTGGAGTACATCACGAGACCTCGTGGTGGAATACAGGCTAGCCGATACTTCGAGTCCCTGAAGGTTCGGTCCGCTGGGGCGCGTAGCTGGGGCCTATTTTGGACGAAAAATTGCTTCTGCAAACATGCCAGGGAGCAGGGAGCTCCACGTGTCCCTGATACGGCGCAATTTCCTCGCTTTGTCAAGCCCTCCAAAGGCTATACGGACCAGATATCGACGAGAACTTAGTCCGTCATAATGAGAGGAGCCGGAAGACGCCGTATCGAGCTGCGGCTCTGCATATCCAGGCTGCAATGAACCGAGGCTGACGTTCCTGGAGATTCCACAGCTTATGCTGACGTGCATGGGCCTATCGGATGGTATAATGATGACGTTCTTGTACTGGAATATATCAATGGAGAGGAATATACTGTTACTGTGTTATTGAAATAGGGAATTCTGTGATAGCCAGAATCCCTGCATTGTAAAAAGTAAGTGGCTCTCTAGGAAGGAACACTTCCTCATATTTAATCCCAGATCCTACCCTACAACTCGCAATGAACTTGTCATATGAGAAGACAATCGTCTACCTTTTAAAGACTTTAGCATGCGACTCTGGAAGCTTTTAAGGCTGGCATATTTTGTGGTAGTCATACAGGATGCAATGTAGATCTTTGAGTCAACAGCAAAGGGAGGTCTTCATTATCAGTGTTAATCCCCATCATATACTGACTATTTAAATTTCCCTGAAGTTCACGTGCTTTTGTCAACGTCTTCGTTACCAACTATTTTCTCTATAGTAATATCCAGAGGGAGTGGTCTAAAATTGCCGCTGCCTATAAATCTAGGCTGGTTGAACAGCCAGGACGAAGCAAACTATCAGCATATAGTGGATGAATATAACTTTCAAGGAACCGTATTTAACCAGGCCTGCGGCACAGGTTTTTTCAACCATATCCTAAACAGATGCAGAACGGCCCAGAGTACAGGGAGCCTTATTAATCTATCACCTGTAATGGTGGATATATGCCGCAGAACAGGCCCCTATAATCAAGTCTACATCTCCCGCGTTTAGATCTTTTGCTTCAGTATCGTGACTCTGCTGTGGTAGACTAAATTATTTATTTCAGCGCAGCTCACTTCCTGTCACTGCATGATATTTTATTTTTTCCTTGTTCAGTGCGTTATAATTGCCAATAAATCTATCACTTTGCAGTAGGAAAGATCCTGAACTCTTACAATGAGCATCTCTGTGAGTGGGGCCTTTCTCATATGCAGTCCGTCAACCACCTTGCAAATATAGAGGCCTTCAGAGAGATTGAGGTTGGCGTCTCGTCAGTCGTCAACGCCGTTTCTCATGGAAGTCCCCAACCACTGGCGATGATGTATACAGTAAATTCTTCAGATTCAAAGGAGTAACTCCAAGGCATGTTGAAATTTCGAGGCCCTGGAGGAGAACCATGCATATGCACGCAGGCATTGAAGGTGAGGGAAACTTAGCTGTGTTTCCGGAGCCAACTTATTCACACTCCTACTTAACAATACTAAGGCTGATTTTCTATAATTGAGGCATCTACCACTACAAGCTTATATGGCAGAGAGTATTGTAGTTCAACCGCAATCCTTATGTAAGCTGATTCGAGAGGGCTGGAGGGCGAACGACGCCCTTACACTGGTTAGCCGCCCTCATTAAAATGTAGAGGGAAGAGCTGAATCCCTAGTGGAAAAGGATGTTACCCAATAAGGATCTCAGATTGCGTTTGAAAAATAAAATTGGCTCAAGCGGCTGACTTAGAATGGAATATGTAAATATGAATGGTGCAGCTATTGCCCATTTTCGCTCTCCATTATTACAGCAATAAGGCTAAATAAAACAAACAACAGGCGTTCTCAATTCTGCGCCGCAGACATCGCTACCTTAATCAAGCATCTCGTCGCTCAAAGGCAAGCTTCATCGGCCATGTGATGCATCGAGCGAGATCCGGCAGCTGAAAAGTGTGGCAATCTCGTATTGTGCCAAGGGAATCTTCCAATAAGACGATTAAATTCGTAGATAAGGCAACGACTATGAGATGAAATGCCCCAAAGAGGTAAGCGGTACCTTAATCGATTGAGGACCGTGGGCCTTGGCATCCAACTTGACCTCTATGCTCAGGAGGTCATATTTGAGTACAGGCGCCATGACAATCGCCATAACACAACCACTGTCGATGTGACGGTGATTTTGGTCTGAAGTGATCCTTGTGTCTGTTCGCGAAAAATATAAGGAGATATAAGGACCCAAATTCCCTTGTCCATGATTTCCTGTTGTCCCAGAACTCAACTTATTGCCAAGATCAAAACAAGACTCTGGAATCAGAATGGCTTCGCAGCAGCTCTGTCCCGTCCCAAAACCGATCGCTATCTTCGACCAGTTCATTGCTCAACAGACTGAGACGTTGGCTCTGAAGGAGAAGGTCTTATCCCTCTCTGGAGATAGTTTCGATCTGAAACTTGCAAATGGCCAGCCCATATTCCAGATTAAATCTAAGCTTATGAGCTTTCGTGGTCGCAAGTCTGTCTTTGATATGGCGGGCAATCACCTGTTTGATATTGTTAAAGAACATCTGCATATTCATACTACATTCGCGGCTGAGGATCCTAATGGAAACAAACTACTCGAAGTCAAGAGCAGCTTTTCGTGTATGTGAAACTTTTGGTCTCTTCTAAGTGTCGTTGCTAACTGGTATGCGCACAGTGGTGGGCTCTAAAACAATTGCGACATTCACGTCGCCCAGGACTGGCAGCACAGAAACATTGATAATGAAGGGTAACTGGTTGGATACTAAGATTGACATTGTTAATGAAGCCACGGGTGTGGTAGTGGCCAGGATCGATCGCAAGTTGTGGCGAGCTCGTGAGGTATTCTTCGACCAGCAGACCTATGCTGTTATGGTAGCACCTGGGGTTGACCTCTCGCTGATCGCTGCCCTGTGTGTCTGCTTCGACGAGAAGAATAATGAGAAGTAGATTGAACTGGGCTAATGAAGATCTTCTGGATGGCGAATTGTTTCATGCCTCCTCCCCTCCCTTGCTACTGTTAGCATCTGCTTGTATATTTAGCCACTTCCACGCTTTTGATATTCCCAGGTCCGCAGTCATAATATTATAGCAGTAATCTGGACTTCGTCCTTCGCTAAGGTTTTCGTGCCTTTTATATATGCAAAGTTTGGAACGCTTCTGTGTCTAGATCAAGAGTCTCTAATACTGTAGCAGCCACAGTGGACTGGATTTTCTGATATGTCAGGGAAGAATTCTGCGGCGGTTTGTCCGTTATTTTTTATACTTCATACAATCCTGAGGGCCCTCCCCAAGAACCCCTGAGCTATTGTAACCTCTGCTGTGCTGGATTTCGTGTCCCCCTTCAACACATTCTGTATGAAACAGTCATACATTGCAATGTTGAGCTCCTACCCTCTTCTTTCCCCCTCCTTACTCTTTAAGATTCTCCAATTTAGTTCATGTGCCTACTTAAGAACCCCGTCTCTCACCCATACTTACCATATTATCATATGATGGTACCCCAAGCTGCTGGAACATAGCTAGTTACTTCTTTCTACACCCCAGTCGCCCACAAAGTTGAGTCTAAAGGATCGCTCAAGCCGAGAGCCCCGGCTCTGCTGCTCCACGATATCCTTGACATTTGGCGTGGCCATCCTTGCCTTTGCCTTGGTCCTTGCAAGCGTGTTAAAAGAAGTGCAGTAAGATAGACAGATTTTCAGTTAGGGTAAGGGACTGGACAGTGTGGTGTGGGAGGAGGGTGGTAGACAACACAACGGCAATATGTACAGTCCTTGTCAGTTCAGACAGCGCACTCGACGATTTGAACCATAACCCATCGCCCTGGTCGAGGGTAGCCATATGTAGCTCTTATCAAAGTGTTGCTAAACCTTTTCCAATGTGTGTGCTATATAGCTATCCTCGGACTGCTGCCTGAACGAGAGGAAACGTGGTAAGTGTATGTCGCTGTGAGCGACCGCCTCTGCAGAGTCAATGTCTGATGCTTGTTCTGCAGGAGCCGCGGTAAATTGACGCTTTGTCGGGTCTAGACGCCGAGGAGCAGGATGTTCAGCGGCGTGTAAAAGCGGTTGCTGGGGCTGCCCAGGCCTCAGTGAGAAGGGAGAGCCACAGGTCTGAGTAGTAGTTGACACAGGCTTGAGGGTTACCTTTGGCGAGTTGTTAAAGACATCGTGCGCACAGAGGATCCTGTTTGTCGTATTCTCAGAGGTGTCTTCGTTTTTGGTTTCTCGTCTAGGATATGGCCAAAAACACCCTTTGCCGAATCCACGGTGACGCCTAGGTTGTCGATTGCTTCATCCTCCTGAGCACGATAACGTCCGGCCTCTGAGAAAGAATATGGGCTGATTCATTCTGAAAGCTACCCAACAGCGAGGTATCGGTGCGCCGGCCTGCACTTTTCAAGAAATCCTAGATTGAGAGGTTGCTCTGGATATCAATAACCAAAGTAGTATGATTCCTGCGAAGCTGATCCATCGCAGTCACTGTAGAGATCCTCTACGATGAGCGATGTGGCCAGAGTGCAGTTGTCCTACCTTGAGGTACCGGACGACACACTTCAGATGAGTAAAAGCAGCAGATCAGCGCGGCTCTCTCGGAAGTATCCAGGGTCTCAAGAGATAAAAGAATATTAGAGCCAGACCTTGGTACCAAAGCAGTAGCCAGCCGCAGCGACCTTTTGCACGTGCAGGACTGTGTACTAAGGTGCTTGATTGTGGCCGCGACAATCGGGGCTACATCATCAGCTGTGGGGCGGGAAAGCCAAGCGCCCATGCGATCGTTCCGGCGTCATAGTCTCAGACGTTGACATGATCCCCATGGAACGAATCAGGGAGCGCGGACAGGTACCCGTTGCGGCAAAGCCATCCGCCACAAGCTGGTCGTTGGGGAAAATGCCAAATATGTCGCTCAACAGAATGACTGCTTTGGGCTTTTTCGTCGCCTTCAGGATGCGAAAATATAGCTCTGACTGTCCGTAATAAATGGGTGTCCGTCAGCTGAATGATTAGACGTACTGTTGTTGATATGGTTTATCTCCCCTTGAGGTCCCCCTCGTGGAGAAAGCCGGTGAAGCAACAGCTCCCCGAGATTGAAGATGCCATGGTTTACAAGCTCATTGCTAGTATACACGGCGAGTAGGGTAAAATCCACCATACAGAATGAAAATGAAATGTTGGAGTTACGGAGTTACTAAAGCCGAGGCTTAGCTGCCAAGGCCGAACGCCCAAGGTTCAAAAGCCGCTGCCATTACAATAACCCCAATAGGTCCCCGCAATGGAGTGCCGCGCCAAAAACTGGAGTTTAGTTTTCTGTACGTTCATGTTGCGCCTCGGTAGATGGGCACACTCCATGATGGCCACCGAAGCAACGTAAGACATACGCAAACTCCCAAGGGAAGGGGGTGGCCGGCGACTTTTGTGCATGAAGTTTGTTCAAAAGGCTGGTAATCTGGATGGATCTAACTTGTGTACAATCTTGGTGCTCAGGATGAGCGGGCAAAGCACCCTGAAGCGCCTCCACCGGAAGGGCCACACGGCTATTAGCGCTTTGCGCGAGCCGAAGATCTCATTCAATCTCATGACAAGTGCGACCCGCCGTCTCAGGGTGGAAGAAGGATAGGCATATAGTAACTCGATTATGAAAAGAAAGTGCTATTCTGCGGGACCATACTAGTATTAGGCCTGAAGAACTAGAATGACACCTCGGCTAGGTTTTTATTACACAAATATGTATATACATATATATCGTTTTGGGATACCATCGGGCTTACTTCAATGAACAGGAAACCTATGAGAGTCGGGTAGATTACATCGGTTTTTAGAGGCTGCAGAATCCGTTGCTTGATTTAAGATACAGGTGGCAAGACCTTTGTTCCTGAAGCCATAGGTACTGCATATATCGGGCTAAGAGTCATTGCCTAAACCATAAGCCTACCCCCTTCAATACTGCTACAGAAGATCCAGCTCAGGAAGGTAGTCAGCCGCCACAAACTGATTCATGCAGGTCTGTGGAAGCATAGCAAACTGATGCAGCGGCTTCTGGAGCAATCTCCAGTGGGCATCCTGCAGAAGCTCTTGAAGCTCAGAATATAGTCCTGCCACCAGCCTCTGGTAGTACCCCTGGAGTGAACTATCATCACAAGCACATACAATGTCCATAGCCACAGAGAACGCGTGCCAGGGGGGCAAATAATCGCACGTACCACCGGAAGGGCTCGATTCGGGGATCCTGGTACATGTTGTTGAGAGCCTGCAGGAAATTGGTTGCTAACGAGAGCAGGCTGCTTGGGGATATAATATCCTCTGAGAAATAGCCCTTGGCGGTCCCCTGCACAGGCTTTACAGCCACCAGCTGCAGGAAAGCGTGGGTAACCTCTACAAGCTGTTCCAGGAACAAGCGGAAAGGGATTTTATCTGGGAGCAATCCCGCTAGGAGGGCTTGAGAATTTTGCTGAAAGGTAGCAGCGATTTGGAGGAGAAAATGGGTGTCAATGCTGGTCATACACCCATCTGCGCCCCTGGGGAGATTCAGAGAGCGGAATGCATGCTGTCCTTCGGCCATAACCATGATAAATGTCGGGTCTGCGAGGGAGGTTGGTCCAGGAAAAGGCGAGCTATTATCTTTAGGTGGCGCAAAGAAATCAAGAAAGTCTATTGCCAGAGAGATGTGAGACATAAGGCAATCAAGCTGGAGCATTGGCGAGGAACCATGGTTAAAGGAGGCTTGAACATCTAGCAATGATATTATATGCCACAGACGGCGGCGCATCTCACGTTCTAATGGCGTCACCATGAATGGCGGGTCCGAAATGTCGAGGAGCGATTGGGCAATCCGTAGCGCAAGACTTAGCATTGTCCATGCCCTTCGGCTCTGGCCATGCGCTTGAATCCATACCTACATGATAGCTGGTTAGTGGGCAGGAGCATACATCCTAAAAGCATCGTAGAAGATGCTAAAAACGGCACAAAGGCTTGAAAGACAGCAATATCATCAGTATTGATATAATCAACGTGTTCGAGAGCACGGATAGTCAAACTGTGATACTTATTAAGGTGCAAATCACGAGAAGAATCAAACTCTCCATAGCATTGGTCATTGCTGAGTGTGGTGATCGTCATGTAGCTGATAGCACAAACTAGAGCCCTAGGAGCAGGATGGTCTGCAGCATAAGTGAGGTATGGCCCCCCTTGCGTGACGTAGGCCCATAGAGACGAGCATTGCAAAAGGGGAAATATGGGATCGACCTGCATTATGTAAATTTCCTGCAGGCGAGAATCATCACCCTCCCTGGGCGCCACATTGTTTGGGGATACATGATGACCCTGGCTCGTACTCGGATAGTTGAAGCTGTCGTACTGACTGCCGGCTGGCTGGATAGCACTGTCCAGCGACGGGATGCCTGAGCCCGGGGTATCCGCACCATCCCAACTAGAACCCACATTTAGCGATCCGCTATAATCTAGATCCTCGAGACGAGACTCTGTCTGGCTGTTAAGCAAGTTATGAATTAGTCCCTCGAGCATTGAGACGCGGTTTGATATATTCAGTGTCTGGACACCGGGACATCATTTCCTCCTGAAAGCACTTCTTTTTCGCTGACTGGCCCCGTGGGAGCCGAGTCCACTCAACAGGAACACACTGAATACTGGCCTTGCGGCAGCTCGTGCAAGGATGGAGCTTGTCACACTTGACCTTGCGTCTTTTACATGTCTCGCAGGTGAGCCTGGAACTAAGATCCAGCAAAAACTGGCTCATATTAATCCCAACAAGTCGCAGCAGATATTATCGAGACAGTGACGGGGCAGGATTGACTTGGACTGATGAAAACCTTTGAGTGGGATGGAATGAGGGCACCCATCGGTGGCCAATCACTCCAAGTCGCCAATCATGGTCCCCAACCACGAATCACCACTTAACCAGCCACTAAGTTATGTACTAAACACCTGTAGTCCCAGCTGAAACAAAGGCAAGCATTCCTTTATTCTTAAATTATCAAAATTTTTAAGGTTTAATAATTTTACGATCACTCTTTTCAGCATGCGCCATGCAATGAAACAAGTTTGTACTATACAGCTGCAATTTTGACACAGAGCATCATGCCGTACACCATCGTTGCTGTGAGACCAACAAATAATGCTCTCCTTGAGCAATCCGATTTCTAGACGAGCTAAATGATTATGAACAGGAGCAGAGCAGCGATCTACCTGCTCGATGGGTCTTCCTTAACGGGGATTCGGAGCCTACTACCATTTGTTTGGGGCTTACTGCAGAGTTTATCTAGCTTCAGTTCTTACTAATCATCTTATCTTTCCATAATGAGCTTTTCAGTGCTATGTATAATTTTGGTCTGACCCATATTTTATAATTTGAGCGAGATATAGTACATTCTTTCACCGAGCTGATGCCGCCCCTAAAATCGATGGACCTTGTCTTTCGAGTACCCCAGTTGCTGCAGGATACCGTTCCCGCCCCTTCCAAACGGACCAGAACCCAGCAAAGCCGTTTCCATGGCGGGCGGTCCACAAACAAACACCTTCGTATCTTCTTCACTTGCCTGGTGCATGAGCTCTGCAAGAAGTTCTTTTGTTACATACCCTGACCGTATGCCTCGCTCTGGTGAGAATTCTTTCTTCGGCCGACTGACTGTGTAATGGATATTAAACCGGTCAGGGTACCGCTGTTTATATGCATCGAACTCGGAGCGCAAGAGAAGGTCTTCCTCAGTGTTTACACCGAAGATCACAGTGACTTTTGTTTTATCCATCGGATTGTCCAGGATTCCCCGCGCGAGCTGGTAAATGGGTGTGATGCCAGCGCCGCCTGCAATGAGATAGACATGTGGATATTTGTTCGGCGTCCAGCAAAACCCGGAGATACTGGCTATAAATAATAGACTGTCCCCAGGTTTCAGGTTGTGAAGGTGCGTGCTTGCTTTGCCGTTGGGATACTTTTTGATGAGGAGTTCAACGAAACCAGGTTTATCTAATGAAAGTGAGAGACGGATTGTGGACTGGGATAGAGATCACTAACCCAGCTTACTGACCGGTGTGTAAGGTCGCACAACAGGTAGCCAGCTACCGGCAGGTTTGGAGAAGGTCAGAAGAGCAGCTAATGGTTCCCTGTAAGCCTATAAATGTGAGAAATCAGACACGATCTTACAGGTAAGGTCGAGACCACTTTGCGCATTCTCTCCGCCCGGAAGCTTGAAGCAAAGCCGCTTGGTGTTATGGTTAACATTCTCGGAGCTATGAAGTTGGAGGTACACGAAAGCCGGCCCTTTGCCAAAGATCCTCTTCGGCGTCGGTGACGGTGTCGGCGATTCCGCGAAAGCGCGCCGGCCAAAGAAACGGGAAACCATGTATGTACTGATTCCGCCGACAGTGATAACGGCGAAGGCCTTGGCGACTGGGCGTTTGTTCAGTAGGCCCAGCATTGTATCGGCGCTGCCTAGAATCGCGGTGTGACGGACGACTGGGGAAGTTGCCAGCCAATGTTGGCGTGCGAGCCGATGGCATATGCGGGCAGAACTTCGTCAAGCCGGGGCTTTATCGAGCTATTTGTACCATTGTTCGCACTCGTATTCGTTCGTCGAGTCCGAGATTTCTTCCATGGAGGCATTAGGGCGGGGTCCTCTCAGCCTTGTTTTTGCAGGTCAGCTCCTTCCGTCTATGCCTGGCTCGCGATCATGCGATCCTTTGTCCGCAAGTGTCGACTAATTCGATAGGTCCCCGGGCTCTTCAATTCCCCTCCCAGCATTGAGCTAGTGGCTTTGTGGGACCAGCGGATTGCCGTGCTTCGTCAAACGGAAATCAAAGTGAGCAGTCAAAGTTTGCATGTCCTGAAAAGTCTGATCGATTAGGTATCATGGAGTTGCTCAACTAACATCTCCTTCCGCGCTTAAAACCTTAAAACGTGGATTTTAAGTAGTGGCAATTGGATTTAGAATGTTTCCGGACATATAGCCCCACTCAAACGAGGTACTTGTTCGCCCAGCCACGGAACATTGCGCAGCGAACTTCTTCAGGAAAGGTAACCAACCACAAGCGGCAATTAATGAACCTGGTTGGTCATGGAGGTCGGGGGCTAAAAGACCGAGGCGGCTATCAGTTCGTGTTCATTGCGGAATACTACAGGAGGACTTCTTGCTGCAGATTTCAGGGCCCTGATGTGCACATAAAGCGTTTCATACGAGGCGATATTCACAACAATACCAGAACCATTAGCCAGCCGCTCATTGGGCTAATCCTTGTTATTGTCGCCTTCAGCTTCTTGACTCCTTCAGTACTTCGTCACTAACCAGCTGGAGCCTTGACAAGCATACCCCGCAAGCCTTCCCCAAAAAGGCCGGACGCCAGTTGTGTCAACAGCTTAACATGATGAATGGTTATCGAAACTTAACCCAAATCAGCTAGTCTACTTTAAGTTTGACGGTCTCGGCCTTTGCGGCTTTTCTGGATCCTGACGCTTGTCACAAGTACTGCTGTCCCCACACGTTGTACTGGGCACCGGACTCAATAAACTAGGGAAAGAATCACTCTGGTTTCCCGTACTGTTTGCTCAGGGTACCTTGACTCTTGATCGCAGCCATGCCTGAGATCACCTCTCTGGTCGCGACAGCAGGAACAACCTCCTCCCTGTTCCTTTCTGGTAGAGGAGCTCTCTTGTCATTGAAATGGACCTTATGGTGTGTGGCTCTTGGGTCGATTCAAATGCAAATTCAGGCCAAAATACAGGAGCCATCTTCGCATTCTTTCTCAGGTGGCGGCGTCAACACCTCGAAATTAGCCACAAAGACCTCTTCAGTTATAGCCGTGCAGCAATGGCTAAACATCTTCAACAGATACCATAAAATTGACACGCCTATGGTAATCTTCTCGGCAGGATGTTTTGCGTGGTTGAAGTATGAGACAAACAATTACATTTTTCTTGCCGCCGCCGCTTTGTGTATGTGCATTGTGCCCTACACCAGTCTCTTCCTCAGCGGACCTGAGAGGATTCTTTTCCCGTGGGCAAAAACGAAGCAAAAATCACCATCTACTCCCAATCCTCGTGAGATTGAGAAGGCTCTTAGTCAATGGGAGGTCGCCAATATGGTTCGCATTTTGTTTCCTCTTGTCGGTGGTGTAATGGCCCTAGTGTCTAAGATGTAGGGCTCGCGAGCGCTGGCGTTGTTGTTCTCAGGGGTGATCTCGATTGCGGATACTTTGCCAATAATCCTTCCAGCGAACAGTTGGGAGGACCTTTTTTTTCTGAAGAAGAATACTGAAGCTTTCAACTCAGGGGGCCCTATTGGCCTGCAGCGTCTCCACTTCTCACAAACCATGCACCCTGCCATCACTCACCCACATCTAAACATGCGAGCCCCAGACGCGTCCTTTGGTTTTTTAACCAGTTTGACTAGCCAGAGGGACGCACATCTTGCATGAGAATACCCCATAGATTTGCATTTGGTCTGAGTTCGGGCGAGTCCAACCCCAGTTGGAACTGAACTGCTGTGATTTCAAGTCTAAATTTTAGAAATCGGAAGTATTTGTCCTTCATATGAACCTTGATTATCGTCCCCGCTAATAAGCTATATCCAACTCTTGAATATTATCAATGGTCCACATTTATAGCACTGCCCCCAGAGTTATAGCAGCAGCTGTAAGCCCAAGCAAGCTTCTTACACCGTTACGAAAGATCCATTTTCTCAGTAACTCCTGCGTATCATCTGGGCCAGATTTCCTCTGATTTTTCTTCTCAAGCCCCTCCGCTCGCTGTCCCAGTGCCTTATTGATTGGTATGATAGCGATTACTGTGAAAGGGAGGATCGAGAATGTCAAGGCAGCTGCCGCAAGATAGGGGGTCATATCCACGTCGGGAAAAATGCGGCGGCACCAGCCACCTGGACGATACGACCATGCCAAATAGCCGTTCGCACAGGCGGTCATTGCGATCAGAGGAGGGTTCACCCCTCCCTTTTCCAATATACGCCTGAAGTACTTGCATACATCCACTGATGGAATCTGGTCTTCTGATTGCAAAAGGATCAGAGCGGGCATGGAAATGAGGGATAGCGCAGCCATGTTTCCTAGCCCAGAGCATGAACATCAGTAACAACGCAAGGCTGTTTTGTAGGAACAGTGTAGTACCAGAGAGCCAAGAGGCACCAAGGGTCCCAATCATCTGGGCGACGCGGAAGCGGGTGGGAAGGTCTGACATCTTGCAATTAGATGGCTAACCACACGTCCCTTCGAATCTGCGGTCGGGATCACGCACGCTATGGGTTGAATTATATGACGGGTAAGGCGGGGCACCTTTACATGTGCTCTCGGTATCGTGCAAGTGGACTTACCCAAAAAAGGAAATTTGGCTTTTAGGGGAATCGTTATTTGGGTCGCCACCGACTTTTCGTTGACGTCACTCTGTCCTCTGTCGAAGGGAATTGAAACGTCTGCTGTGACCATAGCAAGATCTTTATTGTATTCTCACTGCTAGATTAAAGCTCAGCAAGCTCTTGGCAAAGTCCGAATACATCAGCTTAAAAAGCCCTCGAGTCTATAAACGATATTTCACCTGACCTGACCAGGGGCGACAGTTCGGAAATGTGTCGTCATTGCAAAACCACCATACCCGCCAATCATTGAAGAGCACTCTAGTTCGAGCTGGGGCTGGATGGTTATAAGACCATTTTCAGGGTAAAGGTATGGATTGACAGCACCCGGGTTTTGTTAGTCCGGGTATGCGGAGGCATCATTCACAGTCCTAAACGCCAGTTGCGACTAGGGGAGCTTCGGAGTTCGGACGTCGAAGCCCCATTGGGTTACCCTTAGATAGCACGCGGATGGCTTTCTGAAAGTAAAAAGGCATCAACTCCGTGATCAACGCAACAGATAAACCCTCCAGTCTCCACAAACTTGGGACGCAGATGCCGCCAAAACCCGAGAAGCGGTCCTGGCAACAGAAATAGGGCTTTTAATAACGGTCCTTGTATTCTATTGTCATTCAGGCATAATCAACTTCTACTTTTCTCCAATCACTGGCAATGTAAATAAGGTTAAATAAAAATAGTTAAAGGACGTCGTCGATTTGGCAGGCATTCTCGAACAACCACTGACCTCCTCTGCGCTCCTACAGGTGGAGAATTCATGGTCACGCGCGACAGTACAAGACCCTTGGAAAGAGTAGGGCAGAGCGCCGATATTGTGCCGGACGCAAGAAGAGACGGTGAATCCACCTCTGTCCGTCCGATAATCTTTCCCGTAGTTGAATCACAAGGACTTCCCATTCATATCACTGCTCCTTAGAGATTTGATAATTATTTTGCGAAACTCCATTTGTTCACAACTTCCAAGGTCCTCAGCAATTTTCGTCTTGCAAAGCTATTCAATAGTCACTTGGTATGAGATCTCGAACCAAATCAATGCGACGCCCTATTGCGGAAGCCGGGCAAGATGGACACGACCCGCCCTTTGAAACCAACACCAACCTCACACATGGCTGTAAACTAACTCTCCTGACTCTCCAAAGTTCCGAACAAACGATTACGTGGTCTTGGCGGCTAGGAGTACACTTCCAAGATCATGCGTTGAACGCGCCGCAGTGCGTAAATTGTCGAGTTAAGAGTTACAGGAAAACAACCCAAAGCTGTCCAGGTGGTGGTTGGCTCAGGACACAAAATGACTTCCGCAGTATAGTCCTTAACGTCAAAACTAATGACAACATGCGCCAGGGCCTCCGCCAAGTAGAGTCGAGGTCCAGACCATGAGACAGTATGAAACAAAAGGGCCCTTTTTCCACCAAACACAGCATTCCAGTAAATGGCCCAGAGACAAAGTGTAACATGACAATATAGATTTCTCCTCCTGTAGGTCTCTTGATCGGTAGGGTGAAGAGAGATATAAAAAGGGCCATTATCCTCTCCTGGAAGAATTATATACTGCCCTAGACGAGCTCCCCAGACAGACTCGCAGTTATCTTGAACAGACAAGGACAGCTTTCTCTTAGCCCTCGATTATTCCTTCACAATGTTGCTCCAAGGTGTCATCACTACTCTGGCGCTATCCAGCGTGGTTCTCGCCCAGACCTTGAACATCCCTACACCTGTCGGATCTATCGTGTCTCTTTCTTCTCCGAGTGTCATCTCAGGCTCAAAGGACATGGGAAACAGGGAATACGATCGTGGGCGCCCTTGTGACACAGATGCCGACACTGGAAGTGACAGTGCTGTGTTTATCTTAGAGAATGGCGCGACGCTGAGCAACGTCATCATTGGGAAAAACCAACTCGAGGGCATTCACTGCAGGGGAGCTTGCACTCTGAGGAATGTCTGGTTTAGGGACGTCTGTGAAGGTGCTTATCTCCCCTCCCTGCCTTCCACAGGAAAGATGTTAGAGTGAGCATTCGGCTAAGATATGTCTACAAAGATGCAATCTCCGCTCTGGGCACCGGTAACGTCCTCATTGAGGGCGGTGGCGCACAGGAAGCCAAGGACAAGGTCGTCCAACATAACGGCCGTGGTACTGTTACAATCAAGGATTTCACTGTCGTTAATGCTGGCAAACTCTACCGGGGTTGCGGTGATTGCACAAACAATGGCGGCCCACGCAACGTTGTTGTCCAAAATGTCAAGGCTAGAGGGGTTTCTGAGCTCGTTGGCATAAACTCCAACTACGGGGACACTGCTAACGTCTCCGGATCCTGTGGCTCGAGTGTGAAGAAAGTCTGCCAGGAGTACAAGGGTGTTGAGAAGGGCAATGGGGAGAGTCAAAAGGTCAGCACCACCGCTAACTGCAAAGGACAGCAGAGCTTTTCTAGCTGCTGAAGCATCTCTTATCACTCGCTGCCAGGAGAGTGTCTCACATAGCCTACTGTTTAAGCGGCGTGGCTTGCTAAGATGTAGTACCGGAGTTGGAGGATTAGGGTGCTATATTACCTACGCAAGGAAGTTGTGAAGTTGCACATCACCGGGAGAAAAGTACAAATTAGGAGACAGATTTAGGGGAGCACCTTCCGGTCATTGGATCTGTTCAAGGATATCGCCCAGCTGCAGCCAATAAATAAAAATCTGCGTATCAGGGACGGACTAACATGGACGCTTACTAGATCCTCGTTTTGTACATTCTAAACTCCAGAAAACATAGGACAATTAAGTGTAGCTTCTTTAGTTTAGGGCTTCTACGGAACCGAAAGTGAGATTTGTAGGCAATAAGCAGGTCTCTGGATACGTAGTAGCAGCCTTGAGGATGAGCTTGTCTGACGTATGAAAGGTTGAAGGAATCTGCGTGACTTGCAGAGTACTTGTAAAGTCTCGCAATAGCAAAGGTAGATAATCAGCAAGGGTGAAGGACAAGACGCTAATTGCTTAGTTGTAGCCTTCCTGTCAAAGCAACTGACCTCTCATTCAAGCGCCAGCTTTTCTGTCCGCGGCATCTGACCAACGTGAGCTTCTCGGTCGTTGTGTATGTCTCCACAACTACGTCAAGTCCATCAATTCCCCAGACACCCTGCATCCGATAACGGGTGTGGTAGCATTCTATCAGCAGACCCAGCAAGTCAACGCAGAAGCTCGCAAGCAGGAGGAGACCAAAACGAAGGAGCAGATACGCGAGAGTTGGCTGCAGAATCTACGACCGAGCACACAAGCAGTTAGTTGAAGCAACCGGATGTACGACGAGCAGATCTTAACTAAGGTTTAACAATGCAGGGCTGCGCCAGCAACGACTACTAATACCCTTTAGGAATGCGAACTCTATTGGTTGTTCCATCATTAACAAGCTATGTACAAGCTATGTGCACATCGTTCCTCATTATCTGCATATTGGCTGGAAACAAATAAGCCTCAATTGTTATTGGCTTAAACAGCCAACCAGACGAAGTTCTCCATATAGTATTGCCGGAACAGAGCCTGAGCGAGAACGCGCCATGGGAGCTGCACGACAAGTACGTAATCAATCCAAGCAGATAGTACGAAGTATAGAGACTATTCTGTTACGATACCCGCTCAAGCGATCATCCAATTTGTACACTCCGACGTCGTCATGTCTACTGCAGCGCAAGCAATGAAGAGGAGTGTCATTTCCTTCTACTTGAACAGGTGCATTGAGAGTAACTGGTTCTGGAGAGAGGTAGCGATCATGAGGCCCCGTTGGATGAAAAAAAAAAGGCCCAGAGCGTACCTGACACTATGAATAAAGCATTAATAGGTCGACTGTTCCAAGCATATAGTGTCCCACCAATGTTGTTTACCATCACTAAGGTCGAAAATGATGCGACGTTGAGTAAGCTACCGACCCAATTGAAGCCAGAGAGTTTCTGTCGGCATGATACACTCGGCTAGGATCTCTAGACAGAATGACGAAAATGTAGGTAGGTATCAGAATGGCCCCAAAAGAAGATTGATGTAGAATGCCCAGCGCCAGGTGTACCGTTCAAAGCCGCCTCCAACAATAGGACCTAGAACAGTTCCTAGAGCCCAAACCAGTCCCCTGTTTTTTTGTTAACAGTCTGTTTTTGAACTCACAGGACGTGCTTACATCAAGCTCAAGTAATGTGGACGCTCACAACTCATCATATTCATTGACAGAATGGCCAGCATGCCCAAGTACGCTCCATTTCCACCGGCACCTGCAAAAACACATCCTACCATTCCAGCGTTCATAGTAGGAGCGCCGCCACAGCGCAGATGCAGCCATCAATATAACTATAGATGCAATATGCAGCCACGTGGAGTCGAAAAGGGCATAGAGCTTTCCGGGTAAAGAGAACATACTACTCAACCACTCATAAATTCATTCCCTGAAGTTGACCTGAGATATTTCAAGCGAATATTTTGAAATCAAACTCACCCCACAGATAACCATGGCCCATTTCATCCAAGTTAAAACGACTAGCAATTGCCTGTAATCCTAAATATGGCTTTTTCTAGTCTCTATTTAGAAACAACACCTACCGGTGCGATATTAGCAATGATGGTATATATCAGAGCATAGATAAAACTGCCTGTTAGTATGCTCAATAAAAAAAAAGACACCACTGGAGATAATAGGAATTTTTGTGGAGACTCAACATATAGGCTTACCTGACGCCACAAATATGCCGCTCCTCTTGAAAATCTGGCGCAGATTCATTTGGGGATTTTGGAGTTTGTGGCCCTCAAGTCTCTGCCCAGTCGATGAGTCTGGCATGACGAAGACTTCGTTTTGAGCGGTATTTTGCTTTTTTAATGAGGATGAGCAGAAAGTTTAAGAGGCCTGAGAAGGAGACGCAAAGAAGATGTTATGGGTGTGGAACTTGGTAAACGGCTAAAATGAAGGTAGGGGAGACTGTGACGGCTTAGGTTGATGTTGTCAGTAGCCAGAGCAGACTAGCTTGTGAGTCTTCTCATTTTTGGCATTGGGCAAATCTTTTAGTCCTTTACAGGAGGATGGAGGCCTGTCCTTTGTGCTGGTACTAATAGGCATCTATTCCAGACATGCTGCTTGGTGAGAAATGTCTCAAGAATGAGAATGCATAGATTTTGGCGTGATTAGTGTGATCAGATCTAAGCACTGTCGTAAGCATTAACAAGTGGAGTTACATCCTTGGGTTCTGCCGCATCTACAGCGACTTGAATATCCAAACTGCCTTAGGAAAACCGTGGAGATCGCCTGGAGGCCTAATGGTGGCCCCACTCTCTATCAGGTGTCCCATCGCATCGCAGATATCCACATTGGTACAGTTTTGTTCACAACCATATGGAACTTTGGGACCTGTAACAGTGCGAACTGGGGCTGGTCTATACCTACTATGGATTTACTGTTGCGGTCTCCACTTCTTGACTGCTCCACTCCTGTATATGTAGCTAGAACCTAGCTCTGGCACGTGAATTATCGCAAATCTGTTATGGACTGTGAGAAAGGGAGACCTTTATTACGCAGGATCGCCTCGACCTTAAACAAATCTAGGTACTTTCTTGACATTCTTACTTACTACACAGGTTTCGTCCTGCTTGGCGCCTTACCCGTCGCCCCTAACAATTTCCAATCCAATGGTGATAATAATAAAGTGGGGCAAGTGTGAATGGCAACATCTTCAAGCGGGACTTTGCCTGTCATCATACTTCATATGCCTTCATTCACTAAATGTAAGTTAATTTTATAAGATTAGATTTTTCTTCCTAGATCAGAATTATTTAAGCTGCTCTTCCTGCAGCTGAGGTAGATTACTTGCATTAGGTTAGGGGCTTTGACGAAGATCTGGTGCTAACCATCATCTTATAGTGCCCCAACGGGCTAATGAGGGTTTAAAGTGTGATTAGAACTGTAAGGCCAGCCATTAAGTTCTAATATTAACTAGTATGATCAGTGTGAAGGGAGCAAGATAACTGTACATTGCCTAAGCAAGGAGAACTAATCAATACTCATCAACATACAGAGATATCTACAGTGTATTACATGATTTAGTTCCACACTATCAGTGTTGGCAGAGTACAGTGGCTTTATGGTCCGCTATAGCCATTAACAAGTAGAGAGAATCTTTGAGATATCACGTCTCCAGGATTGTAAATGCAACTTCTATGATCTATTACTATAGCACGGATGCACCTATAGAGGCATGCACGGGAGGTAAACCAGCTTTGTACCTAAGCTTCCTTCTTACAGCACTTGCAAGCCTAGATTGCTTTGTAAGTGAATGAATCAGTTATGACCCCACGGGGTTGCATGCACCACATCCTAACTACCACCATTATAGCTCCTGCTAAAGATACTTGACCAGAAGATGTGTTAGGCCAGATATGCCCAGAACAAACACAAAACATGGACTTGGAATTTCGTTTGCCCATCCACTCCCCAGATTTCTGTGCGAGTTATAATAGAGGATATAGGCAGTCGCTAGTTTATCTTCATGTGAATCCCTTTACAAAGTCTTGGGCAAACAGGAGAAAGCCCCAAAGCTCTACACCGCAGCCATCTTGTGGTTGACGTAGAAATTGTCTAACCCAATCCTAGCATGACCTTGGAAGCCTTAGTGATTATGAAGCCTTTCAAATGACTAAGGTAATCGGTAAGCGAGCGGATCACGCAACCGAGCGGATCACCAAACGCGTTTTGACTTCCATTTCAAAAGCTGCAGTATTCAGCCAGCCACCATGCCACCAAAAGCGCGTACAAACTTGAAAAATTCAGTTGAGCAGGAGGGAAGGATCCTACTTGCAGTATCAGCTTTGAAAAAGAAGGAAATCCTCAATATTTGTGAAGCTGCGCGTGTCTATAATGTGCCTTATACTACCCTCCAGCGGCGCCTAAAGGGGCATACTTTTCAAGCTGAATTACGCGCAAATGGCCATAAAATGACTCAGAATAAAGAGGAATCACTTATTAGATGGATTCTGTCTATGGATTAATGTGGAGCAGCTCCCCGACCATCCCATGTGCGAGAAATGGCAAATATCCTGCTTGCGCAGCGTGGTTTAACTCCTACCCAGACTGTTGGAGAGAAATAGGTATATAACTTTATTAGTTGGCATGATGAGATTAAAACCCATTTCTCTAGGCGCTATAATCACCAGCGTGCTAAATGTGAAGACCCAAAGATCATCCAGGAATAGTTCAATTATGTCCAGATTATAATAATGCAGTATAGGATTGCACCTAAAGATATCTATAACTTTGATGAAACTGGCTTTGTAATGGGCTTAGTAGCTACTGCTAAGGTAGTTACAAGAGCTAAGATGCTTGGTCAGCTGTTTCTTATCCAGCTAGGGAACCGCGAATGGGTTACATCTATAGAGTATATTAACTCTACTAGATAGGTGCTTCCACCATGCATTATCTTTAAAGGAAA